GAGTATCATTTGATTAGGCATCGAACCGGGCTGGGAAAATGTTCTTCCCTGCTCTCCAATACGGAATACGCCTAGCTCATATCATCACACTGTGAATGCGGCATCAAGCGACACAAAAGTTGAGACAGGAGATGGCATATCGGGATGTTGCAGGCGCTCCGACATACCGGACCGGACGTATGGAATAATGGTGACCTCCTTACGAATACATAGGTATGGCGGGCAACGCACTTTAGGAGTCTTTGTTCTGAAAAGCCACCCTTGGGCCTTGGTGCTAAGAGCAAGAATGGCTTGCGGGACTGGCGCGCTTATCGATATACGGTCAGGTTGGCATGGGATGCGTGGGATGCGTGGGCGGGTTGTTGGCGGAATTGAGACAAACACGATTCATGCATGGGCGAGCCAATGTGCAAGAATCTCATTCCAGTTTCGCGTATAATGCCACAAACATATACCGTGTCGAACCGAGCAAAGTAATACGTTCCGAATCATTGCAACTTGCACTTTTTGCTGGATACTTACTCATGGTCTCGGAGGGAGTCTGGGAATATGAACGGAGCTTGTTCGGGGTTTGTATCACGTTAGGTGGAAGGAATGCAAGGGTATTGTCGGATGGAAGGATTGGTTCTTGAGGCAGATACGGAGTAGACATGTTCGGATTCAAAGTATGACACAGGCATGAGGAAAATGTCAGAACATACGAGTCGTGAAGGTGACATTCCCAGCGCCACACTCTTGCCAATTGTCCATAGACCCCCAATGATCACAACCCAACATTGAACCAACATCATGAATTCAGTCGGAGAGGCTGAAGCCAGAACTTTAATTCCAAATTCAGATACTCCGTAGGTACTCCGTCAATAAAGCTTCATGATATCATCGTATGCTTACTACACGGAATATCTTGTGTACCTCGTGTTGAACGCGACGCGATTAGTTGGTTAGGCAGGGAATAACAAGGAAAACCACGTATTTTGCAGAGGGAAAACAACACATCCAACTTGATATCCACAAACCACAACCACAACCACAACCTATCGACACGTTTACCGCTTAGAGATTGCTTCGTGAGCAATTGGCCAGCAATTGGCTGCCCATTACCTGTAATAACAACATCTACCAGCCGCTCTTCCCGTGTCGGCGTCGATGAGTCTGCAATTTGCCATATGCCACCACTATCAACTTCATTTTCGCCATCATCGCCGCTCTATCGTGAATCTGTCAATCCGTGATAATTCCCGATCGGTGGTTTTCTACATGTGCCACACCTCCGATACCTACCCACCTACCCACTTCCCCCCATCCGCCTCGTGAAGCAACGCGAATCGCATCTAGCCATCTGCCGGTTCATCCAGATCTTCCACGGGAGCTTCCAAATACTATCGGCTTGCAGCCTCCAAATCCCCCGAATGCAGCAAGAATTCACGACAATGCATTCTTAAACGCCCTGGCACATGCTTTTCGCGCAAAAGCAACGACGGTCCCCGTGGCCCACGACGCCCGCCCGCTCGCCCCGTGTTGGTATGTGTAGAACGGCCGGAGAGGCAAGATCCGTTTCGTTTCGTATCATACCATCGTGAGACTAAACTACCTGCTGGGCTCGTTTGGACTTCCACCATTTCGCTACTACTAACTTCCTTGTCTTGTCTTGTCTTTGTCTTGCCTCTGGCTTGTCGCCAATATTGGTGATGATGGTAATCAATCAATCAGCACTACCACGATTCTGCTTAGCTGAGACAGTCGGCCGATGGCGAGAACGCCTTACTACACGTGAGGAATAAAAAACATAGGAGACTCTGTTTCTGTCTCCGACGATGAATATCCGACGCCGATGCAAGTACCAAGGCTAGGCTATTGATGCTACGCTATACTTCTAGCCTATTGCCACGGATGTTGTAACTGCCTTTGTTCTGGCAGTGCGTACCTCCGTCTCGCCTTGTCTCACTTGGTTTCGTTCTGGGCTGTGTGATCGTGGTCGTGGTCGTGTAGATGGGATCTATTTCGGGGCGGTTGGCTGAGTAGTCGTTGTGGATCGCGCGTTTGAACACATACACACAGGCCGTATAGTTGTAGATGCTAGAGACATGAAGCCATTCTGAAGTATGCGTTGTTGTGCTGGAATATACGTGACTGCAACACCCTTTTGCTCTCTGTGCCCAAGGGGCGGTCCCAGCAGAACAGCGTGTGCAACCAGCGGGCCAGCCAGCCAGCCAGCCAGCCAGCCAACCATGCTGCCAACCCATCCAGGCCACCGCCTCACCTCCTCCCACGCCGGCTACTTTCGCCGTTCGCCGCAAGGTATTGCGTGCATGTCAGGGCAATTACGGAGCAAACCGCCACCCATGATTCCAAACCTCATCATCCCACCCATTCATTCAACTTTGGTATTACAAAGATATTACATTCTGCAGAGAGCCATCGTGTGTATGTACTTATCCTGTATGTGTTCGGAGTACTCCGTATAATACAGCACCTACCCTACCGACTTTATGTCCGTGTGCGTGTTTCGACCTACTACTCGCCTCACGTCGCGCCTTTCGCATCTCCGAAGTGTCAAAAGAAGGGTCGAACAAAGTCGCCTGCCTGTACCCTGCAGGTCTCTCGTCGGCACACCCTCTTCTGTTTGCTAGCCTCGTTTTATTTAGTAGTTTAGTGTGTTATATTTTTTTTCTTTCGCTCTGGCGCGTCGCGTTCCTCTCAGGCCACCGTAGTTCGATCAATAGTCGGGTTAGGTTTGGTTTTAGGTCGGGTTAGGTCAGGTTCTAGGTAGGGAAGGGTTTTTTTGGTAGGGGAGAATGCGGTAGAAGGAGGGTAGAAGGGAGGTAGAAAGAGGGATGATTAATGAGATGAGGACGGAGTACCTAGGTGTACCTACTCTCCGTATCTATCTAGATGGGCTCTCTAGGTATCTTTGCGGTACCTACGAGTACTTGGTAAATCATATAATGTAGCAAATCGGCCAGCACCGGCGTATGTTTTGTGAGGGCGTACCTACCCTAGTCTAGTATCTACCCTACGTGCCATAGTAGGGAATGCTACTTCCCTCTCCTCTGACTACAGGAAAGCAAGGCGGCTGCTGCGGAATCGGAGGCGCGGTCTGACCTGCCCTTCCTTGCCCTGCTCACTGCTCGTGGAATTGCCCTGCCCATTTGCCCTGTCCGTTATTACTGCCCATTTTCCCTGCCGGTCGTTTGTATTTTTCTTCTTCTATTCTTTTCTATCAGTATTCCCTGTTCTTGTGTTGTAATTGGGGTGTCTGCTTCTTGCTGGCATCTACCTAAGCCAGTCTAGTCGCCCTCTTCACTACCTGTGATTGTCTTGTCTTTTCTTGTTCTTGTCTCTGTTTTGTTACGAGGTAGTAAGGTACTCTTCTCGCCCCTGGCACCCTGGCACTTGCCCTTTCCCTTTTTTCACTCCTTCTCTTCCTTCCTTCCTTCCTTCCTTCCTTCCTTCCCTATTTCATACCGTAGGGAAGGTATCTGGGCAGTCAGATACTGTGTAGTGTGAGTGAGTGAGTGAGTGAGTGGTGAGTGCCTGTGTGTGGTAGTATCGTGATGTACTCGTAGATACGTAGTTTCCTATTCCTCCAATTCCAAGACTTTTCTCCCTCTTGCCATCTGAAAAATTCTTTCGACTCTCCCGTCATCAACCATCATCATCACCTTTATCACCTTTACCTTTCTTTACCTTCACTTACCACCTCCATCAACAATCATTGCCATCGCCATCGTCATCAGCATCCGACGTTCACCTTTCACTAATTAGTTGGGTTGCTCGTACTCACTACTGACCGACTTACCAATCCACGTTCATCCCACCCTCCCCAATTATCTTGCTCATAAGCCTCCCACCCAAATCTCTTCTTTCCCACTTCCCGCCGTTTCTTAACCTCGTGGGTCTCACTCTCGGACCATCATTGTCCCACACGAACCACACGCACACACATCAACCATTCGGAGTACACCACACACACCACACACACCACACACACCACACACCGCACCTCATCCAGCCATACAAGCGGGACATTACACACAGACAGGAACAACCATCAACAACATCAACAACAACAACAACAACAACAAAACATCGACAACAATACACGTCGATTCATCTTGTCCTTCTTCTCTATCACCTGCTCTCTGTTGCCGTCTCCACTTGGTTTATCAGCCTCAACCGAAAGTTTGTGGGCCCCCCTGCGATCTGCACAAGGCGCTTGTCCCTGGTCCCTTCCTACCTGGCACGCTCTCTTCCACTACCAGGGCCTTCACTCTCTTTCGCTCTCTCGCGCTTTTTCGGCAACAGACTGCCTCTAACTTCATACCACCGTCGCCGCCGCCAACCTGTTTTTGCAATTCACTGTAACTACTTGTTGCTACTCCCGCTACTGTCACTAAACTACCTACTACTCTACTCTAACTCTACTCTACTCTATTCAACCCTACCCTACCCTACCTCTACTTTCTCTCTTTTCTCTCTTTTCCTCCACCTTACCTACCACTACTTCCTACTCTACCTACCTACCTACCTTCCTTACCCACCCACTCTTCTCCTTCCGCTCCGCCCACTCTGTCTCCTCTTTCTCTTCCTCATCCACCTCCACTCATCAACCTACACAAGCTTCTCTCACCAATTGCTTCTCCATCTTTTCCTCGGTCGCGCGTTCGCAACTCGGTTGACCTGTAGCCTCTTCCCCAATCGCCTCTCCAAATACTTCCCCAAGTATACACTGCCGACGCGTGTCACCACCGCTCAACGCCTCTCAACCTCCTCTATCAACTTCATTCTCAAATCACATCAGACCCACCCGGCTCCGCAAAGCTTCTTCGAGGCCCATCCTTTCCCCATCCTCGACCCATCTCCAAACCCCTCCATCCAGTCCCGCCGGCTTTTGTTGCTTGCGACCCATCACGCTTCCACTTGAATCGTCGGATGGTTTGGTTGCCTGCCCTATCTCTCAGTTGCGCCTTTCTTTGCTCCGTTCGTGAATTCAAAGTATCATGGACGACCGCTTCCGCCAGCATGGACTTCCTCAGCCATCAGGTGGCCAGTATCAGTCTCTAGGACACCAGTCCTACAATGGATCACAATCCCACTTGCCAACCTTGCCTCCCCTTCAGCACGGTAGCTCTTCCCAGTATCCATCGATGTACGGTGGCCACCACAATAGCAACCCTCAGACGCCTTTGACCCCCCATACGCCCGCGTCTTCTGCGCCCAATGCAAACTCCTCGATCCCTCCCATCGCACAGCATCCTCCGCTGCGACCTATACAGCCCTCGCCTGCTTCGTACATGTTGCCAACGTCTTCATACTCTTCTTCCCAGCCGCCTCTGCTCCCAACGGCTGCGGCCCATTCGAACGCGCATCAATTGGCTCCGGCCCCGTCGTTGAATGGACTCCAAGATCTTCGCGCTGGAGCTCCTGGCATGGGAATGCACGCGCAGTTGTACCCTCACGCCCCAATTCTGCCCAACTCAGAGCCGGAGCCCGTGCATGTGGTTGGCCAGCAAGGTCGCCGTGGAGTCCTCCCAACACACCCCGGAAGACCAGCGCCTACCGTGGGAAAGGCACCCACCAACCCAAATAAGAATGCTGAAGGCAAATATGAGTGCCCACACTGCAACAAAACTTACCTACACCTGAAGCATCTTAAGCGCCACTTGTTGCGACGTGAGTACAACCCCGAACCCATTGGATAATTATTTTGCTAACGTTACGGAATTAGACACTGGCGAGAGGCCTTACCAGTGCAACTTGTGCAAGGATACTTTCTCGAGAAGTGACATCTTGAAGCGTCACTTCCAGAAATGTTCCATCAGGCGTGGAAACCCTACGGGTGCTAGTCACTTGCAGAATGCGCAGAACCATCTTCAGAAGAATCGCCCTCAGAATGGCGCCGAGACGAACACGTACTTGAACCACATGAACTCTTCCGTGCCCTACAGCGACGCGAACTATGGTAACGGGCTCGTCGGAATGGCTCCTATGCCCCCTATGGGATCGGACCCAACCGCATACAATGACAATCTCCCCCCGATGTCTGCCCACCAGCAGTCCATGTCCGCGCGTACTTCCCGATCCAATAGTCTCATTCGCCCTGGAAGCGGCGTCGAGGAGAACCGCCGCAGCATGTCCGCTCTTGAATTCGGTAATCCGCGCGTAAACTATAACGGTAACGACTACCGTGGTGCTTCCGGTCTGTCCAACAACATTTCCGCTCACGACTTGAACTCGTACGGAGCACAGCAGGGACAAAACCCGGCCAACGTGTCTGGCGGTCCTAACCACTACAACTATGATGCTGGTGTCAATCACCCCGAGATGACGCAGAACAATATGCCAGTCAAATCTGAAGATGCAAACCCGACCAGCTACCCTCGGCCAACTCTCCCAAACGTTGATGGAATCTCAAACCCCCAGGATAGCCCACTCAGATGGAATGGCTCCTTCAACGGAGAGCACCAAGACAACTTTCTCATGACATCGAGTATGGCGAGTGGCCCAATCCCTGGAAAAACGTCAGGTATTCTGACTGTCAATAATTTTTAGACTCCAGATGAACCCTCTCGCCCTAGCATGTTCAGTGGTTTCTATTCCGATGCTTCTGGGTTGGTCGACACGCCGTTGTTTGATAATTGGGTCTCTGGCCCGTCTGATCCTCTACAGTCTAAAGCAGAAGCGTTGATATCGTTCTGTTTCCCCGAATCACCCTCACTGGCGTCCGGATCGCAGGATGCCCAAGATTTTGAAGGCCTGAAAGCCATTTTATCTGCGGATAATCTGCAACACTTTTTGGAAGGATACAAAAACTGGCATTTCCACTGGCCGATGATACATATGCCTTCTTTCAACCCCGTTAATGCATATGATGGTCTCGTCTTCGCGATGGTTTGTGTGGGAGCTGTGTACTCCAGCCGCATGGGTATGACGCAAGTTCGGTGGTTGATGGATCTTTTGGAGAAATGTCTGTGTCGCTCTTCGACATTATATCAGCATGCGACACGAATCGGGTCTGGAGTGGCCGCCAACGAGAAGCTCGAAACGATTTGTCTCGAAGAGATACAGGCACTGCTACTTCTTCATACCTTGTTAATCTGGCATGGCAGCCAACAACAACGCCAGAAAGGAAGGGAGAAATATCGAACTCTTGCCAATGTCGCTCGGCGTGCGGGTCTGTTACATCCTTTGCCCCTGACAAATCCCACTTCTAGCGTGTTACACCAACCGGGACCTCTTGATGGTAAAGAGTTGGATGTTTGGACATGGGAATCATGGGTCGAACAAGAAAAGCGAGTCCGATTGTTTTATCTTATCTTCCTGATGGATGCATCACTCGTTATGTTCTTCAACTTGCCGCCACAGTTTGACCCCAAAGAGATTTCTCTACCCTTGCCATCCGACGATGCCGCATGGGAAGCTGGTTCAGAGGAAGACTGTGCCACGGCCCTCGGCCTTCGGGGTGCAGTTGCGCAAAATGGAAATGTCACGGGCAGTCGAAGGCCTAAGCAAGTCTACATGTCCGAAGCTCTTCACCACCTTCACCATGGAGGCGATTTCCCGCAGAGAGGCACGAATGTATACGGCAAATTCGTTCTGATCCATGCTATTCATGTCGAAATATACAACATCCAGCACCAGATTGTCAACCTGACGGCGCGGTCCAACATCAACGGCTTTTCTTCGAGCGGCACAAGCACGCCACAATCTCAGGACTGGACATCTGCGGATGGCAACAAGAGTAACGGGAGCAGTGGGCGTGCGACTCCAACCGAAGGATCGAACCAACAGTTCGCTCAAGCCCACCACAAACTGCGCGTTGCCATGGGCTCTCTCGAACTTTGGAAGCGGCAATGGGACGAAGACATGTCTATTCAGTATCCCGGCAACCAGCGACGTCTTGGCTTCTGCCGAGACGGCATCCATTTCTACTTCCTGGCACGCGTGTTTCTTCGAAACTCCCGACGCGAAGAATGGGCAGCTCAAGCCGATCTCCGCTGTCAACAAGTGTTCAATATCCTCAAACAGATCAGAGCCCATGTTGCTTCTGACTCTGCCCAAAAAGGACTGGATATTGGATCAGTGACAGCGATCGACGACAATTATGGGCTGGCCGACCTGACACTAGACATGAAGCTCCTCTTCACGCCAATCGACTCAAGCGCTAATTAGACGACCACGGAGCGACCAGTACACTTTCTCCAGCACACAACAGGCAACAAATTCAAGCATTTTCACATTCCACCCACACCCAACACGATTCATACGGACGATCGGCGAGTCATCATCATCATTATCAGAGCGGTTAGAAACCACCGAACATACTAGAAGCACTAGAGGGTTGCATTCGCATATCACGACCAGTCACAGAACGGGTCCGCGCATTAGTTTGGAGTTTTTATTTGGAGTTTTTAGATTTTCATCGGTATGGATGGTACGGCGAGCATGACAAAATCAGGCGGCAGGTTTTGGCTTCACGAATTTTCTTCTTTCCTTCTCTTCCCCCAAAAAGCATTAGAAGATTTACCTCACGGCTTGCATTTGCCAGGCGCAAAAGTATTCGACCCATGGACAGTAGATACACGACAATCTCCGAGCTCTGTTAGACCGATGCGCTGGCATGCAGTCTCTGGAGTCATCGGCTGTCCCTGCTTGTTAGAGCAAGGGATAGCGGCAGATGCTGTCACTTCCTGTAAATTTTTCTCTCTTGTCTCTGTTTAGCTGTTGTGCGGCGAAAGTTTGTGCTTTCTCGACCTAGATATATAGACTGCGCATTTAGCGAGAGCACGCTCGACATAAAGCAGAGTAGAATGAAATTGTTGAATTGAACTCTCTAGGTGTATTTATTATGTGACTTTTGCCTTCTTCGACGTCATTCAGTTTTGGTTGTCGAGCCGGGTTCTCTTGTATCTGGCGCCTGAGCGGTTTCAGGTCCCGAACCTCGAACGTCTGCCTCAAACTTCAGTGCACCGGCTATATCTCAACCCTGTGATCGGATGCGTCTCGATGCCGCCACCCTTAACCATGCTCTTCCCCTGGAAACACAGTATAGTTCACGTGAATCTCCACGATGGGTTTCGCGGTTTGCCTATCACAGATTCCGGTGGCCGATTTGCATAGCTTTTGTGGTATCAGCCCCAGAGGTGTAGGGCAGCATCGCCCGCATATCGTCTAGTCTAAATACGTTTGCCTTGATCATGCTTTGCCTTGCCTTTGCCTTCCTTCCTCAGGAACTGCCTTCCCCGTACACATTTGCGATCAAACACGGCCTAGCCTACTGCTTCGATGCCTCAGTTTCGCACCTGCCGGCCGTCTCCCAGGCCGACCTACTTACTTCCTTACTTACTCGTGCTAACTCTGCAGAGCAACCTTTATTACCCAACAGTCCAAGATTGGTCGATTTGGATGACCGAACCATGGGTTCTAACCTTCTGCACCCCTTGATAATATGCTGCTATAACATGCATGACGAACGGCTGCCCCCCAGAATTCCAGACTGGGCATGCCGTTTCTGCCACAGCCATCCACACACACTCACAAAGGCTCACACACTCATACACAGCAGGCATACACACGCACATCAATAGACTTTCCCAGGGGTGAGTGCAACCGAACTGTTGGAAGAAAAAATTGCATGACAAGTCTGGGGTGGGCCGGGGGGTGCGGTGCGGTGCGAGGGGCCCAGCAAAAGCCTAAAAAGGATGAAATATCTTCTCTCTTCCTTTTGTTATACACTTTTTATCTTCGTTCTTGGATTGTTTGTTCGTTCTTGTCTTACTTTTTAATTGTCTTGGTCTGGTACTATCTGTTTCCTTTTTATCCTTATCTCGTCTGGACGACGTGAGCTGGCTATATAGTCTTCTGCTCTGTTCTGTTCTGTCTTACATTACCCTTTCTTGGCTGTGGTGTTTGGTTTGATGGTGTCTTGACCTCTCGATCTGGTCATTGAAGTTGATCCCATCCCATCCTGTGAGGAAAGGAAGAACAGTAGTTGTGAAAGATGTATCTCAGGCCTGGGTTCGTGGTGTTCATTGTGGGGTGCACGTTGACGAGTCTGTCAACGATTATCATTGCGCTGAGGTGAGTGACATATTCTGTTAGATTACATGGTGTTGTTTACTGATCGTGATGGGGTATAGGTATTACTGTCGGTACTGGCTTATGGGTACGACGGGGTTGACGGACCATCTCATGCTTATGGCTTTGGTATGTGCGACTCTTTTGTATTGGATGTTAGAGGGATTTGGGGCTGACTAGGAACACAGCTAGTTACGTGGGGAAACACGGTCGTGAATTACTATCAAGATAAGACAAGTAGCTCGTTTCGACCGAGTTTCTTTCGGATTCCCGTAAGTGTTGCTCCTTTTCGTCGACGTCGTTGAGATCTAGGAATGAGAGAAGAGCGAGTGACTGACATGGTTATAGGAGAAAGCCCCTCAGATCCAAGCCGCGCTGCAAGGAACGCTCCTGACGTGGTACATCTATCGCATAACCTACAACATCGGTCTCTGCTTCGTCAAGCTCTCCATCCTATTCTTCTACCGCGCCATCGCATCCAACGTAACCTTCCGACGCCTAACCTACGCCACCATCGCCCTCGTATCCCTCTACACCTTCGGCGTAACCATCGCCAGCATCTTCCAATGCGAGAACCCGGTAGACGCCTGGGACACCACAGCCTACCTCTCGCAATTCGACGGGAAACCCGGCCGCGCCAAGAGCAAAACCAAATGCTACGATCCGATACGCCTATGGGTCATGTCCGCCGCGGTCAACCTCTTCTCCGACGTCGTAATCCTGCTCCTCCCGATCCCGACGCTCCTGGGCCTCCGCGTCCCCATGGACAAGCGCCTCGCGCTCATCGGCATCTTCTCCGTCGGCATCATGGCCATCGTTGCGTCCTGCGTCCGCATGTGGGTCATGGCGCTGTGGTCCGAGTCGCCGCAGAACTCGGCGCGCTTCGGCGCCGACCTGCTGCTCTGGGGCCAGGTCGAGACGAACAGCGGCATCATCTCGTCGTCTATACCCTTCTTGCGGCTCATCTTCCGCGGGAGGGGCAACGGAAGCGGTGGGAAGAGTAAGGAGGACGAGAAGCAGCGTATCGTGCGACCTGGTATTTCGCCGCCGCAACAGGAGCAGCAGCAAGATCAACGGCAGGGAAATCCGGAGTTGAGGATCGAGCCGGCCGGAAAGGATGAGGAGAAGGGTGATCCGAATGATAGCCCTGGGTGGAATCCGTTCATCACGGTGCCGGCGAGCTTGCATAGCCAGACGAGCAGTAGGGGGAGTGCACAGTTGGATGATGCGGTGAGGCCGCACTTGACGGTCTAAGGTTACGATTAGGTCATGTTTGGTTTATTGATTGATCGATCTACTGGGGATTCACAAAAAAAGGATGGGATACTGGGCTGGGAGTTAATGATGCTTAATGGTATTTGAGGTTATCTTGCATAGGACTGGACTGGACTGATACGGTCGATCTATCATGAGAGGGATATAATCGTGCGAAGGTCTCTTTGCTAGGGTACTTGTATATATATATGTATAGCAGGGGCTTGCAGGTGCTGGTAATCTGTATAATGATATTGGATCTACTTGAAGCGACTTCGGCTTTGATGTTGGGCCCATATGAACGTTGTGACAACTTGAGAGATAGTAGAGGGTTGGGTAGGAATGAAAGCTTTGGAAGGGAATTGTCGATTTCCCCATACTCTAAGCTCAAATGTCCATTGACTATTGTGGAATAAGGTTTGAAGGATGGTCGAGATTCTAAACAGGTGACGTTACAAGATGAATTGCCCAATGCTCAAGACCTAATCCTGAACTGCACTAGCTGCATAACTATCGGAGGACCATACGAGGTATTAGTGTTCGAGTGTCCTCCACATCGCATCACGCATCACATTGCATCTCATCATCCAGCGCAGGCATATGCACTCTCTGTCGCCAATCAATTTACAGCGTGAACAAGCTTGTGCTGCATTCAATTTGGAAGGGACGCTTGCGTTCGCTTGACTAAACTCCCCATCATCCCCGATCACACACATACAATCGGAACCCTGGCTTCCCAACGTTGCAATAGGATCGTCCTGGTCTCCGTCGCCCTCTTCATAACCATCACCGCCATTCTGGCTTCACTCCGCTTCGGTGCTCGTTCTTCTCCCTTGTTATCCTACCTTAAGCCCTCCGGCGCAAGCACCTTCTCCACCTCGGCGCAGAGACCGCTCCTCAATTCCACAATGGCTCCCCCGCAGTACCGGAAGCCGCCCCAGCTCCCGCCGAGGTTCACGGCCACGCCCGAGTCCTTGATTGAGGATACGAAGCGATTGGTATGTTTTTGTCCAGAAATTGCCTTTATATCTAGCTGTAGTCTGTTTCCCTCGTGCTTCTGTCAATTGCTCTTCCTATCTGTCAACCTTGCGAACGCATGGCCGCGGCAATGTTGCTCACAGTCTTACTTCCTTCCCCCATGCTAACCCCGCAAACTCCAGATTGCCAGATCTCGTGCAGTGCAGGATGACATCGTGAAGAGCATCACCCGCGAGACCGCGAACTTCAACAACACCATCCTCCCCGTAGCCCTCGACGACAACAAGATGTCCCGCGAAGCGCACATCATCGGCTTCTTCCAGGCCGTGTCGACGGACAAGAAGCTCCGCGACGCCTCGACGGAGGCCGAGAAGCTGCTCGACGACTTCGTCATCGAGTCCAGCATGCGCGAGGACGTCTTCAACCTCGTCGACGCCGTCGCGCAGAAGAAGGAGGAGCTGGACCCGGAGTCCGCGCGCCTGCTCGAGAAGGATCACAAGTCTTACATCCGCAACGGTCTGGGTATACCCGCGGGACCCAAGCGGGACAGGTTCAAGGAGATCAAGAAGCGGCTCAGCGAGATCAGCATTACCTTCCAGAAGAACCTGAACGAGGAGCAGGGAGGCATCTGGTTCACGCCCGAGGAGCTCGACGGCGTGCCGGAGGACCTCGTGGCTTCGTTCAAGAAGGGCGAGGGGGAGAACGAGGGCAAGGTGTGGCTCACGTTCAAGTACCCTGACCTCTTCCCCACCCTCAAGTACGCACACAACGCCGAGACGCGCAAGCGCGTGTTCATCGAGAACGAGAACAAGTGCAGCGAGAACGTGCCACTGTTCCGCGAGGCCGTCCTCCTGCGAGACGAGGCGGCGCGCCTCCTCGGATATGAGAACCACGCTCAGTTCCGCATCGAGGACAAGATGGCGAAGACGCCCAAGACGGTCGACGACTTCCTCGGCGACCTCCGCGGCCGCTTGGCCCCCGGCGGCAAGACGGAGATCGCGAAGCTGCTCGAGCTCAAGAAGCAGGATCTTAAGGAGCGCAATGTCAACGACGGCTCCGAGTCGAAGTACTTCCTGTGGGATCACAGGTATTACGACCGTCTGATGCTTGAGAAGGATTACTCTCTGGACCAGCAGAAGATCTCGGAGTACTTCCCGCTTTCGACCACCATCCAGGGCATGCTTAAGATCTTCGAGGAGTTGTTCGGCCTCGTCTTCATTGAGTTGGTAGGAGCCGATAGAGACGCCCTGGCTGATGGCGGCAAGGGGTCCGATATTGTATGGCATGAGGATGTCCAGGTCTACAGTGTTTGGGACGAGGAGAGCGCAGGCGCCGAGTTCGTTGGATACCTCTACCTCGATCTCTTCCCACGAGAGGGCAAATATGGACACGCCGCGAACTTCAACGTCCAATCCGCCGGTAATGACGAGAACGGCGTTCGCCGCTACCCAGCCACCGCGTTGGTGTGCAACTTCTCCAAGCCCACACCCAAGAAACCATCCCTACTCAAGCACGACGAAGTCGTGACGCTCTTCCACGAACTCGGCCACGGAATCCACGATCTTGTCGCCAGGACGAAATACTCCCGCTTCCACGGCACTGCAACCTCTCGCGACTACGTAGAATTGCCAAGTCAATTGCTGGAGAACTGGTGCTGGGAACCCTCATTAATCAAGTCCCTGTCCCACCACTACTCCCACCTTTCGACCGAGTACGAGAATGAGTACAAGGAGTCGTCCGGAGCCGACAAGAAGCCCGCCGAGAGGATCCCGAGCGAGATGGTCGCAAGCATCATCAGCACCAAGCACGTCAACGATGCGCTCTTCAACCTTCGCCAATTGCACTTCGGTATCTTCGATATGACTGTGCACACTCCAGCCAGCCACGAGGAGCTTGAGAAGCTCGATATCACGACACTCTACAACAGGCTGCGAAATGAGATTTCGCAACTTGACGGCCCCGAGGCTCTCAGTGAGACTAAGGATTGGACGTGGGGTAATGGACAGGCTACTTTCGGCCATCTTATTGGCGGGTACGACGCTGGGTAAGTAACACTTTTCATGCACTCGCTGGTCGTTCGCTTTAAATCATCCACAATAACTAACAACCTCCTACAGTTACTACGGCTACCTCTCCTCGCAAGTGTACTCCACCGACATTTTCTACACCGTCTTCAAAAACGACCCCATGAACGGCAAAGAAGGCCGCAAGTACCGCCACGCCGTGCTGGAGAAGGGCGGCTCCAAGGAGGAAATGTCCATCCTAGAGGACTTCCTTGGCAGGAAGCCCAACACGGATGCCTTCTTCAAGGACCTCGGCATCTACAAATAGATATGTCACTGGAGCCGGCGAGGATGAAACTGCATTTGCCGTCGTTTGGAGCATTAAGCTGAAGCACGCTGATAGATAGCAATTTAGAGATGCTTTTGACTATGATTTGCTTGTGTGACCGGAGTTCGGGGATTGAAACGAATTTCGCCAATTGATATTTACAGTGATGAATCACTCAAGGACGTCGTACTCCGACTGATGTGTTACTTTAAGTAGTGAGATATCCATGGATTGCCCTGGATGTACAACCGTGGCGCCAGGAACAAGCAAGCTACCCCGCCACGAGCACATCATAGTTATCGATAACACGCCATGAGCTCAATGCCCCACTATAAACGATGAACTTGTACCTGTCCTGCCACGATAAGTATCAACAACCTCCCATTGCCGACGTAATTATCAGACAACACACTCTTTCATTCACTCCGACGGCTGTTTTCCAGTACTTCCCCATCTTCATCCCCTCCAGCACATGAGAATCCTCACCCGCCATCCCCTCCAACCAACCACCACCCTCACCCCACGCAAGATGTCCACAACAACCCTCTCCGACCTAACCTACACGACGCGCGAAGCCCTCTCCAAACGCATCCTCTCGTCCCCCGACGCCCCGTCCCTGCCCCCCGACATCGCCATCATCGACGTCCGCGACTCCGACCACGTGGGCGGCCACATCCGCGGCTCGACGTGGGTGCCCAGCTCGGAGCTCGACTACAAGCTGCCGGAGCTCGTGCGCACGCTGCGCGACAAGAAGACGGTGGTGTTTCACTGCGCGCTGAGCCAGCAGCGGGGGCCTAGTGCTGCGCTGCGGTACTTGAGGGAGAAGCAGAGGCTGGACCCTGCGAAGGGGGGTGTCGCGGGGGGAGAGGGGGAGGGGAAGTCGGCGGAGGAGGGGAAGTCGGCGGAGGAGGGGAAGTCGGCGGAGGAGGGAAAGACGGCGGAGGAGGGAAAGACGGCGGAGGAGTTGCAGGATAAGCCTGGACAGCAGGTTGTGGTGCTGGAGGGCGGTTTTACGAAGTGGCAGGAGAGGTATGGGGAGGATAAGCGGTTGACGGAGTCTTATCAGAAGGATATTTGGGAGTTTGGGTATTAGATGAGATGTGGATGGCAGCGGGCGAAACATTCCTATCACGACGAGACAAGGTTGACTGGTGGAAGAGGATGAAGTTTCGAAGGGGAATTACTACCGCGAAGGTAGATTATCATGCGTTTAGAATTCTTGGGAAGGGACTATCGTCATGAGATTATGCAAGAGCAAAGTATCGCTGCGTAAAAGAGCTATTTTCAGGCCTCGTCTCATAGATTGTTAAAATCCATGGAACCCTCTAATGCCAACCTGGTTTCCAGAAAGAAAACGCCGTCTAGGAATCTATTATTATTTTTTCCAACATCTCCATATTCAAAATGAACCATTATATGTTGTCAATGGGTATCTCCTTGTTCTGATGTCGATCGGCCAAAGGACGGGGTGCTCGGCCTCGATCTTTCGATTCCAAAGAATGCTATGTTTTCTCGCAGCGCTACGTACTCGCTGTCTGCGTACCCCAATGCCTCGTGAATCTGCGTGCTGTGCAGTCCCTTGATTCTCTTGATTTCGGCGGATGAATAATTGATCACGGCCCTACCGACCTCGAATGGTGGGGGATCATGCAGCTCGTATGCCGGGGGCGTGAGAATCGCCGAAGAGGAAAGAGAATGGGTCAGGCCTGACTGTGAGCGCTCGTAGAGCGAGTTGCGATTCGGAGTGGGCGCCATGGTCATCGTGTGCGACGGTGTTGATGCGTGCGATGTGGGTCCAGAATTGGAGGTGTTGTGAGTAGTAGAGGAGGACGATGGGAGACGTTTGACGACTATCAGCCGTACGGCTTCTTGTTGTGCGAAGTGGCCTTCGACGTCCACGATGCCTACGGGGAGTAGGCCTGCTTTGTCGTTCAACGCTTTCCAGGCGCCGTGGTCGATATATACGGTGCCGCGAGGCGCCAGGCCGTGCAGGATCCAGAAGTATCTGTCTCGAATTGGGTGTGATATTGGTAGGAAGCGGGTGTGTAGTGGTACTTGTTCATCTTCAGAATGAGGCGAGGGGGAGGGATTCTGGGTATCATGAGGGGGGGCAGTAGCTGAAAGATTGTGGTTAGCATCATTCAGACTCAGAGCCGCGGTTTGCGGCACACCTTCTTCCTGGAAGTTGACCACGCTGCTCCGTCCCGACATCCTTGCCGCCCTCTGTGCTTCGGCATGTCTGATGATGGCGCCAATGTTCTCTGGCTTCGACGACTTCGTGATGACGGTCGTTACCCCTACACTCGTGGCCAGGCTTGCGGCTACGATCTTCGTGCCCATGCCTCCGGTTCCGAGAGCCGATCCAGCACTACTGACGTCCGCCTGGACCTCCGAGATGTCTTCGACCACTTCGATGGCTTTAGCATCGGGATTGGTCCTCGGGTTCTTGTCGTAGAGACAGTCCACATCGGTCATGAGGAAGAGATAATCTGCTTGGACCATGCCTGCCGTGATCGCGGAGAGTGTGTCGTTGTCACCAAACTTGATTTCCGTGACTGACAGAGTGTCGTTCTCATTCACGATTGGGATGACGCCCATGTGCAATAGCTCGAAGAAAGTGTTCTGTGCGTTTTGATATTGCGTTCTATCTGCGATGTCGTTTCTCGTGAGGAGGATTTGAGCAATTGGCTGCCGCACATGTCCAAACAATTGATCCCACAGGCTCATCAATCTACTCTGGCCGATGGCGGCCAGTGCTTGGACCTGTGGGAGATGTTTCGGGCGCTTCTCAATGTCCATACGGCGGAGACCCACGCCAATGGCACCGGAAGATACCAATACAACGCGGTGGCCATCTCGTTGGAGTTTGACGGCTGTTTCGACAATGGCGGAGAGGATGGAGAGGAGGGGATGGTGAGTCTTTTCGTCCACAATGGAGCTTGTTCCTGAAGATCAGTTGCTGTTAGCTTCAACCCTGTCGTCTGCTGTGGGGAGGGTGTATATGGGGAAAGAATTTACCGAGCTTTATTACTATTGTGAGCTGGCCAGGGTGTTTTTTCATGTGGTGAGCCATGCTGGCTTTGTCTTCGACCTCAAAGTGAACCTGAGGGTGCGAAACGGGGCCAGGACCGGAGGTATTTTGAGGATTTGGGGATTGGGATTGTGGAAGAGGCGAGGCGTTATTTATGCCCGAATGCATTGATTGAGACATCAGGGACACAAAATCACGCAGGTACAGCTCGAGTCGAATGCTTGGAACAATTGGGATTGGGCCAGGGCCAGGGATATGGACAAGAGTCAGCGCAGGAAGTTTAGACTAACTACCTAATGCTCACAACTCACATTATCCCACCCCACCGAAGTCGCAATGGATGTCCTGGGCCAATCAGAGCCCCCGTTTCTCTCCGCAAATCCGCATATGCGAACCTCTTAACAATAATTATGTTTAAACCTTCTGCTCGACTCTCCCATTCCCATCCCTTCGCCCCCCCATCAACTCTACGCTTTAATCAATCTTGCCGAACGCCGTCATAACTCGTACGCCATACGCCATTCGCCATTAGTTTGTCTTGCATGTTCTACCCCACGCCCTAGGGCGCATCCTCATATCCGTCGGAGAAGCTCTCCACACATTTTCCACCCAACACCTCCATACATACGAACCTTCCTTGCATCCTTCCCGCCCTTCCCAGCGTACCATCCTCCGCACGAGACCCAGAAATTATGTCGAGCCCTGAACAGGTCACTGATGGGGCCCCGGCCGCCGCTACAGCTACGGCAACTCCCCCCACCACCAACAAGATCGACCCTGTCTACTATAACTGGCGAAACACCTTCTCCATCATGCTGGGCCGCATGTCCGGCAACCGTGACGAATCCCTCGAAGAGCGCTACTTCGCAGAACAAGACGTCGTCAAGGCTGAAGCCTTCTGCCGCCGCTGTGAAGACCGACGCGACTACCTCCTCCAATACAGCCCTATCGTCCGCTTCATGCGCGACGAGGTGAGCAAACTCGGCGGCGACCTGAATGCTCGCAATATCCACTGCAGGGTCTGCACGAAAGAGCAGTCGGGCGGCTTCCATATCGACCACGGCATCCTGCTCTGCGCGAACAAATTCCGCAACCAGGGACACCAGGAAGACACAATGGCCCACGAAATGGTGCACGCTTGGGACCACCTCAAATTCAAGATCGAGGACGACAATCTGCGACATCAAGCCTGCTTAGAAGTAAGTCCAGTTCAAATTCCATTCCCAATCGCTGCGGCGACTGGGGTGTAACGGTGGCGTATGAATGGAGCATTAGAAGGAACCATGGAATCAATAAGCTAACGTTGGAAAACCCAGATCCGTGCCTCCACCCTCTCCGGCGAATGTCGCTTCACCCGCGAATTCTTCACCAAGAACCAATGGCGCATAACCGAGCAATTACAGCACTGCGTCCGGCGCCGCGCGACCCTCTCCCTTATGGCTCGCCCGGGCGTCAAGGACGACGTGCATGCCGCAAGAATTGTCAACGATGTTTGGGATAACTGCTTCTGGGACACAAGACCGTTCGACGAGATCTACCGATGATCCGCCCGTTTGGAAAAGATTTCAGACTGGCGAGGAGCTCGCAAGTCTTTATGTATGATGATGACGTGTGTTGTATGATAGATACCGTTTTGGGTTATGTATGGAATTAGAGGACGGGATTTGTATGCTTTGCATAGCGATGGCGCTGGAAAATCTTTCTCATTTTACGATACGAATCCTCACTCTCGTGTATAGATGGAATGGCTCGTTAGGCCGAAAACTTAACATCCTGAAAAGAACCGTTACTTCTCTATATATACAAATCTATCTTCTCTGCCCTCATCTAGAATTAGACGGGAGGGTAGAGATGCGATAAATGAATGAATCTGAAGTTAGGTATTTTGTTCGACATCTGCTCTATAGGGTGGCATATATCTCTTGAGCTTCATCACCAAAGTCTATATTGTATCATTGGTATCATTGAACCAACGCAATCGACGCTTCAAAGACAAGACCGCCAATGCAAAACACTCTAAATCCTAGCTCTTCACTCCATCCTCAGAAATCACCAACCATATTGCATAAATCAAAATGCCAGATGAAGATCAATCATAGACTGTCCTCCCTCCACCTACTCCGCACCCTCTGCCACCCCTCCTTTTCCTTCTCTCCGCCCTTAGTCTGCAACCCCATGCCCCTCTCCACCCACTCCTGGCTGCCCATCTCGCTCAATCGGCTCAACGCTCTGGCGAAAGCAAACCGCTCCTCGTCTCCCGAGAAGATGCTCGAGTTCTTCAGCATCGACATGTTCATGCCGAGGTCGTCCATCATCATGCGCATGACGTCCGAGATGTCGTGGTGGTCGTCTGGGTTCGAGGTTTGGGCGGGGCCTGGGACGGGGCTCTTTGCGTCGGGAGATTGGGAGGCGCTCACGGCTTCGGAGATCTCGGCGGTGGACATGAAGAGCGATGTCAGGGGGACGGCGGTTGTCATGACTAGTTTGGCCTTTTGGGTTTGTTAGTTTGGGGGTTTGATCATAGACAATGCAGCGTAGCGTTGTTGCGCTCAAGGGTTTGAAGGTGGGATTAGAGACGTACCCTGCTTTCATAGATAGCATCAATAAATGTGATGAATCTCCTTGCTAGATCTCTTGACTTGTGGTTCATTCCTGGCACATTCGTGACGATGAATCCATCGTAGTTCCTCATCAACTCTAGATAATCTGCGGCGCCGGTCGCTCGCCCAATGATCTCGTCGAAGGTAAACCACGCACATTTTCCACTGGCCCTCTCCACCACAACATCGCGACCCCAGACTTGGTGGACCGCTCGGTGCGGGGGATCGTTCTCGAAATCACCCAGGAACTTGAACCAGCGCTCCGCATGTGTCTTTGCGGCAGCATCCAGCGGGTGGTGGTAGACGCCCGATGGCGGGCGGGGAATCTTTCGGTAGTCTGTTTGCGAGTCCAAGTTTATGACGCTGAGTCGTTCCTTGAGCAAGTTGATGGCCGGGATGAAAGACTCGCGCTGGATTCCGTTCTTGTAAAGGTCATCTGGATGTCGGTTCGATGTTGTGACGATGACGGTGCCGTGGGCCATGAGGGCTTCGATCAATCGGCGTAGAATCATTGCGTCGGCGACGTCTGTGCATTGGAATTCGTCAAAACATAACACTTGGCTCCGCTCTGCAATTCCTGCGGCGACGAACGGGATCGCGTCGATGTCGTTTCCGTGTGCGATCTTCATCTTGTGCAGATCTTTATGGACGCTCTGCATAAAGGCATGGAAGTGTATCCTCGTCTTGTGTGTGATGTTGGGCGGTAAAGTATCGTAAAACAAATCCATAAGCATTGTCTTTCCGGATCCTACGTCTCCATACATGTACAGTCCGTTAGGTAATGAATCTTTAATCGGTGGCAGCGCAGAGCGCTCGGGTTTAGAAGAGAAGAGCGAAAAGAACGTTTGCTTCTGCGGTTGCAGCGATTCAATCGTTGGTTGTACAACCGGAGGTTGTTCGTAACTACACAGCATCTCATGAAGGTCTTCGAGGTTTTGTATGATTCCTGTTCAACTCAGTATTTCTCGTCCCATCCGCACAAAATTCGCAGACTGTGAAACGAACCTCGTTGGTGCTCGTCGTCTCTCAGCCTGCCAGATTGCACTCGAGCGTCGTATTCGGCCAAGGGCCCATGTGTCTCGACTTTTCCTGTGACTCGGGTTACCGATTGATCCAATTCCTTGGAACAGTATTCCGTACGTTGTTGCGAAAGAACCTCCTGCACCTCTTGCGCATATCCTCTACGACCTGCAACCGCTCGTTGCGCGAGAACACGGGAGACTCCAGTATGCCCGCCGACGTCGCCTCGAACTCGAGGTCGCACTGGAACCGTTCGCAAACAATTTGTACATATTGGTCTTGTGGCTCTCCATCCTATGGCATTGTATTGGGCTCGTGTTAATGTCGCAGAGCGAACGAGTGGGCGGAGCCTCTGTAAGGCTTCCGGTGATGTCATCGTGGGCGCAAGAATGTTTTCGAGGCAGGGCGATACATCTAAGGAAGAATAAGAATCTTAAACGGAGAATATATTGTGCGCCTAGCAATGCAAGGATATACAAGTAATGGAAGAGAAGGTAGTGGAGGTCGGAGCTAAAACTGACATCCGTTACTGCGGGAAAGCTAGGTAAATCATACGAGGGTTCCTCGGCTCAACTTCCGTGAAACCTGCTTAGTCACGAACGAGGGGAGGTGGTTACAGAAATGATACAAACAAATCAACAATGAATTGTATAGAGACATGTGAATATTGTCTATAATTGGTATCTACTCATTCCTCAATTGGAGTCATTAAGTAACTTATGTGTTACGAGATATATAGACCATCAAACCCTCCCTTGACTTTCGTTACGATCCACTGTTAAACGAACGTTCCGGAATCAGCCGCCCTCTTCCTCTTCTGCAATGGACTCGTATCTTCCGCCACCGCGTTGATATTGCATCTTCGGTGTCTCGTACAGCCTAGTGTAATCCACCCTTTCGCCCCCGAGCCTTGCGAATCCGCTTTCCCTCTTCTTGAAAACAGGCGCGCCATCGCAGAAAAAGTCTTTGCAATTGGTGATAACACCTCTTGAGAATGGGTTGCCTCGAGATCGTTGAGAATCGACATGAGACTCCTGTCTAGCGGTTGCCATGAACGCGTCGACCCCCAATAGGCGCTTCCACTGGTCCCAGATAGATCGTTTGGGATGTTTCCGTGCAGCGCCTTCGCCTGTGTCCTGTCCGGAACCGAAGCCATTGGTAGGCGCGGAACCGCCCTCAACTTCCTGTGAAGTATCGCCTGTGGTGACAAAGGTGTTCAGTGCGTCGGCGGGAGTATGATTATGCAGATGTCCACGCATGCTTTCATACGTCGTAAGATTACGTGCGATTTGCAGCAGCTGAACAATGATGAGCATGGTCACCCATGTCAACTGGAAAGCTGCCCACAGAGACAGCACTATCGTGAATGGATCCTTGTTGATAGTCTTGCACAACTTGTCTGATATAATGTTGCATTCGCTATCAGCGGGTGTAGGTATGTACTCGACATCCCAGATATCTGTACAGATCAGCAGAGATTTCAGAGGCAGAATTCATGTTGCTCACATTCGAGTACCAAGCGAATCCATGCGAGAACTCCGAGTTCAAGACAGAGGATATAGAACAGAAAATGACGGTGGTTGTTGTTTGCGACGCAATTGTTGACCCATGGACAATGGCTGGTTCAGGTCAGAAATGCCACGAACGAACTGCATGCATAAGAACTTACTGATCTGTTTTGGCAACGCAACGCTCGCAACGCTTGCAATGTTTACTACGCAACGGCTTTCGCACCATGCAAGGAACGCAAAATTGTTTCTCGTCGAATTGGCGCAGCTCCATGAGCTCGTCGATTACCGCTTTTGACGCACTTCGGCTCGCTGATTTCGGTACGAATCCTGGGTCTGACGCCATTGTGAAGAAATAGAAGTATGCCGTAAGTCCGAAGAAGGACCCGAATATCAAATTTAGAAAGAAGTTATTTCGAATGGTCCCTATAGGTGAAGTCAGCAATCGATACTCAATTGGTAAAGACCGAGTACACATACATGGTACAATGACGGTAATCCACCGGAAGCCTACCCAGAATAAGGTGCCTGAGAAAATACCCGCTAAGAATGGCTACCAAAAGTCAGAACCAGAAAGATATATTGCGTAACTGGAATACTTACAGTGTGGTCGATGCTCCGCATGTTTGAAGGAGCCCACTGTAACAAATACTGAGCTACGTAATGTAGTCCATACGATATTATTAGTGCTAACGGTAAGCCGAGATAAATTGGAAAGCTGGCGAGGAGATAGATGCAGATTAGGATGATCAAAAACGGCAAGAAGAAGATAAAACGAGATATAAACCATCGAGTATCTTTGACCCATGACACGGGGAATTCTTTCGCAGTGCCGTCTTTATTATAGCCGGCCTGGGATAGAGCCCTGTGCCATTGTGTTGTTGTGTTCATTTCTTCTGCGGTAGTCGCGGGAGTTTTTCCATCATTGTTCTTCGCGAATCTGTCCGCCCCGTACTCGATCAGTTTTTGGATTGACCCTTGAGACCCTTTCACAAGTGCCCAATGCAACGCTGTGAAGCCTTGGTCGTCTGTGGCATATACATTGGCTCCCCATCGTAGGAACAAGTCCACACAAGCTGGATAGCCTTTGTATGCAGCCCACATCAATGCGGTGTGAGCTTGTGCGTCTGGTATATCCACGGGTATATCTTGGTGCAGCAGCAGCACAAGTTGGTAGACATTTCCATCGAGGGTGGCAGAATGTAACAGATTGAATCCTTGGTCATCGGTGAGGAGTGGATCGGCTCCGTGTTCGAGGAGCAGGTTTACAACGTAGTAGTGGCATCGTTTCGCGGCCCATAGTACGGGAGTTGCAACAGCATCACCGCCTTTCGCATTAACGCTTGCACCGCTTTTGAGGAGGAAGTGACACAGTGCGTAGTGATTGTTGATTGCTGCCCACTGAGCTTGAAGTTAGCAAAAGCATGCCCATAGCAATCATTTCGGTGTCCGACTTACGTGTAGCGGCGTAATACCTTGCTCGTCCGTAAACGTAGCATCAGCCTTCCCACTGTCGAACAACTTCTGAATCGCAGCTATTTCACCCAGACGCGCTAATTGCATAATGTCGTCCTCTACGGGTATGCTCGGCTTCTTCGCTATATCTTCCATCTCGACATTTTGTTCTGCAGCGGCAGGCCCACTGGGCTCGGGCTGAGCGGGTGCGGAGGACATCGGGGGTGATGTAGTGTGCGGCGCGATGAAAACGGGAGGGGTTTTTTCTCGATAAACGGGTCGTTAAAGGTGTCGAGCGAGTCGCATGCTGGAAATTTCGATTTGACAACTTGTAGGGGATTTAGGGGTCCTGCAATAGAAGGATTTTGGTGGTTGCGGCGTTCTCTCATCTCATCTTTTGAGTTCCCGCCAATGCTCCACGATCCCTGTTCTGTGCACCGCCACACAGTGCACACATGGCAGGGGCTACCGACACGCAAGCCTCGTGGCCCTGAGAACTAAACACGGAAGTACGGAGTAGTAGCTCTAATACAAGTCAGTCAATTGGTGACCAAATTCATGTCTTAACATTGAAAGTCGCGATATTCTGATCTATCTCATTATGTTCTATCTGTTATAAATTACACCCTACAAATACAAAACAACAGTCCATGCGCATATAGTTGCCAAAAATAAAGTTCTGAACGCCTCGCTTTAGCCGCCAATGCCATAGAGCCAGCCCCTAACATATGTCCGAAAGAGGCAATGCATCACACTGGCTGACCAAAATATCTGGAATCCTCTTCACTCCGGCGAAGTGTCCTCTCTGGCCCCCAAATCCCTTGCCTCGCCTCTTCAACGGCTACCAAATTATGTGCTCGTCACGATCATCTGAATTGGCTCTCCGTCTTCAACCATGTGCCGAAATCAGTCATTTCAGGATGGATGGACCTCAATTCAGCGATATCTGCCTTTGTCCCTTCTTTCTTAAGCCACTTGAACATGGCGTTGACATCTTTGACAGCATGCAATATCATGTGGGCGACGATTGAGAACGTCTCAGGCATGTCTTTTCCGAGTGCATGCTTGAAGACTTCGGTCGCTTGCGTGTAGGTCAATTCCGCACCTGCTAGTGATATTGCTTGTCCGGCGAGCCTGTCTGAGTTCTTGAACATGTATGCAGCGAACCACCCGATGTCCTTGGTCGCAACAAGCTGCAATGGTTTGTCTTCTGGCAGTGCTGATTTCCACATCGATGCAAGGGCTTTACCCATGAAGTCGTCGGTGAAGCCCTCCATGAATGCGGTTGGACGGAGAATGCCATATCGCATGTTGGTACCGTTTGTCTTTTGAATCAGATATTTCTCGATGTTGTATTTGGTCACCCAGTGCGACACCGTGGTAGGGGTTTCAGAAGACTTGTCGCCGCCACGGTCAACAGAGCTGTACACGAAGAATTGTACGTTGTTGGCCAGCGCTTGGTCGATGATTGCTTTTCCCTGGAATTCCTCCTGAGATTTGTCGGGCCCTTGTACTTGCGCCTGAACGCTGTATACGCCCCAGATGGGAGTCTTGCATTGCTCGAATATGGCCGCGGCATTCGCCAAGTCTCCTTGCAATAACTTGACGTTGGGATATGTTGCCGACAACTTTTGTGCAGCTGGCGATGTCGTGCTCCTTGTCAAAGCGATGATATCGAACTCTGAACCCTGTAGGGCTTTGACGACGGCTCCACCCTGGCGGCCTGTGGCTCCGGTAACCAAGATAGTTTTGGGCATTTTTAGATAGAAGTCTGGATCTCGTCCTATGTGCTCCGACTTTGGTGATGAGAGAGTAGGATGATTTCTGTGAAGAAATACTAGTGTACCTTGGAAGTGTGATTGCACAGAATGTGGTTTTGGGATATGATAGAAAGTGTGAGTAGATGATGAGTGTTAAGACAGAGTGTGTTGCCTTGTATTGGTGGTTGGTAAACTCAGAAAGTATGATAGAATGAAACTGATAATGATGTATAAACAGACTTGGGTACAACTCTATCTCTTATATTAATACCTGAGAGCTCCCACAGCCCCTCTAGCAAGATGTTGTCATGCATATTGGGAGTTGGGTGCGGACGAAGCGGACGAAACTTTTGAGCATTGAGGGATCTGTGCAATTACCAACAATTCCATCCTATGAAACGGAGGATATGGACAAATTCCATAGCCAGAATGAAGGAATATCGGCGTTGCTCGCACCTCCGAACGATGCGGAGGAGTTGATGTTTTTGGTAACGGATAACGCGGTGGAGATGCCGGAGCAGGCGATTAAATCCGACGTAGCCAAATGGTAGTGTCGTCCATAAGCGCATTTTCGAAGCCCAGTAAACTTGACATTCAAACCCTGTTATATTTACTCGTACCCAATCCCCTACTTCCAGCGGAAAAGTCACTGCTATAGGATACCAAACATCTAATTACCTATAAAAAAACAATGTCAATACCATGCTTCACACTTTGCTCGTCCCCAATAAATCGAAGCCCATGGTAAGACACAGTCGATATTCGAGACGTTACTAGATATTTCTGTATCAATAAGCGATCATACTCTCTGACAAAGCAGTACAACAATTACAGCTATACCATATGACATAGACACAGGTCTTGGAGGAGGCAACATACTCGTACTCATATTTATCTGCAACGCACGGACCATCCGCCAAGAGTTCATAAAGGCGAACCCCACACAGCGCCACTTCGAAACTTTGAGAATCGCACAACTAGAACCCAAGCAATCGTCTCAACAACAACGAACGACTACCTTTTTTAAACGATATCACCGCTCGTCTACATAGCCGTCACATTCACACCGAAGAAATCAAGATGTCAAGGGTGGCAGGGTGAGTCGCACCGACCCCGATTTCGCAACGCACATTTAACGAATAATGCAGGCGCACCGACTGGGCCGAAGAAGAGGACGAGGATTCCCTCCAGCTCCCCCAGCAAACAATCACCAAGAACAGGGATGGAACTGAGACTATAGTTTCCTGGTCGATCCGCGAGGATGGCAAGAAGGTCAAGACCACCCGCCGAATCAAGAAGACCACAATCAAAACCGTCGTGAACCCCCGCGTCGCAGAGAGGAAGCAGTGGGCCAAATTCGGACAGGAGAAGGGAAAACCCGCCGGACCTCAGACAGATACCACAAGTGTTGCGGAGAACATCGTTTTCAGACCCTCGGCTAACTGGAAGGCAACAACAGAAGACAAGAGCGAGGACGCGAAGAAGAAGGCCAGCTTGAAGGACGCAAAGATCAAGTGTCGTATCTGTTCCGGAGACCATTGGACCACCAAATGTCCCTTCAAGGATACCATGGCACCAGAGGGTGTGGACTCAACACCTGCGGATCTGGGTTTGGATGCACCGGACCAGGCTGGCGCACTAGGTGGCGGTTCCTCCAGCTACGTACCTCCTCACATGCGAGGCGCACAAGGCGGCGGCGGTGGCGAGAGGATGGGTGGCAAATTCGAGCGCGACGATTTGGCTACTCTGCGTGTCACCAACGTCTCTGATCAGACTGAGGAGCAGGATCTTCGGGAGATGTTCTCAAGATTCGGTCACGTCACAAGGGTCTTCTTGGCCAAGGACAGGGAGACTGGATTGGCAAAGGGTTTTGCCTTCGTCAGCTTTGCAGACCGTTCTGACGCAGCTACAGCGTGTGAAAAGATGGATGGCTGTAAGTGCATCACTTTTAAAACTGAGTACATCAAACTAATATGTTCACAGATGGATTCCGGCATCTCATCTTGCGGGTCGAGTTCGCGAAGAAGTCTACGTAATTTGCTGGCTTTGGATAGATCGAGTGCCTACATGTTAATGACCTTGCAATGGGTTTATGAGATACTTTCCCTGAGGGCTGCCTGGTGTTTTTGATCCCCAGGACGTCCAAGTGGACACTGGCGTCCACGAATTGTGACTTCTAAAATATATTGATTCCACGTACTCCTCTACTTTCAAGGCTTTGTGATCATGCAGTGTTGCAAGCCCACATTGTGTCCAATCTCAACCTCAGTCTTGAGGCCCTGCCTGTACGATAGCCTACCCCTCTGATCCCAAATTCCACTGCACACGACCATTGCGATGGTTGAGTAGCTGTGCCGCAGGCACAGGCCTAGGAGCAGCTATCAGATCACTGTTTGTCCTAGCTATGCCAGCTGACATTGGAAGGGATGGCGAGGAGTAGGACTCGCTGTTCGTTCTGATTAGACCCGGAGTATTTTGCACAAGCTGCCAGTTGCTACTATGATGTGTGTCTGGCATGTGCCTACGCGTGAGTCCTGATCAGCATAGAATTGATAGTACTTCATGGTACATAAGTTCTTACTCAGGTTGTACACTGCTTCTCCGACTCGCAGGCACACTCCCTGCCAAACTTGGCGTGGCGCCCCTAATGCTTCCAGCTATATTTGCCTGGAAGGTCGCTGCATGCTGAGCTTGAGGAGTCGCGGGCAACTAGCCACTACTCGATATTCCTTCCGTATCGAGCATTCGTTGGAGAATATCCTCAGTGATGACCAGTAGATGCTCGAAAGCTGCGAGTCGCGAAGTTTCCTTGGCGGAAGAGCAGTGAATATAAGATCTACCTGTAGGATTGTGCTCAACGATCGCGACCCCAATTTTGCGGCTTGAAGTATGTGCGAAGCTTATGGTGTCGAGGTGTCGTGTCGCTCCGTAGATCGCGCGCGCGTTTGCTGAAGCGGATGTCAACACCGTTCTTTGTATGGGCCGTAACAAGAGCTTAGGGTAAGCGAAAAGGGGGCAGACTAACCTAGAACTCTTGCTCGAGTTGATTCCAAAGAATCCTCGTTGTCTCTGTCCTCCATGTGGTGCAATATCTGCGACGCCGTCCTCTCCAACTGCAGGGCCTCGTACGAGTTCTTTCCGTGCTTCATGTCCTTTATAGTCTCCAGCATTCTGTGTCGGTTTCTTGGCTACTTCTAGTCCTGAGAGAGTACTGCGGCTGCGACTTTGTAGTTCCCACTGCTTGCGCCGGCGATCAAGTCCAGCCTGCCGCCTGTGATGGGACCTGTTGTGGATGTCCGGGTTCCAAGAACCTCGCCTGTGGCCCTTAAAGTGTGAGCCACCAAATCTGATGTTAGAAATAGCGGGATTTGTTGCCGAGCTAGCTTGAAGTTGATTTTCGGTCGCCAGATCGTTCAGGTAGGGGATAGGTCGTGGACGATTAGGATTAGAGTTTGTAGCTGGGTTGAAGTAAGGGACTGGACCTCCTGAGCAAGGTGAGCAGAGACAGCTGAGCACTTCAAAGCATGTTAGTACGTGCTTGACTAGTAATGTAGGTCTCGAAACTGACTGCAATTTGTATGAACCCAACAACGTTATAGGATGATTGAGATATGCCAGCGCCCGGAAGTTGAAGATAAGTTGGGATAGGTAGATGAGTTGATATGATTCTAGCCTGTCTTCACTATATACTTGTCCATTAGTCGGATACTTATCGAGGAAGGTGCAAGGGCAGCACTTGGTTCACTTCGCTCGGTCCGTTTGGGCAATCGCTGATCGATCTGTCAGAGACTTGCAGAGAATGTTCTTGTCCAAATAAATAATCCTTATCTGGGCTCACTTAAAGCAGGTGGTGATGGGAACGTAGCGGTAATTTTCAATAAGGCCCTATCATGTCTCTGAGGATATCCGGAGTGGTGAAGAGCGCCACGCAAGTGCATGAATCTGTGATCAAGTCAAAGAGAATTTTACTGTGTGATTCCATATAAGATGTCCCTATTTAATCATGTTTCCTACCAACATAGATGGTAAAGAGCCTGTTGCACAGTGTTCGCAGCGCAATACGAACAGCAAGTGCATGTCCAAACCTTTATCTGTGCTTGCTAAAATCTGCAATCAGAAGTCAAGCCTTATTGTCTGTAGGAAATGTTTACTTTCATGAAGGTGCACTTAAGTAAATTCCAGGTAGTGAATGAATTTGTCTGTTAGCAATTGAATCTCTCTTGTAACATAGTCGTTGTCGAAAGTTAACCATAGTCATAATGATCATTTCAAATTGGAATTACCCGAGACAAATGAAACAAGAAAAATTGGTATATTATTGTGGCACAACCAGGTGATGATGCCTGGAGCACGAGTACAAGCTGAGTGATGTAGTCAGATCCCTGGCGCTAGTCCAAAGTTGTTTAAATATAGACTCTGGTGCTCGAATGACGTGAAGCGGATCGGGGTGATCACCCTCTGGTTGTCACGAGCTCTCCCAAGCTTCCTGCGCCTCCCGGTTATCTCCCGGACCCCTCATTACATTAAACCACCACAGGACCGTAACAGGATGAAAGTAAAGAAACCTCCATGAAAGATCCACGACCATGTCGCCGTCTCAAGATCTACCTGGAGGCGATGCAGAGCACCACGAGAGTCCGGACACTGTCCCCATCATTACAATTCAGTCAGCGGACCCAGCGTCTGATAGCCACAATGAGGAACGAGGCCGTTTGAAACGACGGCGTATGTCTTCTCATTCTCCACCACGCGCGCCGTCCCCTTCTCGTGGCCACGAACGAGAGAGTGGCTCGCGGCATCGACACCATTATCGCAAGCACCGCAAACAATCATCCTCGGCCTCCTTATCCCCACAGCCATCGCCCGCGCGGAAACCTCGTCGACGTAGCGATGCGGAGCCGGACCATACCCTGCGAGGCCGGGCACGCAATCGAAGTAAGAGTGGTTCTGACTCTCCACTGTTCGAGGAAAGCGAGAAAGAGTTAGAGAAAGCGAACAGGAAACGAAGTCCTCCTCCTAGTCGACACCAAAGTGGGAATTCTGTTGGTACTAGGCGGCAAAGAAGCCTACCGAACCAATATAGGGAAGAGCATAACGCGAAGGCCAAATTACTGCAAACATGACATAGTCGTGGTCTTGAAGTAGCCTTTGTGATTATAGAATCTGGTCGCTATCGCGGAATGGAAATACGAAAAGAGAGGTTCTGGAGATGTGCCCACTATGTACATTAATTCGTCTCCGTGGGAAAGGGATTGACTAATTCGGAAGGGTATATAGATGCGCGCCAGCCGGCCGGGCTGGATGTCCTTTTATGTCGTGGTTCATCTTCAAGTACATGAGAGATGAGCCCACCGCGTGTCGCCGTCGACCTCTCCATCTACGCTAGTAGGGGTCAGCGGTTGTTCACAAGGTCATAATAACCTCTTATTCCACTCCACTTGTGTGGTTACCCAAAAACGTACCTCGCGGCATAGCGCACGCTTACCAATCATATACCCAACCACTGTTACGCTCCATGAACTCTGTGCAAGCTTCCCTGAGGGCCATGTTGGGTCTTAGGTCCCCTATTGTGAGCGTTTCGCGTGTCAGTGGATCTGTAGGGCTTCTCTTCAAGTGCTCGATCAACGTTGCCCTTTCGTAGCTTCGCCCGTTCCGTGTCACTACGGGATCGTGCATGATCTCAAACGTGATACCATCGACGAGGTAATCAGGCACCTCTCTGAGTTTCAAGTTTTCAGGATCTGATAGCGCAAAAGCTGTTCGCAGGTCGTTGATCTTGTCGTCGTATTCTTTCTTTCTGTCGGCTTTCTCCTCTTGGCCCTCAATCGTTCCCACCGACCCTGAGGCTATTCTGTCTTCGATCTCGTGGACGTCTTTCTTGTAGTCCTCTTCAAGCTTAGCTTCTAACTCGGAGAGTAAATCTGCACGGCGGCGTATCCGGTCTCTTTCTCTGATTTCCCATTTGGCCTTCTTGGCCTTCAAAACGAGTGCTGATATGGTGGCTGCGTTGGAGGTCTGCTGAGAAGAATTGGTGCACAGTTCATATGCCATGAGAGCCGAGGATAAGGCTTCATTAGGGTGATTGATGGCAAGCTGGGCCTGGGCTATTTCACGAGTGTTAGTGCTGTACATAGAAACACTGAAATCTATCTGCATGGCAGTGCAAAGATCACAGTGCATCAAGCTTACCTAGGTAGAAGAAGGCCTTCATATTCTCTTTCATGAGCTCTATGCTTCTTATGCAGTCATCGATGACGCCTTCCCATTTTTCCAACTTTAGCCTGGCATTCGCACGATTCGTAAAGAGCAGTGGGTTCTTGGAGTTCTTCTGTATGGCCTGAGAATAGAACGTCTCAGCTGTGCCATAATCTCCGTCCTTGAAGTGAGCATTTCCCTGGTTCTTCAGCTGCTCCGCTGCATACTCGTTCCCTGGTGGCATAATGGCTGATAGCTGCTGGAGTTTCAAGTGAAGAAGTTATTGAGCGTGCAGCAACTGTAAGAATGTTACGATCACTACGCGGCAGAGGATAACGAGGGGCGAACGCCGCGCGAGGTGGGGCGAGCACGTCTCTCCGTACTCAAAGACTCTTTGCTCCTTGCGCACTTGTGAATGTTCAGCGGGCTGAGTAATTCCTTTAAGCTTCAGGAATAATACAAAGATAACCACGTGGATCAAATTTGAGCCTTTTCCTTTCTCGTTGGTGTAAATGAATGGACCCTGGAGTGAGATGTAGATACGGACGCAGGTATGTAGGGTACTTTAGTATGCAAGGGAGCAACGGGATCGTGCGAAGCTTCTGGAACACGGCCCACCAGTACGAAGCGTCGAAGCTTACAAAACAGCGCGGCTGACGGCACGGAAGGCGGGATGCAGTGCTCTTGAGATGTTGCACATTCTATAGTTGGTCACATGCGTTCTTGTGTTTATAAAGTACATAATATAGGTGCTTGAGGTTCCACCTTTCCCTAGGTAGGTACGTACCTAGGTACTCATGGAATATCTGCGGGCGGTGAAGAGCATGACGCTGAATATCGAATACCTCACGTTGCACGGGTAGCGGTTTGAGAAACCTCTGTGACTTGTTTGCATCTTCCTTGACGTAAAGAAGAATTATGGAAGCCTGGATGTATGTGTGAACAAAACACGCAGGGCATTCAACTATCAGCGATAGCATACACATTTGACAGGATTATGATAGGCGGAGATTGTACGGAGATCAACGGGGAGATACCTCGGATCTCAGTCTTGGATGTATCCACAAACTCTATTCGAACGAACGACGAGACGTTTGTTGTCGATCCAAGGCCCGCATAAACACAAATTGCACTCACTGTAGCCCTCGAACGGGGTGCGGACAACATTCGCTACAATGACCACGGCCGCTTCGATGCGTGCCATCCGCCTCCGGCCCTCAATTGCACGCCCCAGTTCCCTTCCCAACTCCATCCGCATCTCCTCACGACACGCCTCAACAGCTTCAGAGACAGCGACGAACGCACGCTCCACGGCGACCCGGACGAAGAACCTCATATACGGAACACTACTCACATTTGGCCTGTCGTTCGGCTACCTCTACGTCACCGATACCCGCGCCAGCGTCCACCAATGGCTCGTCGTACCTGCGTTACGCCAGATCTATCCTGATGGCGAGGAAGCCCACCACGCCGGCTCAGCAATCCTTAAGGCACTGCACAGCTTCGGTTTGAACCCAAGAGAGCGAGGCAACCCAGACGCCCAAGGCGACCTCTCCGTGGAGATTTTCGGCCACGTACTCAGCAACCCCATTGGAACCTCCGCAGGCATCGACAAGGGCGCCGAAGTGCCCACTCCATTGCTCGACCTCGGTGCCGGCATCGTCGAAGTCGGAGGCGTCACACCCTTACCCCAGCCGGGAAACCCCAAGCCGCGAGTCTTCCGACTCCCCTCGCAGAATGCGCTCATCAACCGGTACGGATTCAACTCCGAGGGCGCGGAGACAGTAGCGATGAGGCTACGACACCGGGTCCGCGAGTTCGCATACCACATGGGACTGGGCATCGACGAGGAGGCAGAGCGGAAGATCTTGAACGGAGACGCGGGCGTGCCTCCAGGATCTCTGACGCCGGGCCGTTTGATGGCCGTCCAGATCACGAAGAACAAGGACACGCCTGAGGGCGACATCGAGGCCGTGAAGCGGGACTACTCGTTCTGCGTCCAGCACCTCGGCAAGTACGCAGACATCATCGTGGTCAACGTCTCCAGCCCCAACACCCCCGGCCTCCGCTCCCTCCAGAACGTCGAGCCGTTGACCCACCTCCTCACCAGCGTCGTCAAGGCCGTCAAGCAGGTCGACCGCAAGGTCAAGCCCGCCATCATGGTCAAAGTCAGCCCGGACGAGGACTCCGAAGAGCAAATCACCGGCATCTGCGAGGCCGTCTGGGACTCCGGTGTCGACGGCGTCATCGTCGGCAACACCACCAAGAAGCGACCGGACCCGCTGCCAAAGGGCTACGCTCTCCCAGCCAAGGAAGCCCAAATCCTCCTCGAACAAGGCGGCTACTCCGGACCCCAGATGTTCGAGCGCACCCTCGCGCTCGTCAAGAAGTACCGCAAGACCCTCGACGACGGCCCGCGACAAGCACCACCACCACCACCCTCTCCCCCTCAGACAGAAGAAACCCCCTCACCAGTCACCACCACCGTCGCAGAAACCCTCGACTCCGCCAAATCCAACGCCAAAGACATCACCTCCTCCCTCTCCACCACCACTCCCACCCCCTCCGAATCAACCCCATCCAACGTAGACGACCTCGCCCCCTCCGCACCCACCCTCTCCCTCCCCCCACCGACCTCCACATCATCACCAGCACCAGCGCCAAACAACCCCCGAAAAGTCCTCTTCGCCACCGGCGGCATAACGAACGGCCGCCAGGCGCGCGAGATACTGGATTCGGGCGCCAGCGTCGCGATGGTGTACACGGCGCTGATCTACGGCGGCGTGGGCACGATTAGCAGGATTAAGCGGGAGATGAGGGACGATGCTGCTGCTGCGGCGGCGGCGGGGGAGAAGAAATGAGGAAGGGTTTGTGCTTGTTTGGGAATGGTATTGTAGAAGTATGTTATAGATAGGGGGAAAATTCTAAGATGTACTTTTTGTGAAAAAGTGTATGGGTATGTTTGTGTGAGTGCAGTAGACGTGTGATGATGGGATTTCGAAGTCGTGATGTCTTGTGATGGCGATGACGGTGATGGTCTTGGTGGTGATGTGGAAAGATGGCTCTTGTCGTCGATATCTGTTACAAGTGCTCCGTTCTTTCAAAACTGACGAAAATACGTATGTGTATAAAACGTCACGATGCGTCTGCGCTTCCGTGAGAACACCTCCAGCACGAACGACCTACTCAACCCCTTGACGAAACGTAGTTACGACAATTAGTAGGGATGTAAGCACACATCACACATTCACGATTTAGCCCAGTCCAGTTCATTCCGGTTCTGCAGTTAAAGAGGTGTGCGAGAGCGTGAGAGATGTTCAAAAACAATGCTTTACTACCCCTATCGTATTCCTTCTTATACAAATCCCCCTCCTTGTCATCCCTCCTTTCCTTCGTCCACCCGTCCGTCTAATTGGCTCTCTCTACCAACAAGAAGAAAAAACATGGTCCGAAATCCAACGAGCGCTTCCTCCATCCCCCAAACCCCCCAAAGCCCAAGTCCGAAAGTCCAAGGTCCCAAACCACGGTGAATGTACCACGCATGCATGCCAAAGCCAAACAAGAGAAAGAGAGGAAGTGAGGGAGGGAGGAAGAGGGGGGTTACAATACCAAGCAAGCGGTGAAGTGAAAGCAAAACTCCAAGGTCTTCGGTGGAAATCTTTTTCTTTCGTCATCGTCATCGTGAGCGTCGTCGTTATCCCTACGGTGCGTGTGTGTGTGTGTGCATGTGTGAGTGTCCGCCGGAAACGACGGGATGATAGATCAGTCGTCGTGAGTGTTGCGACCGTGTACTGTGTGCTGACGTGTGATCTCATGGTAGGATCTTCTTGACGTCTTCGACTGTTTCCCAGAGCTCGAAGGCCCTCTCGGCTTTCATCTGATAGGGAAGTTAGTATGGGGGGTTCGTAGTGGCAGTGGAACGGCTTAACTTACCCTTAATAAATGCATTTCGAGCGTGCCGTCGGCAGTTGGGGTGTTGAAGAGGAGGCGACCGTCGGATGGCTTACTGCCGGCGGCATCGCCGAACGTGGTGGTCTTCGTGACGGCTGCGTTGAGGAGGAGTCGGTGGGTTCCGTCTGCGCGGAGCACGAATCTCGCTCGGGTGGGTTCCTCCTTTGTGATGTTGAGTTTGAAGGGGCCGACTCCGCGTTCGTGCCAGGCTCGGGCGTCTCCCTCGCCATCCATTGTGTAGAGTTTGGCGCGGCCGATCCAGCGTGGCTCCTCGCCTTCTTCTCCTGTCTCGACTGTTTCTTGTGTTAGTCTTTGGGTAATCGCGTGAACGCTGGGGTCCAACTCACCATCCATTGGTTGGAAGTTTTTCAGGGGTTTCGATTCCGGATGCTTGACTTTATCAGTGTCATTATTGGTAGCTGCCTCCTCATCTCTTGAATCGTCATCCTCCTCGTCATCCTCCTCTTCGTCGTCCGCCTGTGCACCGAATGGCCGGACGTTCTTTTGTTTCAATCCCGTAATGGTCTGGGCACCTGGAGTAGCGAAACTCTTAAGTCCGCTACTTGGTCCCCCTAGGCCACCAAAAGCACTTGATCCAAGGGCACCGCCGAAACCTGAACCTCCTAATGTAGGTGCGGTGCTGCCGCCAAATCCTGAAGTCCCGGTTTTGGATCCAAGGGCCGAGAAAGAGCTCGCTGGAGCGTTTGATGTAGGCGCAGGGGATGCAAAGCTTGTAAGCTTGCTTCCTCCTGCGGCACCGCCGAATGGTGAAGCCGACGCTGTCTGGGTAACGCCCCCGAATGGGGAAGCGCTGGATGATGCAAAGCTCCCAAAGCCAGAGGCTTTGAATTTGTCGTCGGAAGTTTGTGGCTGGCCCAGAGTGCCATTCTTCGAATCAACCTTTGATGTGGAGTCCTTCGGAGTAGCTGACAAGGAAGAAAATGGGGAAGCAGCAGACGTATTAGCAAAGCCGCTGCCCGGAGGGATCTAAGTCGTGTGTTAGTCGCCTTGATGATTGATATAAACTCTGCTGATTGAACACCCACCTTTGTCTGAGTCTCCTTCGCTGGCTCGGATACGTGATCGGTGTCGCGTGGCCGTTTTGGATCACGCTCTTCGCCTGCTACACTGGCCCCAGAAATCGAGATAGAAGCACTAGGAGCATCGCCGCTTCTGGTCTGATCAAGCGGGCGCTTGTTCTTGGGGCTCAGCATTGTTGCTGCATTGGTTGTATCCACGGCTTCTGGTGTTTGTGGTCGATCAGCGCTTGGTTGCTGAGGTTTAGCTGCTTCCTCGAGACCTTCCTGCTCCGGTATCCGGGGGATTGGGCTCTTCGACGCAGCCTGACTGTCGACGTCTGAATCCTTGGGGCTAGTGACATCCCGCGACTTCTTGCGAGCATGGTGCTCGAGCACCTTCTTCTCTTGCGGCTTATCTGTCTCGTCCTCAAAGTCCTCGCGGCTGCGCTTGCGACGTAATCGCCCTCGGCTGCTCTCCGATTCTGATGTGTTTGTGTCGACTGCAACGTCGGTTCCATTTGGAGCGTCCGTCATGGGATCCTGGACTGCCTGTGTCTTGTCCGACGGCGGTAGCGTATCGAGCGTGGTTTCTTTCAGGTTTTCCCTGACTTGCCTTCCTTCACTATCACTACTCTTGTCGCTTCGGGCCGGAGAAGTAGGCTGCGGCGGTTTGGAGGCGGTATCTTCGCCTCGATCCATGGTCGCGTGGAAAGTGTGTGTTCGTCAGATCTCGAGTTGTTTCGGTCTAGAGGTCATGCGAGAGTGTCTGCGCGGTCCGCGGTGTAGTAAGTGGGGTTCGAGATCGAGGTCCCAACTCGTGCGGTATCGGTGGTGGAGGCCTCACAAGCTCACTCTAACTTTGATCGCGATCGACGGTGATGATAGCAGTAGCTCCAAGTATGGTAGTCACAAACAATTCGCAGTGCAAGTGCCTACTCCAATGTTCGAGAGTGGTGAGAAGAGCGGTTGGCGGTTGGCGATTGGCGATTGGCGGTGGGTAATGGAGCTTTGTTGAAAACGATCGGCGGCAAGGCGATCGGGGCGGATCGAGAGTGATGAGAATAGGCGATTCGAAAGACGATAGCGTATGCTGAGAGCGAGAGTGTTGATAGTTCCTCTGGTCAAGCTGATCGCAGATTGTAGATCGTAGAGAGGTAAAGGAGCTGGATGTAGGTAGGTGTAATTAGAATGTTGATTTTGCTGGTGGAGTCTGGCGAGGTCAAAGCGGCGTGTGAGGGACAGCGGGCGGGTATTGCTGGTGTTGGCGGAGAACAACACTAGGGAAGTAACCTTGTAACTACTCACTCAAGTTGTAGTACGAGCAAGTACAAGACTACATATAAGACTATGACAAGGCCAGTACGGTCCCCAGGTTAAGCTGTGCTTATGCTTTGTGCTGCACACACAACAATCTTGGATATGTTTGTGCGCAGCTTGCCTTTGTTCCAGAGGCCTTCTAATGGGCTACACGACACGCGAGACTCTGATCCAATTTCAGGAGGCGCGCAAGGTTTCCGCAGGTTGTGGCGGCGCCAGAGGAGGAAGTTGGAGTGATGCGTTGTCCGATGTTGTGCTGTAGTGTCTTGTTGGCGGCGGCAGCAGCAGCGGCTGAAAAACCAATGACGAGATGAAATAATGGGTGGACTCAGGTACTTCTCTAATTACTGGGTAGCAATCCTACGCAATTGGACTACCATTGATTTAATTACTTCTATTACCTCCCACCTCCTACATCTCTACATATATCAACTTCAAGCTACCTATACTATGCTCTTGCTATTGTAGAGAACAACAATGGGATGAACAAATAGTATCGAGGCAATGTATTGTTATACGTCGAAGTATGCATCTCAAATGCATAACACCCATATACCTATGGTACATCTAGGTAAATACGATGTTGCCATAGAGCATACACACTTGGTATGAAGCTTATCTCCACATTCTCTTCACAATAATTATCACATCCATCTATTGGTTCCAGAGTCAGTTTGCCGAATGGGTCAAATTGTTATTTTGGTCGCGTACGAAATGTGTCATTTCATCCCTCTACGCTGCAGCTCTCTGCCGACCTGAGCCAATCTTGGTATCTATGCTCCACCAATCTAAGGAGGGAACTGTGTTTGACTTGGAGTTTTCGGTTTGGCACCATCCGATGGTCGACCATAGCTTTATGATTCACCATGCGTCCGGAAAAAGAATAAAAGAAAGAAAAAAGCAAAACAAGAGGCCATCTGGGCCATCTGGGAGAAACAACAAGACTGCTACATGGCATATGGTGTTACAATATCGGAAACATCCAACGCACGGCTGAACGATGCAGGGCAAAGCGATTGCCTGCACGAACTAACTGATGAAACAGATGCAGCCCAGCGCAATATAGAAAACAAACAGTGGGTATACGGCTATTCCTACGCGATTCCTCACCACCCCTGATCCGCCCATGATGCTGATGCCGGCCGCCAACGACCAGGCTACGAGTACGAGATAGATTGGTATTCTGGGGATGGGGTGCAGGCCGACGGCGCTCAAGGCAGACGCAATGACGAGCGGGAAGAGTGTGTAGCCGATGATGGATATGGACTGGAAAAATGCGCTGTGATAGTCAGTTTTGAGCTCGTGAATTTATCGATCGGAGTCGAATGCGGTAGCCACTTACATATTTCCGCCTAATAACTTGATCTGCAGCGTAACAACAGCCTCTCCTATCCACACCATTGCGAAAACACCAGAGAAGACCAAATCCTTCTGGGAGTCTTGGGCGCGTCCTCGGGATAGGAACAGACTGAGGAGCAGGCAGAAAATGAGAGGTCCCCAAAGGTCCCAATCGCGAAGGCCCTCGCTCATGCCTCCCTGCAGAATCACGTCGGCATCCGGCCACCTGCCAGCGAGGGCTCTAAGACCGCCGCCGAAGCCATCTGCCTCACCGCGCTCAGCAGCGCCAATGCCTCCACCACGCTGCATCATGCCGCCGAGGATATATTTAGGCCAGAGAACTTGCTTCATCTTCTCCCAAATGGCAATCAGATCTCGCGACAGGGTTTCCCATACCGTCTCATCGATAGTGTTTGTCGGCGCGCGGCGGTCCTCTCCCCCAACGGCGGAGGTGAGGTAGGACTGTGTGTTTGCATTAGAACCCGACCGAGATTGGATATTGCCTGTGAGGGGAGCGCGGTCGGAGGTGGGTTGGAGAGGGTCATCGAGGTCGTCGAGGGTAGCTGTAGCAGTGGATGCGGTCAATAGATGTAGAAGGGAGAGTTATAGGAATGATGGGATAAGGGATTGTATATTTGTGGGGGGTATGAATAGGATAGTGTACAAGTATAGGTGCATACATACCATCATCTGGATCTATGAGGTCGCGCTCGACAGCATCATTGTCATATGGATTGCTGGGGTCAGAGGAGCTCGGCATCATGGCCGCCATGATGGAGAGAGATGGATGGGGGTATGAGGTGTGAAGACAGGGAAGAGATCCGGAATTGGGGTGTGATTATTGGTGGGAATGGTTTGAGTGAATTGAGTGAATGAATGGCTGAATCGGGGAGGCGACTCGCGATAGTGTGGAAAGCTACCTAGGAAGGTAGTAGGTGGATAGATGAGGCTCTTCTGCTAGTATGTAGATGGGATTACGTGTAGGATAGGTGGATGGGTTTACGGCCTATTGCCTATACGGTAGTTACGGGCTTGGCTTGGACAGGCCAGATTGTCACATACGAACCACGAGGTACCTGTTGGCAGGGACATCACAGGGACAGTACATGGGCGGTTCGGCTGCCGAAAGGAGTAAAGATGCCGCCCGAAATCCCCTTCCAAAGCTTAATGCTCAAGAGATTGTAGGGCTTCAACCTTTCCCCTGCCAGTCCAGTTGAGGGAAACTTAACAGTAATCCATTAGATTGACTGGGTCTGGTACACCTTCCCACTGGCTAGAGCATCGGATCATTTTTGGGTCTCGGGGTATCTTTAGGATATCAATTTCTTCCTTTTTGCCTACCATTTCTGCCATTCCTGCCATGTGCCTGTCCCAAAGGACATCAACATCCGCCTCCGCCGCCGCCGCCGCCGCCGCCCACCGACTGTCTCCTCCGCTACCAATCTACATAGCATACACAGACAGTACCAGTACCATGCCATGCCATGCCACCCCCACCAAAGCCCACCAAACCCACCCATACAACCACAATGCGTCACTTCCGCCAACCCACCACTAATAACTTTTCTCCTTCTACTCCTGTCTTTCACTCCTCTTCTACTTCTAGATATATTTATATGTAACATAGACCCCAGTCCACCTGTCTTTCATATAAACTCAATTACCCATCTCCCCTAAACCATGTCTTCCTCCATGCGTCCGCTCCGTCGCTAAGCATCCTAAGCATCAATACCTAGACCATCCTGCATAGCTTCCGCTACGGTTACAGTTACACTTCCAGTTACGGCTCACGCTCCCACTTTCCCTTTTCCCTCCTCTTCCTATTTTCTCTTCGACTACCTATCCCGGTAGTTCCCAATTGAATTAAATATCCTCTTCTCTCTCTCTTCTTTCCTGGTCCAACTATCGCCTGCGATCCTGCCTCCTTTCTCGGCAACTCCGCACTCCCCCCGCAAACGCCATGTCTGAACCAATCCTCAACGACATCTCCCACCGCCGTCTCAATCTCCTCCGAGGCAGCTGGGTCCTCGTCTCCCCCCACCGCAACAAGCGGCCATGGCAGTACGTCTCAAAGATTTCCTTCTTTCCTCCCTGCGTCCTCTCTTTCTATGTATCCTGTCCTTCTGGGACTTTGGCAATTCCACATTGCCCCCCGCTCCAGGGATCCCTACTAGATTCACCAAGTTCTTCCCCAGCTAATCGGTACGCTCAGAGGTCTTCAAGAATCGCCGTCCAGAACCACGCTGCCCGAGTATGATCCAAAAGTACGTCTGGAGTCTCACGAGTCTGCCAACCAAAGTCACACGTCCCTGACCAATGCCAGTGCTATCTCTGCCCAAGCAACACTCGCGCCAATGGGGAGATAAACCCAAAGTTCGACCGCACCTTTGTTTTCGTAAACGATTATAGTGCAGTCAAGGAAGACCAAGAAGAATATCACCCAGAACGAAAAGAGAGCAGCCTAGCAACCCGATTGCTTCAAGCCGAGGCTGTTACAGGCAAATGCTATGTTATAACATTTTCCCCATCTCACCACCTCACACTCGCCGATATGACCCCGGCGCAAATCCTACCCATCATCGAGACCTGGACAAGTATTTATACGACACACTTGAGCCCCAAATCTCCTCTGGCTCAGATTGCCAGTTCGATAACACTTCCACCAGAGAGCCGCGAACATGTTGTGCAGCCAAGCGCCCAGTATCGTTACATGCAGATCTTTGAGAACAAGGGAACTACCATGGGCTGCTCCAACCCTCATCCCCACGGCCAGATCTGGACCACCACTTCTCTGCCCGAGGAGCCAAGCATAGAGATTCAGCAATTCCAGAAATACAACAAGGAACACGGAGGTGCCCATCTGCTTACCGATTATGCGGAATTAGAATCGAATGAGAAAGAGCGAACAGTCTTCGAGAACAAATCCTTTTGGGCAGGTGTACCTTACTGGGCCGTGTGGCCTTTCGAGATCATGATTGTGAGCCGGCAGCACAAGCGTGCTCTTGTCGACTTTGACGACAGCGAGCGGGCGGAGCTAGCTGAAGCCATTGCAGAAGTGACAAGACGTTACGACAACCTCTTCGAGACACAATTCCCCTACAGTGAGTCGCTCTACATATTTTGTAATGCTAAGTATCACCATCTAACACAGCACGCGCAGGTATGGGATTGCACCAAGCCCCACTGGAAGGGACGCCGGAAGAAATCGAGGCCAGTCATTTCCACATTCATTTCTACCCTCCGTTGTTGCGTAGTGCGACAGTGCGGAAGTTCCAGGTGGGCTACGAGATGTTGGCCGAGCCTCAGCGTGACATTACCCCCGAGCAGGCTGCTGAGCGTCTTCGAGCTTGCGGCGGCGAGCTCTACCGGCGCAAGCTATAAGGATAATTTCACTTCGAAGAGTGTACCGGGTTTTATTCACTTCACTGTACATCTTTTGGCAGTTCTTGTGCGTAAGTGCATATGGGTGCATGGACAAAGTGGACAGGGAAAGCGTTGTTGCAGGTGGAGCGTTACATTTTGGGACGGTTACTATTTGCCAATAGAGAGATGGATTACATCCGCGGGGGAAGCCAATATACCCAGATCGACGAGCTGGAAAATGTCATTTCAAGGGACGTTAGGGATCATCGCTTGCATAGACAGTAGAAAAATCACGAAAGTGCCAGTCATACTCTGATACAGTCATGCCTTCTGACGCTTCCAATTCTCGAACGAGCAGTCCTCCCGCCGAGGAGGCATGCCATGTGCGCACATATCACGCAAGCAAGGCAGAATACTGAGATTATTTTTGTAAACGTCGTCTTCCCCGCACTTTTCTTTTTTCCCTATACAATTGCCGGCATTTTGCAGGTTGCGGGGGTCACGTAACGAACGGCCTTGTGACGATGTAGACATCTGTTTGGGATGGGTGTGCGTCCGGCCGGTTTGCCTGGTTATTCGCAAACCCAAAAAAAATAAGGGACGAAAATAGCACTGCCATCGCGACCCTCTGGTTTCCCCGTGCGCGCTCATGAGCCAGCCATGTATAACCAACACCGTGTTGTGAACAAGTGAATTAGGTACCCTCTACAGGCAATCAAGGCACGCGAGTACGCCGATGTGTATTCCCTCCCAATATCATACAATCCATCCATTTTTCCCTCCCTCTCTTCCTCCATTACCCTTCCACCTCCCCCAACCTCAGCCTTCCTATACCCATACCATATCCTCACAACATCCTCACCCCATGAAAACCCCTTAACTCGACCCAACATACCACCCCCACTGCCTCCACATCCAAACCAAACTCACACTACTCACCAACCCGGGACCCGCAAGCCCCGCATCAAACCTACACGTCCCAAACACCAGCCACTCGCTCACAAAGTGCGCGAACGCCACGCCGTACGTCCAGAACGCGAGCTCGTAGATGCGGCGGTCGGTCACGTTGTACGCGGCGTAGAGGCGGACGACGGCGGAGAGGAACGTCCAGGTGCCGAAGGTGCGGGCGGAGAGGGGGGTCACGGGCGAGGGGCCACGGCGGCCGCCGGCGTAGACGCGCTGGGTGGGCCGGAGCGAGATGTAGGCTTGGAGGGAGTTGGTAACGGCGATTACGGAGACCTGTTGGGGGTGGGTGGATTGTTAGTTTGGAGGAACAGGGAGGGGAATGGGAGGGAGGGGAGGAGGGAGAGGGTACCATGAGGAGCCATTTTGGGAGGAGGCCGTCTCCCGGGGGGAGGTAGGATGTTATGTGTGATGCCATTGGGGCGGAATGGGATTGATTTCCGTGGGCGAAGGTGTTCACGTTGTGTGGGTGTGTGGTTGTTTGGTCGTTGGTGGTGGTGACGAAGGGGAAATGGAAATGTTTAAAGTCAGTTAACTATGTCCTGACATTTGATAGTAGCTGAGCTAGGGTCAGTTGCGAATGGTACAGAAATTATAAAGGTGCGGCGAACCGTGCGCGCTACAATGGCTTGGGACTTTAGAAGGCCTTGAATCTTACTCGTACGGTAGGTAATGGTACGGCGTACGCTGGGCCTTCTTTTTTCTTTTTATGGGGAGAGTGCGGCGTGGTGGTAGCATTCACCAAATGTAGAAAGGGACGTTACTATATGGGGAATTATCATATGGAAGGGTTCTATTGTCTAGAGCGAGGACGATTGGGGGTCGGCGTGTCTGAGAATACCAGAGACTAGCAGTTTGTGGCACCCAATAATTGCAATAACGCACTATGCATCGTCGAGATGTATTACTGGTATGTGTACCCGAATCGATGGATGAGTATGTGATATCACTGCACCGGCCTCAAAAATTGCAACGAACAGGTCAAACGCTTCTTATCACTGTAAAGTAAAATCCATTTTGAACGTCGTCAACGGTAGAACATCACGTCGACGCAGCACAGCAGTGTGTGTCCTTGTTCTTTTGAACTGCCTTAGCGGCCATTTTTTCGCCTGCTAGGGACTTTCATTTGATCATAGACTGCAGAAACATACATGGCCCTTGGGACTCCGATTTCCTGAACCCACATGCAGAATGTGACCATCTTTTTCTTATTCCTGACGTGATCCGTACCTGCGCCTCTTCCTGTCCTGTCCTCAAACGCTTTTCATCCCTGACATCTAGAACTTGGTGAACGACTTAACGGCCTTGCCAGTTCGGGGAAGGACGCGGAGGACGTTGAAGCGGACGGTCTTGCTGAGGGGCCTGCACTGGCCAACGACGACCTGGTCACCGGGCTCGACACGGAAAGCAGGGCTAACGTGAGCGGCGAGGTTCTTGTGACGCTTCTCGTAACGGGAGTACTTGCGGACGAAGTGGAGGTATTCACGGCGGATGATGAGAGTACCTAGAAGATCGGTCAATATCGCTAACACACTAACGCGCACATTTCGAGATATCGCAATTGCGGTCGAAATTCGAGCTGGGGAGTGCGGAAGACGTACGGTGCATCTTGGTGGACACAACGGTTCCGGTCAAAATACGTCCACGGATGGAGACCAACCCAGTGAAGGGGCACTTCTTGTCGATGTAGGATCCATCAATGGCGGTCTTGGGCGTACGGAAGCCAAGTCCAACGTCCTTATACCATCTTCTGGTGCGGGTGTTCTTGCGGGGACCGCCGACCTTGTGGTTGTGGAAGATGTGAGGCTGTACAAGTTGAATTAGCAAACGTTCCTGCGATTCGAGTCGCGATGGCGATGGCGAGTGTGATGTACCTGCTTCTGGAAAGCGCGCTCCGACTGGACTCTGTTCATTCCATTAGCGACATGTCTGAGAAGGTATCGAGATAGATTCTATGCGTACGTGAGCTCGGTAGCCATGGTTGCGGGCGATGGTGTTGTCGTCTGAGAGATTCGCTGTTGTCGATTGATTTTTGCTTAAAGAATAAGCGAATGTGGTGGTGCCAAGTGCTGGGTGACTAATCGGATATTTTAGTGTTGTGTGGGCGGACTTAGCCAATCAGCAGCTGTTTTGACGAACAGGGATTGTGGCCGCGAATCCCCCATCAAAACTTCCGTCTCATCATTCTGCAAGTCGCTACGGTACGACTGTTGGTACACAAGTGCACTACACTATGGCTTCTTTCGCCAACTTGACAGATACAATCGGCATCCATATCGATGCCAAGTCTCCTGCACTCCAAGCAGCTGCTAGCATCCTCCTGCTAGCTGGTGCTATCTCCATCGTCCGCCCATTCTTGAGCTTCGTTCGCGTGGTGCTCAGCTTGTTTGTCCTGCCAGGACAATCCGTATGTTGTCCTCGAATGGCAGAGCTGTCTGTCAAGGCTTGTGATATCTTTAAGCTAACAATTGATTCAGCTCACAAAATTCGGTCCCCGCGGATCTTGGGCCTTGATCACAGGAGCTTCGGATGGCATTGGAAAGGAGTTTGCGTTATCACTCGCCGCAAAGGGCTACAACCTCGTTCTCGTCTCCCGAACTGCCTCGAAGCTCGACTCGCTCGCATCCGACATTTCCGCCAAATATGGCCCTAAGATCGCTACGAAGACTTTCGCTATGGACTTCTCCCAGAACAAGGATACCGACTATAGCCAGTTGAAGAAGCTCGTTGATGGGCTTGACATTAGCATCCTGATCAACAATGTTGGTCTTAGCCACTCGATTCCAGTTCCATTCGTAGAGACAACTCAGCAGGAGATGACGGACATCATTATGATCAACTGCCTCGCCACTCTTCGCACGACCCAGCTTATCACGCCTGGTATGATCTCCCGCAAACGTGGATTGGTCCTAACGATGGCTTCATTTGGTGGGGCCTTCCCAACCCCTCTACTTGCCACATACTCCGGCAGCAAAGCCTTCTTGCAGCAATGGTCGACAGCTCTAGGTTCTGAGTTGAGCCCTCACGGTGTCACTGTCCAGTGTGTCCAATCGCATCTCGTTACCACCGCCATGTCGAAGATTCGAAAGAGCTCTTTGTTGGTACCCAACCCCAGGCAATTCGTCAACGCTGTTTTGGGAAAGATTGGTCGTCACGGTGGTGCGCAGGGCATTGCATTTACAAGCACACCCTACTGGAGTCACGGAATGATGCACTGGTTCCTTTCCACTTTCGTCGGCGAACGATCGGACCTCTTGGTGAAGATCAACCGCGGCATGCACGAGGATATCCGAAAGAGGGCGCTTAGGAAGGCTGCCAGGGATGCGAAGAAGCAGTAATGGTCTTGTACTATCCATCAACTGTATGCTGGTGTGGAAATGAATAGAGTAGATATAGTCTTAGCATTTTCATGTAAAGTAATATAAAATAATGTTTGATGTGCCATACTCTCTCCTACTCTACAGATTTGTGCGAGCAATCATCATTCGGAAAAGTGCGTTCCACAATCAGACGATGATGCCACCCATTCACTTCATAAACTGAGAGTTTCTTCGCGTTGTAATGAGTTCTTTGTGGCACTCAATACTCCTGACTACCCTACTGTGACTGCCAACTATCTCGCCTCGCTTAGATGGATAGGAGAATAGCTATTTGCAGGTATTGGTAAATCAGCCTATATTGCCTTTGGAAACTTGATTGACAAGGGGAATTGCTCTCGTCAAAGATCCTTCCAACATCACTTCATCGGCCTTCCCCTATGCGATATGTGCTCGGTTGGATGTTCTGCTTGGTGGATAGAACAATGGTTTACACCACACATTTCATGTATTTTATTTATAGCCTCATATTCCGTACTAACCACTAGCGAGTCAGCAGAATGGTTCAAACAGAGCATGCATGAGCCAGAATTGTCTTTGCTGGGAAGGCATCGTTCCCTGAACAATCACATGATATAAACGGTTATATTAGAATGGTGAACGCATTGTATTATTGATTATTATGCTCCTTTTAGCTGGTAGCCGAGCTCACAGGCAACGTCACTGGCGTTGCGCTCGCTGATGGAGTTGCACTAGGAGTAGGTGTACCGCCGCCACCATTCTTCTTCTGAACCACGGCCTGGACAACTTGTCCTGCCGTGTTGAAGACAATGTCGACCAGGGCATTAAGTGGCTCGTATGAGAAAGTCTTCTGGATGAGACCGCTCGAGAGGTTCTTGTCGTCGCCGACTTGAGTCATGTTCTGCTTGTAGTTTCCAACGATGGTGGAGAGGGCTCCAGTTGCGCCGCCGACGACTTCCTGGACAATGTTTCCAAGGTTGTCGACGAGGAAGTTGAGGGTCGTTCCGCCCTGAGTGACGGATCCAAGGAGACCGTCGACAGCACCAATAACGTCGCCGACCAAGTCGGTGACATTGTTGATGAGTCCGATCAGAAGGGGGTTGAGGTCCAGCGATTCAAAGACACGCTCCACAATATCCACGAGATGACCGAGTCTGACGATCAACTCTAGGTTGACATCGACGTCTGCAATCGTAACATTGATCTTTTGAACAGCGACCTGGACTCCAGCGTTGACTTGAACGAGGCCTGCAACCTTGGCGTTCAAGTTGATGTCGGCTTGCAGCTGTTCGACGCCGAGTTCAATGCGGCCAACGTGAAGCTCCGGCACGTTTAGGTAGACATCTGGAGGTGTTGATGTGCTAACCTGAGGTGGAGCTGTTGGTGTGCCAGGCGTTCCGCTTGGAGGAGCTTGTGAGGTTTCTGATGGAATTTCTGATGTGGGTGAGGCGGTAGCAGTTTGTGCCAAAATTTGTGTCGAGAAGGCGACAATGAGGAAGACACACAGGAAGATCCTGCGGAACAAAAGAATGTTTGACATGATTGCGAGTTCAAAAGAGCGACAACAACAAAAAAAATATTGTTAAGGAGCTGCGAGCATCCCAAACCAAGGGGAGCGTTCGCGAAGATATGGCCTGGCCATTTCCAAGCTTGTCGCCCACTTGTGATGGGCAAAACGTGTTTGCCATGAACTCATTTCGGATAAAACATCAATGCAGCCGCTGTCAGGGTATATTCCAAGGCGCATTCAACGCCATGCAATGGGATTCCCAGGATCAAGGTCTTAAAAATGATGGAATTCACTCTAGTGTGCAACAAATTCGATCAGCAAATCTTATCGCGACATCACATTGGTCTCCTTAATCAATTTTCGTCTGCCTTTCTGCCAGTACGTTTCCTTGAATTTTAATGCATCCATGCACGCGATCATGTAGACTCAAAACGTTTTTGTCAACGCTCATCCCCCACAAGTTGATGTAGGGCTTATTCCTCACAGCTCATGCTTTCGCTGCGTTGCCATTCTTTTCTGAACATTCCTTCAAGCTGCGTCAAGATCTAAACTTTGGACATCAATTGCACACATCACTTTCGTTACAATGAAACTCACACTCTCTCTTCTCCCGCTTGCTTTCTTGCCATTGTCTACCTTTGGACAAGGGATATCGGATGATGATGGCTACTCTGGATACAAATTAGATATCCGTCAAGACAACGATCCCCTCGCCGTTGTGTACGAAACAGAAAACACCAACAACAATGTCTCATCGTCGGTACCAGAGCCCGACGTGTTCTTGAATGCCTCAGTCCACGTTGGAGAAATCAACATTGAGGTCCAGAACCTGACCGCAAAGATCAACCTCGATGCTCAAGTTCTTCAACTGTTGCAATTCAACGCCGGCGTCGATCTCAGCATCGACCGCGTCTTCTTGCTTATCCAAAACGTCACCGCAAAAGTCCTGCTGGAGGCCCGCCTCGCAAACCTCGTTTTGATGATCAACGACACATTGAACTCCATCGACCTGAACCCCATCATCGCAGAGCTCGGAAGCGGTCTCGGAACGATTATCAACGAGACCGGCGAGCTGATCGGTGGCTTGGAAGCCGAGGAGGCTACTGCGAAGAACAAGCGTGGCATCGATCTGATGCAATTCCAGCTCGAGAGCAACATTCTCTACTCAGTGAATGATTACTCCGGCAACACGCACACCAATCGCATTCTTGCACAGAACGGCGATATTGTCGAGCAGACCCTTGACAACAACGGCCGCATTCAAGCAACGAGGAACGTTGGTAGTTACCTCCAAGACATGCGATTCAACGGTTTTAATCAGACCGTCACGTACAAGGGTCAAGAGGTGTGGGAAGAAGAGTATGTGTATGAACCTTTCCCAGGCCTAATGGCTATCTCTGGAATCTTCCTCGACAAAGACAGTGGAGAGGTTGTTGGCGCCCAGCTCCTGGCTGAGGCGAGGGGAGGTGGTTCTTCGTCGATATCAGCAAGCGAAGAGCTGAAGTCGTAGTTGCATGGTGTTTTCCATATCCTGTAGATGCAAATAAAACCAATTTCTAATGTAATCGTCTGAAGATCTTTTGAAGAGTACGGAGACATACATACACTGGCTCGCGCTGAAAATGGCCGAGACTTTAGGATCTCCATCGACAGGCATGGAGAGTGGGGGATGAACATGTGTGCCGTTGTCGGCAGTCGTGAGCACGGTGCGCGTGCTTGTTCTCAGGGGGATCTGCACATGGTAAATGCCTTGCCAACTTGTTACATTATAGAACAAGGATTGTGCCTTTTAATGTTCAACCTGATTCAAGTTTCTTCGCATATTTACGAGCACCAGTCATGGGATGAATATAATTGCATTAAGCTAAGACTAAACAATGGTTACAATTAGATGCTTAGTTTCTGTGTAGATTTGATGAATTTCATAAAATACGAAGACATCAGAGAAGCAATGTTGTCTCTTATTGTTACAAGAATTGCGGTTGATGCATTGGGACGGCGGGACGGGATTGGTCTGACGGTCTCTGAGCTAACTATAACAGGTAATTACCCCGGACCATGGCCCAGCACTTAATCATGGTAACGGTAACGGCAACGGTAATGTCTATGAGACATGGAAAGGCATCGTCTCATTGTCTCGCAGCTCTGGCTGTTGACATGCTGAGCAACCCCCTCAGATTTGGGATCAGTGTCAAGTATACACAACGTTCACTATTGCTTTGAGTGAACCAACCTTTCGCCCACGGAAACATTGAATGAATATACTAATGAGATGAACGAAAACCAAACTCTTAGCAATTAATGCTCGTTCTCATCCTGCTATATCACCATAGCATCGCCGTAAATTCACGTTTTCGTGTAGTTTGGAGAGGCTGAACACTGTCTTCCAGCACGGATAGATCAAACACAACGTTCATCTCATCATAGCAAATCGCCTGGAAAATCCGACAAGACTTTGCAGTATTCCTAAATGTTTTCTCTCAAACTAAACTAGGTACTAGAGGTAGATGTCCTCGTGGAAACGCCCTTCAGATCTCTTGGGAGCATAAAGACTCTCCAGACTCGTAGGGAGAAATTATGAGAAAGGGAACATCTAATCAGCTTCAGCTTAGAGAGGTCTCAAAATTGATTCGGTTTTGCCGGTCTATTAGAATTAAATCACGATCTTTGAATTCTTTCAAATATACTGTTCATTGTGCTTTTAACAACTTTACGGACAATGCTCTGGTTCTGTTGGATTGGTAGGATTTTTTATAATTTCTTTTAAAAGCTCTAGATCTACAATGGCAGTTTAACATCTTCTTCTAAGTTTGAAAAGAGTTGTATCTATTGAAAGTAATTAAAAATAAGTAGTGAACCAAAAATCAGGAACACGAACCAAGTACAACACCCTATGAGATCACAAAGCCGCCAAAAATGCTTGTCTAAGCTTCTCTTGAGTCGAACAATTTCTATTTCTCATTGTTTTCGTCTACTCTTGCTGCCAGTACTCCCATTCTAGGTGACGATGTATCTCTCCGTCGACTTAGGTTGGGGGTTTTGCTGCGTGAAATTTAGCTTCACCAGGTTTTAACGAATATTTGTTAATTAGAAAAACTATGGTGACGTTGCATTTAGATTGTTTTGGAAGTGGGTTCTTTTGATAATGATTTTAGTAGTATTTAGATTCTTATGAATTTAAGCCCAATATTCAGAATTGTAACAAGACATGATAAGCCACCCACCTAGGTAAAAATAAATAGATATGAGACACAACCAACAATCGAGTTAACTTTGACACTATAACAAGCAGGACCTTGAGATTGTACGAAGGACAGATTAACGTTACCAATAGAGACGATATTGTCAAGGGCTGTGGATGGAATGTCATGATCACGTCCTTTTCAGAGGCTGAGATCCTAGCAGAATACAACCACAAAGCTTTATATCTATACTGAACTATCGGAGCACTTCATTATTGCTTTGTGTTCACATTAGATGGCAATTGGTAGTTGGGACGATTTGTGATGTGGAACTATCTTCATGATTTGAATTGGTATATATAAACATGCAACCAGGGCTCTCACCCTCGCGGCCAAAGTGAGGTACATGGAATAAGAGCTCGGATTTCCACCAAGCAGTTTTTCAATCCGCCACTAATCTTCGACTTTTGCTACAAAGAGAATGCGGACATTGCGGATGACATCCTTAGTTGCCGCCACCAGAGATGGTAGCATCGAAGTCGACAGCGGTGCTAGCCTGACCGGCGTTCTTGGTGTCGGTGGCGATGTTGTTGTTGAGTTTCTTGAGCTCGTCTGCGAGCTTGGCGGAGACGTCCTCGCCGTTGGCCTGCTTGGACTCGAGCTGGATCTTGGTGGCCATGAGCTTGAGGACCTTGTTCTTGATCTTGCCATTCTGGAGAGCGGTGGCGGCATCGCCGCTTGCGGCCTCGATCTGGGTGTTGAAGGCCTCCTTCTCGGCATCGTTGGCGACGTTGTTGACCTCAGCGAGGAACTTCACGTCGGCGGGGTCGATGTTGCCGGGGTTGTTGAGGTCGAGCGCAGAGAAGGCGGCAAGGGCCTCTGCCTCTGCGTTTCCGGCGGTTCCTCCAGAGATCTGGATGTCATTGAAGGTGGTGTCGGCGAGGACGGGGCCGTTCTGGCGCCTGATGGCGGCGGGCGCAGCGAGTGCGAGGGCACCGAAGGTGATGGCTGTGGCGATGGAGAAACGCATAGTGATAGTTGTGGTATAATATGATTTAGGGTGAAGGATTGGAATAATATGCGTTTGTAAGGAAGGGATTGTAGTGAGTAAACAAACAGACCGGCTGAAAGATAAATATTATGCGAAGAAACAAAGCAGCGTCAAGCTGGTGAAGATGTAGAGAATGATTGAAGTGGTGAGTGACTGAAGTGATGAGAGAAGATTTGACTGTCCATCGTGAAGTATTATATATACCAATTATTGATGACACTTCGTCGAACGGAGCATTGGTAGAATGGCGCGCGGTTGCGCTCTGAAGCAAGCTAGAAGGCGGGAGCGAACTTGCTACCATCGCACTCGGTTCTAGCGGTATGTCTCCAGCTCCCACAGGATGCAATACCCGCTAAACTGTCGTGCGCAAGTATCAGATGGCCTGAGGGCAGACATCAGGAACCCCAGCGGTGAATGGTACACAAGATTCTCCACGTCTAAGAAGCGTGCGGCGAAATATTGCAGACACGAGATGCCGCAAGACATGGGTGGTGATCGCCCTTGGCGTCACTAACGTGTATAACATTGGGCGACGAAGTACACATTGGGATTCTGAAACCAGTGTCTCTGGGAGGAGCCCGGAGCACAGGCTGGCAGGCATTCGAACATGGAGTCACTCCTACTTTTTCCTAACTGGGGTTGTAGGCGGCCCTGTCGAGATGAATTGATGCACGCCATTCTGGATTCTCTCGGAGGGTGGAACCGAGAGGCTGTCACAACGTTGCCGTTACAGGCGTTTTACATGTATCATCGCATAGTGGGTACCTATAAGCTCCTTGGCATCAACGGAGAACATGGATTATTGAGCTTATTTTCAGCGCGCGCGATGGTGCATCTTGTGACCAGAGTGAGCGCTGCAAGACTTCAAGGGAACCATCGCCGTTGAGGTTGTGTCAAATATTCGATCTGGGAGTCAGTGGGGCTGTTTAGTTCAGTTTTGCATAGTTTCGACCCAGGACGACACCGCATGAACAGCGCCTATGTCGACATCCCTATTGAATATCCGCAAAAAGGGATATCCAGAATGTCCCATTTCTGTCCACCAGGACGGGAACGAGGCGATGGTGAGGGTCTCAGGGTGCTGAAGGGCTAGTTGCCATGCTGGATCTCAACCTTGCCGGTATTTCGACGAAGTAAGAGCGAGATGAGATCCCCTTCCTAGACTGTTGAATACAGCGGCATTGTTCACTGCCTTGGGGGAAATTACAGCCGACGTCAAGACAAAGACCGCTTGCACGGGATACTGGTAATGTTTTCGGGGGTAGTTTTCAGATCGGGAGAACTCCTGAATGAGACTTCATTGTATCCTCCTAGTCAGGACTCTTTCCATCGGCCCAACTGGGCACGACACCTTTGCACACTTTGACATAGGCATCCCATCTGGTCATGAAATCGGCCCCGTCTTTGTGAGCCTGCTCTTTAACCTGCTTCCGCCACTCCTCCACGACCCCTTCCGTGGTCCAAAACATAGTCCACTGCCCTCCTGGTAGATTCCACATGCCCACCGCTCGCTCGAAATACCACTTATTAACTGGGTTGTTGGTCCGACTTCGCCATACTACACCATTAGGGAAGCAACTCCTGGTCAGTGCTCCCCAGACAATGTCTGCAACGCCACCGGAGCCCTGGGATTGTGTGAGCACAGCAAATTTGTCTAAGTAGGGTATCCAAGTCGGATGGTCGAGCCCTGGTGTAAATTCTGCACCTGGATGGCGTGCGGGTTCCCATGTGCATATAGCACCACCCTCGTAATTGCCTACGATTATGATACCGGCGACACGACCTCGAATGCGCTGGAGATAATGCTCGGCATCTAGCTTACGGCGAAAAGAGTCTTCAATGAGATGTACAAGGCGAGGAAAGTCGATGCGCGGATCTGTCCCAAGTTCAATGCTGGGTTCTAAAGATGAAGGGGGCCTCCAAGGTCCACTCGTTCTGGGGTCGGGTATCATGGTAAGGGGAATGCCCTTTTTAAGAAATGTGGACGGATTCGGCGCTGTCGATGCTAATGGCCGGTTGACTAGAGGACTGGGTAGTGATGACGATATCATGGGCTTGTCGGTGAGCAGATTATGGATGAGTGGATTTTTCGAACGCCTGGTACGAACACCTTCAGAAGGCTCGCTCAATTGTGCGACCTGTGATGATATGGCGGCCTCAGCAGGAGTGATGATGATCGCTGATGATGATGGGGGCAATAATTGCAGGGCTCGTTGGACAGCGTCCAGATTCTTGATGTGACGTTTGGCGCTCAGCCCCGCCGGTATGCGTTTCGGAGTTGAGCCGGCCACATTGGCAATCTGGGTCTCAGCAATTCTTGAAGATATATTGCTGCTGCCAAAATAGGATTGGCGCTGTTCTCCGGATGTGGACATCAGCTGTAATCGACGTAAATCATTTTGCACATCGTGATATTCTGCCTCGAGATTGATAAAGACATGAGCGCCATCGGGCCTTGTTTCTGACGGTATACCACCTAGGGGATCCAGAATGATGATACGATCCACACTTGGCTTCTCCGTTGCATCCTTCCCTGATGAAGTGGGAGATCTATCGTCGTTGCTGCTCGAATTCATGACATTGATGTTAGCAAATTCCCTGGTCAATGCAAGCAGCACGTCGTCCGCATGCACCCTGACCTTCTTCAGGTCAGCATCGTAGGCAATGGGCGGTATGACAGGAATAATTCCGTCTTCGATGGGAGGTAAGAGTAGGTGATTGTTTTTGACCTCGACACCACCCCGAATCTGCACGGTACTTGGGACTTCTGTAGGATCCACCGCAGAATAGGACAAAGCATGCCCAACCTCAAAAGCACCAGGCTCGTTGTACTCCTCGAGGGCGTCGACAATGCGTGCAGACTCGTCGCGTACAGTCTTCTCCCACGTTGCCGTCAGTTCCAGGTCATCTACAGCACTGTCCTCGTCGCAATCCACCACCACGGCAATGTTCAACCCCAAGCGAGCCATCTGGCCCAGGGTGAGAGCGATACCACCAATAGTCGCATCGTCGAGCATCTGCGGTTGGCGCAGCTTGACAAGAGCAAGATGCAGTGGATCTACAGAAATGCTCCTTTCTTGCACATTTACCTCTGGGAGTGGCTGTTGCGCAAATACAGGAGTGTTCTGAATGGCCTTGGTCGGCTCGTACAAGATCCCCAGATTGACGCCTGTACGAGTCAGCCTCCACTCATTGTGATGTGCCCGCTGAACAGCATCTCCTTCATGCACTATTGAATTTGCAGTGAAGTATCCGGGTGTGCGCTGGTCGCCTGAGCTTTGTTTCGCTTTGGCATTCGGTCGCGGCTTGTGTGCAGAGGTGTCGAAATGCTTGAGGAAGTTGCGTGCGTCTCGTTTTCCGGGCGATTCCTTGAGCGATTTAATCAATTGATCACGTTCAGCTCGTTGCCTCTCTTTCGCGGAGCTCTTTCGGTGATGATGAGTACTGTATGGGCGGTCAATGCCGGTCGCGGAGTAGCTCGTGCTTGTGGCAGTGGAAAACGATGGGGATTGCGGGTGACATGGGGACAGCTGCTTCAATTGTCCCTGATGCCTTCCAATGCTATCGGAAATACGAGGTTGAAACTGCTTGTAGAAGCTCAGCTTGAGTTCACATGCCAATGTGTCGGGCGTCAATTTGTGGGTAAGCTATGGGTGAGTCAAAGGGTAAAACGAACGGCATTCTTTGACGCAAGTCCCAAGCTCAGAGCAGGACTTTTCTGACAGATGAACATGCCTCATAATAAGGGAGGCCCGGATTACTGTGGATATAGGTATTGTGGTGCTGCCGTAGGGAACACTTTGGAATGCGATAAATATACAAAATTATGAGCGATATAATATAGAGAGATTAAAGAGAGGAAGAGGGGGAAAGCGTCATAGCTGTAGTCGGATACTTTAATTAATCCCTCCCTTCGCCCATTCTCGTCTTTTCAACTTTCTAATCGATTGCGCCGGCTAATCGATAAGAACTCGGACAGCAAATCCGACCGACTTCGGCATTCAAGTCAGTCATTGTCATTATCATAAAGAAACTGGCTGCAAGCCCTCAATATTTACCCTGGCGTATGTATGTACTGCACATACGTAATGACATATGCATACCTATGCATGACTTCATACCTACCTAGGTATTTTGAAAGTTAATCGAGCGCAATCTTTGCCCCGCAGGCAAGCGAGCATAGACCAGAGAGAAGATGGATATACCATATCAATGTAGTACAGGTGTATTCACAACAGGAGTGACGACGCTATTATAATGAGCTAATCCTATAACTTGAATAGAACGGTCAGGTAGCTGTAGCTGTAAAAGGTACCAATACGAAGGTATTAACTTGCTTACCTGGGGTAAGGTGGGGTTCTGTCGCATACAGTACGAGCTGTCGGCTGCTCACGGGACCGTACCTATTCCCCAACGCTCGTCGCAGTGCTCTCTTAAACATCAGCATTCATAGTCTGTGATAATACACTTGCATCTTCATTGCCAGTCAAGATAATCGAAACGATACATCGATCCTATACTTAGCTTTCGTCAGATCCATCATGGCACCTCAAATAGCGTGGATTGGCCTCGGCAATATGGGCAGGGTCAGTTTCTCAATGATTACCATCTTAATAGTATTCGACACTGATACCGCTTGTGACTCTCCAGGGCATGTGCAAAAACCTTGTTGAGAAGGGTGATCTGGGCAGCAATCCTTTGATTCTCTATAACCGTACCAAGGCTCGGGCCGACGATCTGGCAGCGAATTTGGGGAACGATCGGACCAGGGTCGTCGATTCCGTCCAAGACGTTGTCAAGAGTGCTGATATAATTTTCATCTGTCTCAGTGACGACGCCACCGTGAATAATACAGTCGATACGATATTGGAGAGTCCGGTATCTGGCAAGTTGATTGTCGACTGTTCTACCGTGCACCCAGACACCACCAATGCTCTGGAGAAGCGCATTGTAGCGAAGGGCGCGGAATTCGTCGGCATGCCAGGTAGGTATATTATATTCCTACATGCCAATTTGGTTTTAGACCACCATGGCTCACACTGCATAGTATTTGGTGCTCCCGCAATGGCAAACTCTGGCAACCTCGTTTGCGTGATTGCAGGTAGCAAGGCTGCAACGTCCAAAGTGAAACCATATACAAAGGGCGTGATGGGTCGCGCAGACATAGATTTCTCCAACCAGCCCGCGGGAAATGCCACCCTGCTCAAAGTAATTGGCAATACCTTCATCCTGAACATGGTTGAACAGCTTTCCGAAGGGCTCACTTTGGCAGAAAAGACCGGCCTAGGGACAGATAACTTGCACCAATGGATCGAAGCCATGTTCCCGGGTCCATATGCAGCATACTCGGCGCGTATGCTCGCCGGAGATTATTACAAGAGGGAGGAACCGCTCTTCCATGTTGATCTTGCCAAAAAAGATGCAGGGCATGCTTTGTCTCTTGCACGGGAGACTGGTACCAGCATGCCAGCTTTGGTTGTCGCCAATGAACATCTTACTAAAGTGAAGGAGCACTTGGGCGACAAAGGAGACATTCCGAGTATATATGGAGCAGTGAGACAAGAGAGTGGACTGAAATTTGAGAATAAAGACTGACGAGAGTACATGGTGGGAAAGACGAAGTGAATCTAGTCGCAGTGTGGACTATGATCTGTGAATGCAATGCTTTACCATATTGCCTACTATGCACCTGCAACTTCCACTATTCAGCGTGAAAATATACAAATGTCCAAAAAAAGGTACAGAAGGTGCAGCTCACACTTGATTCGTTTAGTGCACCCGAAAAACCATGTGAGATGACAGGTTGAAATGAAGGATGGTCGGATTAGTAGATCAAACATGTATTCAACAACAGCAAACCAAATATGCTGGCATATAGTATATACTGTGTATAGCACAGGATGACAAGATCTCGTTTCCTCGACAATAGAAGGAGGTTTGGCCTCGTCTCATCCCTGTTGGTTTTGCTTGACTCGAGACCAGCGCGATCTGAAACGCTTCCGTCCACCGCCCAAATAGGACAACACACCGACAATCTTCACACCCAACTTGTCGCAACTACGCCTCAACACCACAAACGAAGCCTGGCGCCACTTACTCCCCATACTCCTGAAAGCCTTGACATGCAAGGCTCGGTTAAGAGCTCAACCCAAGGCAATTGCGGAGGCATGTCACAAATGCCCTTGTCAAGGGTATGATTCTGGAAGAAACGGCACGTAGAGGTCAGACAGGAGGCATTGGTATAAGAGCATCGTGGTGTACAACATAGAGAGGGCAGCGTTGATCGTTGTTTGTATTCTTCTTCTTGTTTTAAATTTACCAAAATACATATTCTTCAATCTATCATTTACCCTCTTTAGCATTCTCAAAGACCCCAAACATTTCACGATGTATACTCTTCAACTCTGCGTTCTCTCCCTGCTAGCAGGCGCATCAATTTCTCGTAAATCTTCCCACTCTAACATATCATATCACAACCAAACAACTAATCACACTTATAGAACCCCTCAAGGCCCGTCAAGCTCAGCCATGTTTCCTCGTCGGCAGCACCGCCCTCCCAGCCGAAACCCAAGAAATCGCAGATGAGCTCGCTGCCAGCATAACCTGCGACACCTCGAGCACCCCCATCGGCAACGTCCCGGACGTCAAAACCGCCTCCGGAACCACCTTCTCCTCCATCGACTTCTCCACCTCCGGCTCCACTCCCCTCCAATTCGCCCTCGACAAGTTCGCGACCGCAGACCCCCTCGCCTCATCCGACCTCGCGACCTTCCAGGACAATCTCGACGTCTACCTCGCCACGGAGGCCGGAATCCGAAGCGAGGGAGGCAGCCTCGCGATCAAGGTTCCGAAGTTCTTCCTCGCGTTCCAGGTTGCGAGGATAAAGACGGCTCAGGGCATCGCGATTGAGGATCCCGGACAGACGGTGGAGCATTTGCTCGGCAAGGTGCAGAATAATGCGAAGGGGGAGAATAGTGCGTTGTTGGATCAAGTGAATCAGCTTGCGACGCAGTTGGCCTGAATGGTGGTGGAGTGAGGATGGATGGGACGGTGGGGGTTGATGTATATAGTTTTGATTTGGGGTTGAAATGGCGATAGAGAGAGAATGGACTGGATTGAAGGATAGGGGTAGCTTTATAACATGAAGAAATGATACCCAGAGTTGATCGCTGATGTGTGTTAATTGCCATGCTCAATTGTGAGGTAGTAATTTGGGTGTCACTGTATCTTCATGAAGTGGTCTTGGTCAGTTGTCAGGAACATGAGCCAGCGTATGGCTTACTGTAGACAAATTTCAAGATACAAGATCATATAATAATCATGATTCCATGGGGTACCCTACGGAAGTGAAATTACATCCATGTACATTCCACCGTACTGTTTCCAATAACTACGCATTCTGGTAGGCGAACAAAAATTATCAGATATTTCAATATCTCTCACTGAGGAAGATAACATACTTCCTTTTGCAGAAGGCCTATCAGTCATCCAGCACAAAGCACCTCTCGACACTTTCCGCATTATTTCCCCACCAGTTCGGCATCGACACGACCTTGCCACTCGAGAACGCGATGAACATGATCAACATGGCCACATTGAATCCCGCATCCAGGGCAGCGGCAACGATGTAATTGTACCTCTTCCATGTCTCGAATCTACGCCTGTAGAACCAGAACATGCAGACATAGCCCACTATGAACCGTGAGATGTATCCTGTGGACAGGTTTCCGTAGAACTGGCTGACGCCGGCGCCAAAGATTGTCACGTTCCACAGGTGGAACTTGAGCTTGGACTTTGGGAAGAGACGGTGCAGGATGTAGAGGGCTAGAGGGGCCAAGGCGCCGTAGAGGAATGCATAGGGAAGGGGTTTGTACATGTGCTGGGCAAAGAGGCGTTTTGGGCCGATGAGGACGTACTGGACGCCCATCGTGTTGTAGTTGGCCAGACTTTGACCGGTCCACTGGTTCAAGGGGTCTTTCTTGATGCCGAGGATGTAGTCTTTCTTTGCGGAGAGAACCCATTGGATGACAGCGTAGTTGATGGGCACACCGATCAGCTCGCCGAAGATCTGGGAGAAGAAGATTGTTCGCGGAGGTACGTGCATGTAGTGTCCAATCTTTTGGTCCTGCAGCATATACTGCGCCCGGTACCAGACGTCTCCTGCGATGGAGCCGTAGGCATTGGCACCAGCTGGGTGTCGGTGACCGCTTACGGCATGTATCATAAAGCCGTAGAGGAGCTCGTTAAAGGAACCGATGGGCACCTGGAAAGAGGAGAAGGAGTATAGCCAGGAGAATGGGATGATCATGACGCCTGTAGAGAAGATCGCAACGATGAAGGTCCAAATGGGAATGAAGAAATAGCCGCAGCCCAGGATCGTGATGATGGTCACAAAGGAGGCGATAAAGAGAGCAATATACCACCACAGCGGAACCTCCTTGTATGAGCGCTGTAACACGTTGAGTCGGTCGGTGTAGAGGTGGTTAATGTTGTCTGCCCCTCGGTGTACTACGCGCATGCGGAGCTTTTGGTAGGTGGCTTTGAGTTGAGGGTACCCAAACAGAAGCATCCAGGTCAATGCTGAGATGTAGCTCGAGTAGTCAAAGAAGAGACTCCAGATGGCCTGCGTGCCCATGTAAATTGGTCCCAGCTCAGCATAAGCGGTCTCGTTGAATTGCAGATCGGCAGTCATCAGCTGCGCCGCTGGGTACCGTGTGCCGTTTTCAAGAAAAACCCGATTGCTCATCAAATTCAACTTGTATTCTCCAAGGTTTCCCCATTTCGCTGCTGGGAGCAGAATCCAGCTGTTGAATACGAAGGCCACGGTCAAAACAACAGTGGTCCAAAATGGAACGACCATCGGACTGGTAAGCGATTGATTTGAGATGTTCGCCCAGTCGAGACTAAGATTGAGGAAGCCCATTCCGCCAATACCGGCACCGAGAAAGTTCGCGGTAGGATTTCGCGGTGCAACCCAGCAGAGGAACGAGAGCGAGCTCAGCAGGGGGAAAACATATTCAGGGAGAAACTGCCAGACTATGATGAATCCCAATGCACCGAAGAAGGCGTATTTTTGTTTCCGAGCGATCCAGGAATCACGAGCAGACTTACGCAGCGTTTCGAAGACAGCAGTCTGCATGAGCGAGTACGGCCAAGTGTAGATCGGGTCATAGAGCAAAAGCTGCCGTGCAAGTGCCGCCATAGCATATCCGATGTAGACAATGGCCCACATGAAGAAAATGCATGCTGCAGCTGGAATTTTGGTATTGTAGTAGAGCTGAGCTAGCGAAATACACGCCCATGCCGCGTTAGAGGTGGCCCCTGAGGCAGCGGTAACGGTAACGAGCACATTTTCTGTGAATGTCAGTGTTAATAGCAGGATCAAATTATATGATTACATACCTTTGATATGCCATGGCCCTGGATTGAGACTGAACTCGAATTTTGTAAAGGGAATGCGAATCGTAGTCTTGGGCAAGATCTCCGCAAGCCAATGGCCGACGTAGTGTGAAGCGACTTGGACGAAGAGCACTGGGTAAACAGCAGATGTGGTACGGTAGATGCCCATTTGATACAAGATAGCACCAGGAGGAACAAAGATGAAGCAGAGAACAAAGTATCTGAAGGTTATCGTCGGAGCATTTGGATCATCCTCCAGACTGACAATATTACGAACGATCCTAGGAAGTTCGCGTACATCGTCGGGAAGGTCTGCCTCGTCGTCGATATCGCTAGACCCAGACACTCCAGTGGAATCGTCATGTTTCTCATCATCACGAGCCTGACCTTTGTCTTGAGGCTTAGTTACCTCTAAAACAATTTCTGTGGCTGGCTCATTCGTCCCTGTTGTTGCAATTGAATCTGCCTCCTGTTCTGGAGTGGGACTTCTTCGCCGGAGTCGACTAAGCAGCGAAGCCATGACGCCGAAGTCAGTAGACCCTGCAAAAATGCGAATTTGGCTGATCTGGATGAAAAGAAGGTTGCGTCTGTACCATTGCACAATCTAGAGGCCCATTTATGCGTCCTTTATATGGTACCTCGTGGAACAGACGACTTGGGTTAAGTGAGGAGAAGCACGGGAACTTGTAGGAAACGAAGCTTCCCCAAGGTCGAATAAGGCGTGCTTGGATGCAGCAAACGCCAGATTCCATTGCGATTGCGCAAAATGTTGGATGTCCAGATATGGTCATTATGGTGTTGATTGGTAGGCGGGAGAAGTTGAACCTTCCTAATTAGCCATGGTCCCGCCCCGCAATCAAATTAAGAGTTCTCAACCCGTCACACAAGCCTTTGGTGGCGAGCTTGTCCAGAGCTTGTTTGAACTGGCGTTGTATGCATTATAGAACATCATGAAAGTGGTGTGAGCTTTCATGGAAACGAATGAATCGTCGTTACGAATCTTGAACGACGCAAGTGAATGTCCTGTATGGCGTAAACCTAATCAGATGCACACGTACACAGTGCAGGCTTTTTCTCATCAATTTCTGTGCCGCAGATGGTTAGCAAACACTGAACCACACGAAGCTTGGGTCTGATACATGGGTGGCCCGGATCACAGATGCCGGGTGCAAGATGTAGTGGTTGTTGCATGATGAGCCCGTATCGCAACCGAGTGTCAGGTGAAGGAATGCTTGACGTGACGAATTTGAGGATGAATGCTGTAAACCTCGCTCGTTGCCCAAATCCCATGGTTCCACTAGCACATGTGCTTCCGATGGTATGATTGGTAATGAATCACTATCGCGACTGGCAAGGGCCTGGTGACTGTAGATGCAGGACCTTTTTTTCGAAGCGCTAATGTTGACCCAGGCCATCGCGGATGAGGGAAATTTGCGAACGACAAGCTACCTCCGTAAACTGCCAATTAGGATTTGGGAAATAATGAGAATGGATTTTTGAGCATTTCGAGACGTTGCTACGACGTGCTGCGGCTCTGTAACAGTAGCAGAGCTATTCTATTAGCGCAGAAAGGGGTTGAGGTGCCAGGCTTAGTGGCAGGTATCCGAGCCCGATTGATTGCACATTTGAACAAGCCTAAAATATCTGCTTTATGTTTCAGTCTGCAAGTGCTACACGTATGTATTGCTTGTGCCGAGACTAACCTTGAAGTCCACGGTATGCGATTCTACTCTTCTCTCCCAGCCTCTCTGGACGTAGGATATCTTCATTGCAAATTGGCAACTGATGACCCGAGTGTCCAATGACTGTATGCCGTTTACCAGAAACCAATGACAACACTATTTGACAAAAGCAGGTCAAAAGACTGTAGGCTCTCTGGGGACCTAGAAGTTCTGGTCAAACATGCACAAGTTTTTGGAAGTTTTCTCGATGTTACCATTGCAATACGACGCGTAGCTATAACTCTTGCAAGCAAGAAACGCATGCCTGTCAGTAGTACAATGTCCAATTAACAAGTTGTAGTAAACGCTGTCTAATGCTTGGATATCTCTATCCAATTCGGTGATTTCATGAAGGCTTTGGCTATGCCGGGTACAATACATCGCATACAAATGACAAACGACCGATATAGCTGTGTAGTAATTTTATTTCGGCGATGTCCATTAATTCTATTGTCGAGTAAATGATACTGTTTGTACTATACATTAAAGGGAATGAATGGAGAAAGGAGGACCTTGCAATGCCAACGATCCATCGTTGAGGTTGCTATTTGTTCTTTGGATTGATATCGCAACGCAGCCAAAATAATTACAAGTAAACAATACTGCCTGTTGCAAATCCCTTTATCATTTTTAGAGAATAGGTGTTTACAAATGTTGTAATGGAGCTGACGATATTTGAGGTCAATTGTGAAACCACGTGACCGACCCCTCCAATTACGCCACGTGAAAGCGCGGCGCGACTTTTAGTCATCCCGCCCACCGTGGCGCCGGGGTCACCTCCGTTGTGTCAATAAACAAAAACACAACAACTAACAACAACAGCAAAAGCCGCCAACATGAGGGTTGTTGAGATAGTTATAGATGTGAGTATGGCCATAGGATCCATGACAATTAGTCTGACAAAAGTTTAGGGCTTCAAATCCTACGCCGTCCGCACAGTCATTTCCGGCTGGTTTGTTTACCTCACCCATCGAAAGCGACATATAACTCACAGCCAACAGGGACGCAAGTTTCAATTCGATCACTGGTTTGAACGGGTCCGGAAAGTCGAATATATTGGATGCGATATGTTTCGTGCTTGGTATAACGAATATGAGTACTGTTCGGGCGCAAAACCTTCAGGTTAGACGACCGTTCACACGATATGATCTCTGGACCCTAATACTATTCCGTAGGATCTTATCTACAAGCGCGGACAAGCCGGCGTCACAAAAGCGAGCGTCACGATCGTCTTCGACAATAGCGACAAATCGAAGAGCCCCCTCGGCCATCTTGAACATGCGCAAATATCGGTGACAAGACAGATTGTCATGGGCGGTACGAGTAAATACCTCATAAACGGTGTACGAGCACAACAGCAATCCGTGCAAACTCTTTTTCAACAAGTCGGTCTCAATATCAACAACCCAAATTTCCTCATTATGCAGGGTCGCATCACAAAGGTCCTCAACATGAAGGCAGAGGAGATCCTTGCTATGATCGAGGAGGCAGCTGGTACACGTATGTTTGAAGACAGACGAGACAAGGCATTCAAGACGATGGCCAAAAAGGAAATGAAGGTTCAGGAGATTACAGAATTGCTGCAGGACGAAATCGACCCGAAGCTCGAAAAGCTAAGGCAAGAGAAGCGCGCTTTTCTAGATTTCCAACAAACACAGAGTGATCTTGAACGCTTGACCAGACTAGTGGTGGCATACGAATATGTAAAGAACAAAGAGAGGCTCCGGCAGTCCGCTGGTGATCTAGAAGCTAAGAAGCAACGGGCGACAGACCTGGAAGCATCCGCTGTCCGCATGAGGAAGGAGATCGAGTTTCTCGAAGAAGACAAGAAGAAAGTCAAAGCTACGCGAGAAAAGGAGCTTCGACAGGGTGGTAAATTCCAAGCCCTCGAAGAAAAAGTGAAGGAGCATTCTCATGGCATGGTTCGATTGACGACCAATTTAGACCTGAAAAAGTCTGGCTTGAAAGAAGACATCGAACGGAGGAAAGGGGTTGAAAGCAGCATTGAAGAACTCGAAGCGCAACTCAGGGAGAAACAACACGCATACGAGAGATTACAGGAGAAATACAATGCCGCGCACGATGAGGTCACGAAACAGAAGAAAGATGTCGAGGAGAAAGAGGAGCTTTTGCAAACACTTCAAACAGGTGTAGGCTCAAAAGAAGGCCAGGAAAGTGGCTACCAGGGTCAATTGCAAGAAGCAAGGAACCGGGTCAGCGCTGCTGCCACCGAGCAAGAGCAGAAGAAGCTCCAAATTTCTCATTTTGAGAAGCAAATCAAGGAAGACGAACCGAAGGCTAAAAAGGCGAAAGAGCAAAATTCCGGCCTGCTAAAGGAGCTGGAAGTACTCAAGAGCCAAGCTAGGCGCCTCGAGTCTGAGTTGACCAAGATGGGCTTCGAACCTGAGAAGGACGCGGAGATGTACCAGCAGGAATCACACATTCAGGCCCGGATAAGAGATCTGAGACAACAAGCAGATGGCTTGAAACGGCGCGTGGCGAACATCGATTTCAGCTACAGTGACCCATCACCCAATTTCGACCGTTCGCGTGTCAAGGGTCTTGTCGCTCAACTGTTCACACTTGACAAAAACCACACCCGCGCAGGTACTGCGCTCGAAATTTGTGCCGGCGGTCGCTTGTATAATGTCGTAGTGGATACTGCAGCGACCGGTACAGAGCTCCTGCAGAAGGGAAAACTCAAGAAACGAGTGACCCTTATCCCTCTCAACAAAATCGCTGCATTCCGTGCTTCAGCGGAGAAGATAGGTGCTGCACAACGGCTGGCACCAGGGAAGGTTGACTTGGCCCTTTCATTGATTGGGTATGAGGACGAGGTCACTGCTGCCATGGACTACGTTTTCGGCTCAACGCTTGTATGTGATGACGCAGAGACAGCCAAGCGCGTAACTTTCGATCCTGCAGTTCGTATGAAGAGTGTCACGCTCGAGGGAGATGTCTACGACCCTGCAGGAACATTATCCGGAGGTAGTGCACCACAGTCAAGTGGCGTTCTCGTCACACTGCAGAAGCTGAACGAAATCAACACGGAACTAGCATCACAGGAAAGGTCACTCCATGACCTCCAAGCCACGATGGCTCGTGAGAAGAAGAAGATGGATGCAGCTCGCAAAACAAAGCAAGACTTTGATCTCAAGACGCACGAAATCAAACTCACAGAAGAGCAAATAAGTGGAAACTCTTCGTCTTCGGTTAGTTTTTGGGCATCGCATGCAAGAATAATAGTAGAAGCTAACATATCACAGATTATTCAACGTGTTGAAGAGATGAAGAGCAGCATCGTGCAGTTAAAGGAAGATATCAAAGTCGCCAAGGCAAGACAAGACGAAGCGGCCAAGGACATCAAGCGTATTGAGCGGGACATGAATGAATTCGAGAACAACAAGGACAGCAAGCTTGCAGAGCTTCAAAATTCCCTGGAGAAGTTGAGGAAAGCTTACACTAAAAACAATGCAGCCATCAAGCCGCTTCAATCCACCATGCGTGAAGCTATGGTAGAGTCTGAACAGTGCGGCGCCGACCTAGCTAGCGCACAAGATCAATTGCAGGACATCCAGACTAGTCTGCAAGCACAGCAGAAGGAGATAGACGACCTTATTGCTGAGCAAGCAACACTAAAAGTATATACACATTTCGCATCAATTTGGTACATTACTGATGTGTTATAGGATGCCCATGACCTCGCACAAGCGGACCTAGCTGATGAGCAGGCCAAACTGACCGGGTTCGATGATGAACTCCGCGAATTAGATGACACGATCAGAGCAAAGAAATCATCTATTGATGAAGATAGTCTTGAGCAGCAGAAGCTGACGCATGTGATTGAGCAGTCCAATAAGGCACAAGATGAAGCTGCAAGCAGGCTGAAATCGCTCGAGAACGAGCACGAATGGATTGCTGATGAGGAGGAGCTTTTTGGACGACCGAGCACTCCATACGACTTCAAAGGAGCCAACATGGCGGACTGTAAGGCAAAACGCAAGAACTTACTTGATCGATTCCAAGGGATGAAGAACAAGATCAACCCGAAGGTCATGGCCATGATCGATAATGTCGAGAAGAAAGAAGCTAGCCTCAAACGAAACATGGCTACAGTGATCAAAGACAAGAAGAAAATCGAAGAAACGATCGAAAACCTTGATCTGTACAAGAAGGAGGCTCTCCACAAGACATGGACTAAGGTCAACGGCGACTTCGGTCAGATCTTCAATGAGCTGCTCCCAGGTAGTTTCGCTAAGCTTGACCCGCCTGAGGGTAAGACTATTGCAGATGGGCTTGAAGTAAAGGTTATGTTGGGTAAAGTTTGGAAGCAGTCGCTGACTGAATTGAGCGGTGGGCAGCGGTAAGTGGTTCCCACCTGTGACGTCTGTCGGAAGCAAAGTCCGCTGTATTAATACGTGTCAGGTCACTCATCGCATTATCACTCATCATGGCACTGCTCCAGTTCAAGCCGGCACCAATGTACATCCTTGACGAGGTGGATGCTGCGCTAGATCTGTCGCACACGCAGAACATTGGGCGGCTGATCAAGACACGGTTCAAGGGCTCACAGTTCATCGTTGTGAGTCTGAAAGACGGCATGTTCCAAAACGCCAACCGGATCTTCAAGACGAGATTTGTGGACGGAACCAGTGTGGTGCAAGCACTTACAGCGGCCGACCTAAGGTAAAGAAGGTAGAGAGGCAGAGAAACAACGAGTAGTATGAGCGTTTTCCCATCTGAGCATTGGAGTCTCTCGTTGTTATTCTCCTCTCTCTTGAAGTCGGCGATGGTGGTTTTTTGTGGTCGCCGATTCAAGTTGCACACAGTAAGTGCGTATATATATATGATCTGGGTCTATATCATGGTTTGGGATGCATGTGTAACAATTGGGATTGGCTTCATGAGGAGAGATACCCAGAAGGCTGGGAGGCGGGACAGCCATGAATCGCATCATTGGACAGGCGTTGAGGATCTGGGACATGGGTGGGGTTCAACGAAATGCTTATGTTGTTTATTGAAATGGCATGGCTAAACGACTGGAGTGGACTGAATACGATTCCCAATCTATTGTGTACGCGACCGGACCGGCGGTTGGGTTCAAGAACATGTCACGCTGGCGCAAGGACGTTCTTGTGTGATTCTAGACGAATCATCGGTGGGCATTAGCGATGGGGCTCAAGTTGACAGTCTGAACTCTGAAGCTGGCTGGGTTTCTAGTAGGATTCTAAGTGGGTTCTAAGTGGATTCTAGTCGTTCTTCTATCGGGCCTTTACTCCTGGTCTTATTCACTGCCAAGGCGCACCATCGGCGCAAAAGTGTGAATTGATTGGGGCATCTTCGTTTAAGGTTGTTCCAAACTTCTTCGGCCTTCCCGATATGGACTTTATCCGGTCTACTTTCCTCTTTACGGCCCTTTAACACAACAAAGTACTCCACCTCAATCTGCTTTGTATCCATCACTCATCATGACATTTATCCTACCTTGACGGCTCGACGCGGCTGCTTTCCGTTCACATCTTCCCACCACCTGGAATTATACTTCTTTTCCACCTAAGGCGTCCACTACATTGTTCTGCAACCCCCACGAGGCTCCCATATGTCGCCGTCTCCCGCCAAAACCTTGGCCGATCTTACACCGTACATTGTCAACGACTCAGTCTACACCCTAAACGTACACCATCCTGCATCCGATCCTGTCCCTGATCCTGAACCTGAGTTCTTCGCAGTCACGAAACGTGATTCTGGTAACCACAACGACTTCGATGTTAGCCTGCCTGCAAAGCCTGCTCTTGCGATCGACTCCATTCACCCAAGCACCGGGATTTCTTCCGAGCACGCTGGTCGTGTCACGATTGGCATAGAGGACTCGACGTATACACCACGGTCTCAACTTGCACCCGACACACTCGCAAACCTGTCGTCCGAAAACTCGTGCGGTCCAACTTCATCTGTTCCAAGTACCTGGGACGTCTCTCCAGAGGCAGACGCCAATTCTTCCCCACCAAGTCTCCTCCCGAGCAGATTTGGATGTATCAATACCGAAAGTAAGCTATCACACTCTGGTCCAATGTCGTCCACTTCGGGTTCCAGCGATGATGTTTCGCGAAAAGACACCACGCGCTCTTCAACAAGCAGCATCGCTAGGGGCCTCAGGAGAACGAATCCGGACATGAGAATGTTCGACCAGGCCAAAGAGGCTAACGACTCCAGGAAAAGACGCAATTCAGAGAGTACTGATGAACATCCCCGCCCTCAGACGAAATTAGCATACGTACCCCCAAACTTCAATTCTCCGCCCGTATCGGAAGTACTTCATGGCGTAGAAAAAGCCTCGCAACAGATCCAGCATACAGAAGAACATGTCAAGAAAGTCAATATCACCAGTCCAACGCAAAGGGGAATAAAAGACAGGAGGAACCTGCTTCCGACGGAAGCACAGAAGCTTACTCTTCCAATGGAATTATCGTCGCTCCCCGGACGTTGCATGCCAGCAGCGGCGCTCGTAAATCTCAAGGATCTTTCACACCCTCGGCCGCAAAGCCCATCCGTTCACAAGGTGCCTCTAACTTGTGCTGCTGCAAGCTCTGACTCCTCGCCCGGCTTTCTTCCATTCACCGTTACTACTATATCCAGTGGCTCATCGATCAGTCACGATGGAATGCCCTCACCGCAGTCACCCCAAAGCCCCCAGGCTCGTCGCACCAAGGACCTCCGATACACGTCCCGTTCGCTGTTCGGAAGGAATCGTAATGGTACCAACGACAATTCACAGCCAAAGGCAAACCAGACTTCTCTCCCATCACCGATTAGCCCTAATACAACAGCCATGGAGGAGGCCCAGCAAATAGCGAAAAACACTCGGAGGCGCTGGGGTGGGTCCAAATCATTCAACACAGAGCCGCTTACCCCGGATTCACCAAGTCCCGATTCATCGAGCCAACGCTTCTCTTTAAGCCGATTTCTCAACGGCAGGAAACATAAACGAAGCTCTTCGGGCACTTCCCCTGCGCACACTGTTTGCTCAGATGAGCCTAGCATAAGAGGCTCTACATCTTTTCCGCAAGAGGCATTCCTGGAAAGTTTAGCTCATTTATCGTGTCCACCGGATTTTGTTCCACCTGGTCTCCAGCGTGTTCCTACGCCCAACCCTAACAACAAGGACCGCGATGCAAAACCGAACGACTTCTCCTTCGACTCCATGGGCAATCTGAAGGCCAATCATTCATCAACCGCACGAAGAGAGGAGTGGGACTCTGATGCACTTCTCTTGTCCGCGATTAGATATCACGCTCCCTTTTCCGACGTTTCCTTTACCGACTCATCATATCGACCTTCGCCACGATCGAAGCCGCGATCAGATTCTCCGGTACCAATGGTTGATCAAGATGATTGGTTCCGCGTGCAGTACGGTTATGAGGACTCTATGTACTGTAACGAACAGCTCTTCAGCCCGGAGGCTCGCGCAAAGCATGAGTGGGTCCTTCCGGAGCATTTACCCACGAGCCCGCTCTGCCCATTGCACGTGAAATACAAAGGAGCAAATAAAGGCGTCTGTGTTTACCACGGTATAGAAGAAGACCAGGTCACTGGGTCGGAAAAGAAGATGAAGACCATGGATACCCCTGTAGAGGAAAGGGTGGGAAGTCTTTCCAAAGTGAAGTCCAGGAGGCTGGCTAGTCTCTCTGGTCCTTAATGTCGGAGGAGAGGTTATAGAAGGAAGGCGCTGCGTATCGCCAGGAGCCATTAGACAGGATGAGATGAGAGGACCGACGTTGTTTACCTTGCTCATAAAGGACCGCTATGATACCCCGTTCGATAACGAGAAAGACGACGCAAATGTATTTTTATGATTCTTTCATTCCTTTTGCTTCCAATCGGTGACTCTTGAACTCTGAGTGATGCATTGATTATCATTCTGTCACTTCGCATGTGTAGTCTTGAACATAAACCATCATGTACTTCTAACAACGCAATGGAGATAATTATTGACATTATAAGCCATCCGTAATGTTCTGCTGCCTCACTACTCGGCCCGTGGCAACACTACCCAAACAGCTTGCCTTGACGCCTCATAGCGCCCACACCGGCTTTCCTCAGTGGACTGTTGTCCCACGCCTGGGTAAACCCATCTTCATCACTATCGCGATCTACATCTGCCAAATCAACTCCCGTGACCCCTTCATCGAATTCCTCGTCGTCTTCACCACCAATCCCCAACACACTAACATCGCCGTTCTCGAAATCACCATCGCCATCCGCTTGGGCCGTTCTCTCCGCCGCCCGTTCCTCCGGCGAAAAAATGGGGCTGTGCGCAACCCGCGGCCTACTCCTAAAGACACGGTCGTAGTCTACCTCGTCGGAGAAGAGGTCTTCCTTGGGTGTGTGGGCGCTGGCGCTACTCTTCGCCTCCTCGATGGCATGGAACGAACGGCGATTACGCGGGGTGTCGAACTGATTCACGGGGAAGAGGGATTGCCTCGCGGAGCTCTCTCGCTTCTTTTTCTTCCTCTCCTCTTCGGCAGAGGGCCTATGCGCAGACATGGCTGCCATGCTTAGGCGTGTGCGATCGAGGAGGGAGGTCCGTCTGTTGAGTGTCGGTTCTTGGTCTTCCGCTATGGTTGGAGGGGGAGGGAGCTCCGGGAGGCTAGGGGAGAGCATGTCGGAGTCCTCGTCTATGGGCGCGAAGCTGCTTGTGTGGGCCATGGACATTCGAGTGCGTTCGACGAGGGAGAGACGCGGCTGCGGCTTCTTCACGGGCGATGGTGTGGCATTTCCGATTGAGGATATGATTTGCTCTGCCATGGCCTCCTCTTCTGTTTGAGGTGGGAGTTCCAAGACGGGTGGCTCTGATGGGAAATAAGGAGTCGGCGATGGCGATGGCGGCACGGATGTCTCTACTGGTGGTGAATCCGCTTCTTGATTCACTGGCGATGGAGATGTAGCAGTTGGAAGAGCGTCAGACATTCCTTGCTGAGTTTCATCTTCTGCTGTAGGGGAAGGCTGTAGATGCGGAGAGATTGCGCGAGTAGGTCGAGGAAGGACTGGAACAGAGCTCATGATCGTTGAAGGTTGACCAACTAACGTCGCGTCGGAGTCAATTGGACTGTCTGTAACTTCGCGAGGGTGCGGTCGGATCGGGAATAAATCTCGCGATTGCTTACGCGTTTGATGTTGCGGATATGTGGTAGTATTTTCCGTTCTATGACCGAGAATTCGACTTGTTTGGACGACATCTGGCTGTTTCTGGCGTGTGGGTGGATGCGAGATAGTTGACGTAGAGCTCTGTTGCGTCTGCGAGCGTGTAGTACTTTGTCGAGTTGTTTTCGTTTGGGAGATCTGTTCAAGCCCGTCGTGTAGCTCTGAAATGATGTCCGCATACTCTGGACGCAACTTGGGAGCATTTACTGGTACTTTGTGGTTGTCCCTACGATTTCGAACCTGGAATTGCAAATGATCTTCAAACCTGAACTCTGTTGCAGTCGTTCGAGATTTTGAGGCAGTTGAGGACAGTTCGGCTGTATCGTTTCGCAGTCGGTCGTGAAATTGCTGCCACTTTTGCAACCTGCTCTGCTGCTCTTGGACCCTCGACTGAAGATTTTCCAAGAGACCTGCCTCAGGTAGAGCTTCTTCCGGCTTGCGTCCAGCCTCGACAATCCTCCATACGCTTTCAAACCTGCGCTTCAAAAAGGCATCTTCCGCCTGCGCGTTGTCTCCATGCAGCATAGCATCAATCCATTTACGATCGCCAACCCAATTGTCGTAGAGATGTTTCTTTATGGCGGCAGCCTCATTTTCTGGGACCAGCGGTCTCGAAGATCGAGGGGTTGCCTTGGAATGTTTTATCCTGGCGTTGAAATCTTTTGCCTTCGCATTCAGAACACTCTCGAACTCCGCGTAGCGTTTCCGTTTCTCATCCTTTCGCTTCAAAATGTTTCTCAGCGCCCCTTTATGTGCAATTGCGAGCGGTAACAGAGATGCCTGCGAGTCCAACGAGAGTGCAGCAGCTGTAGAATACTGACGAGCAACGGAGGCCGTTGTACTTTCAGCGGGTTGGGCTGCCAGAACCTTCTTCAAGACGGTAGTTGAGAAACTAGCCAATAGCTCGAAGAACTTCTCGCCCTTACATTCGTCTAGCATCGTCTTGCGGAGCACGGCGTCTCTGCTCAAGATCCCATTCTTTTTCAACTCGTTGAGGCATCGATACAAAGCGGCGCGGAGGTTCAGCGATTGGAGAGGTTCGAGAGGAGGGAAGAACGGCTGGAGCTTCTGTTATTCGAAGGTAAGTATGTAAAACCTAGCATGGTGAAGTTTATGTTCGTACCTGACTGGTCTCATCATGATCCCATATTTCGAACAGGCGGAACAGCGCCCATTCTACACCGCCAATTCTTTGTTTCTGGTCTGCAGCCTTGGAAGAGAATGTTTGTACACTGATATTTGGCCAGTCCGGTAGTAAGTCCAAGTCCAGTAGCCTGAGGTTGGTCACAAAGACTCTAGTGTCTGATGGCGGGAGCGGATTGCTGATCGGGGGTGGTTTGTTGTTTGTTTTGACCGACAAGCTGCGCGCTGGTGCTTGCGCGGAGGTAGTTGTCGTTGCGGAGGAGGCTTGTGATGTTGACCGAGACATCCCGCATCGTAATGATTTATCTCAGAGTGAAAATAATTGCAGGATTGGACTGTGAGAGTCGATCGAATAATTATTGCACCGCACCGACTAACTGTATGGACGGACCCTGTGGTGTTGATCTGGAGTTGCACAAAACAAAGCTAACCCAAACCGGAAAGGCGACAATTGACCAAATGCTGGTACACTAGTGACGTAGAGCCAATTGAATTGCTCTAGTTGGCATGACTGGCAACAATTCCTCTTCTCTCCAAACAAGTCGCAAAACCCCATTATCTTTCTTATAAACAAACCTGTCGCGCCTTGCTACCACATTATCCCCAACCTTCAACTCATTTCACATTATCACGTAAAGAGCATCCGTCGTCATGGCCGTAGACGAGAGCACCCAGACCAACGGCGTCCCCGTACAGACAGATCCTTCCGCCGGTCTTGCGAATAAGAAACAAAAGACCTCCCACGAGCGCTGGACAGTAGAGAGTGGTAGGTGCTAAATCAAGGGGCATATTCGTATGCGAATCCTTCATCACCACCGTTATCTCCATGGAGAATTAGAATCCACCCGCTGACAATCGCAGTCCTCTCAGAAGAAGTCACACCCCGCTACGAAGAAAACACCGATTCCCCCGTCCCATTCTTCCATCTCCTCGAGCGCCTGAAGACCACGAAGCGAGCAGGCTGGCGCCGCTTCGGTATCAACAATGCCGAATCCATCTCCGACCACATGTACCGAATGAGCATAATCACCATGGCCGCGCCCGCTTCCCTCACCTCGAAGCTTGACATTGCGAAATGCACACGAATGGCGCTGATCCACGACATGGCGGAGTCACTCGTCGGCGACATCACCCCAGTAGACGATGTCCCGAAGGAAGAGAAGAGTAGGCGAGAGGCGGAGACCATGGACTACATCTGCGACACATTGCTTGGGAAATTCAACGGCGGTCTCAACGGCAAGGAGATCAGGAAGATTTGGCAGGAGTACGAGGACAGCGAGACACTTGAGAGCAAATTCGTCCATGACGTCGACAAGATCGAGCTTCTCCTGCAGATGTTGGAGTACGAGCGATCGCACCCAGAGGCCGAGCTTGGGGAATTTACGTGGGTTGCATCGAAGATTGAGTCTGAGGAGGTCAAGGCATGGTCTGATCACGTTTTCAGCGAGCGGACAGCTTTGTTCAAGAGCCGCGGCAAAGAAGCGAAGTGGAATCTTCCCAAGAAGTCCGAGTGAGGGGAGGACGAAGTCGCATCGAAATAGCCATGGATAGTGGCATATGAAAGCGGGGAGTCATTCTTTATGTTTTAACGAGGATCATGATGGATGCATTCGTGGCGTCAAGCAAGACATAGATTTCGTAAGCGTCAAGCATCATAATTCCCACGAAATGAGCAAGCGTTTGATTAGCGCCTTTCATGGTTTCTTAAACGCGCACCGTGTGCAGCATTTACTCGATGCATCTTGTGTTCTGTTCATCCAAGTTACCTTGTTTCTTCCTTGATCGGTGAAGAATCGCTAACGCGATGTTATATTATAGTTGAGTCCATGGGAGGATATATGTAAGGGCCCACGGACGTACCTGCATGCTTTGCGTGAAATTACCCGGTAAGCGTAACCCATGCCAGCACGACTTCGTTCCAAACGACTTATATTGCAGAGCATCTGTGTGCAACGGATACATTGAACAGTGACGATTCAGTCCGCACACATTTTGTGAGGGAAATCAATCGCCTCCCGAAACAAATGCAACACAAACGAGGGAGAGAAAAAGCAACCAAGGTGTCCATCACTCTTCCTTGCCACCATAATCGATCAACAGGAGGTTTGGGACACTGACGCTTAGAAATGTACTGGCCCAGGTACCATGTACAGCGTACATCTCCATATTAAACCTCTCCGAGCAAGTCCCTCATTGGGCGCATGCATGTTAATCAGCCCTATCTAAGAAGCGCGGCCTCCATACCACCGGCGCATATCGACAATATCACACGCTCGTCCAAAGTAGATTACACGTCCAATGGCCGACCGGCCAAGGCTCGTTCGATTACCATGGCGGGGACATCTTTTACCCAATGCCATGGACGCCGTACGATTTTAATCTTCTTGTTCCTGGTGCTGCGAGTTAAGGTAGATGGCGAATGGTACGAGGGGATTCTGGAACGCTCAGCGCGTCAATTGCTTCATATACATGTGTGCGTGCCAAGAACGAAGTGCTTCTATGTTGCAGTGAGTGTCGTTACATGGTGTAGCGAGGTGATGGACTGGTGCGGATGTTAAGAGACGAACGGTTGATGACATGTTGGCTTGCAGCGGGAGGGGATCATAACGCAAGGCCCGTCCCTCCCGTTCGTCAATTTAATCTTTCATCTGGGTGGACTTGGAAGCAATTGCCGGTTGATGTGTTTTGCATTGTTCTTACGCCCGGCGAGAAGCCGATGCTCCATGTCTAGTTGGTGAAATAGGGAGAGGTCCTCTTTCTTTGTGGTGGTGGTTGCTGCTTCGTTCTCGTTGAATCAATTGTACTTGCTACCGAGGCCAATTGGCGTAGACAGCTAGCTTTGAACTAGATCTCATTCGATTGGAAGAATGAAGGGGTCTCGGGCTTTCATCGCAACAGCGACGCTCGCGTCTGCTGCATCTGCACATCCTGCTAGCCGCCAGAGCAAGTGCGCGCCTTTCAAGGGAAATTTTACGATAAGCCAATACCAATTGTACCCGGAGAATGCCGATTTCGACTTCAATTCTTGCAAGCTCTACATTGGGTATGTGAAGCGTAGCTCGTCTTCAAATATATACAGTGTTGAAACATGTTGCTGATGAAGAGTAGTCAATTATGGAACGCCTCGCTAGGAATCTACGATCCGTATTCTAAGAAGCATGAAATTGTCGAGTTCCCAGGAATCTCTCACAATCCCGACTTCCACATGGGCGCCGTCCAGGTGGACCGAAAGACGGGATTGGTCTCAGTCATCGCGGACGCAGCACCTGCCTTCCCTTCAGAGGGCAAGGATATCTCTGGTACTAATTGGCTCCTCAAGTACGACCCAGTTGCCAAAGAAGTCATCTACAAGATCAATCTCACGGAGACATCTCAAGGGAAATACGGCGGGTTTCAAGACATCGAGCAAGATCCCGAAGGCAACGTCTTCGTTGTTGGAACATGGCCCGGAACACTTCTGAAAGTCAGCAAGGACGGAAAGAAGGTCACTCCTTGGTATCTTCCTGAGAACATCGTACAAACGCAGAAGGGCATAGGCGGCATTGCAGCGCTTGACTACCTCCTGCTCGCTCAGGGTTACCCCACTCCTAACGCAATCTGGCGCTTCGATCTCAAGGCAGAGAAAGGTGTCCCGACAACTGTAAAGATCACCAATGCAAATTACACCTTCGGCCAGAGCGATGCAATCTACCTTCCTCCCAAATATGAAGGAAAGGTCCTGCTTGTCGCCGAGGATACGATTGGCATATCTGTATTCCGATCCGCAGACGCGAAATGGGATACTGCAGAGTACAAAGGCCTTGTCCCCATTGGACCCGTCGATCCTGGAACCAGCGTCGTGACGCCTGCGCAGGTTGGCGATGGCATCTACCAAGTGTTGGAACCGTTTGGTGATGAAGGCATTGGTGGACCTGGAACCGCTGGCAATAGGACCGATTTCTTGTTCCGAGACATCACAGCTGAAATAGCAGCACTGCTAAAATAAAGCAACTGCGTGCCGTTTTTCCTGGCTGCTTGCTTGTTGTATCGTAAAAAGAATAGTGCTTTGTAGCAGTATCACATGAATGCGATGACTTATGTATATGGATGAACGACACGAGGAGCAGGAATACAAAAGCTGCGCACAACTAACGGAATGTTTCAGTTGTTTTGAAGTAGTGATTGTGAGGACCGCCCATGGACCTATTTCTCCCGTATAACAGGCCCGTCAAGAGTCATGATTTGGCCTGTGAGATTCAATGCCGAAGGCTATCAACATAATAAAAAAACCAAGTCACATTGTGAACTTAACCACAGGCTGGATTCGTATTTTTCCATGTATTGCCTCAAGGGAAAGGGCCCAGCCCATAAAATAACTTTTACATGATACGATCCACGACCCACAAGCGCCTAGAACCCGGCACCGTGAACCGAAGCGCATGCAATAATTGAAGAACCTCAAGTCGGATAGTCGGAGAGAAAGGTGGCTTGGCTGTGAGTGTTAAGAGAGAAGCATGTGGAGCCTCGGCACCAGATTGGCCGTGAATCGCTAGTGCTGCAGCAGTGGTGTTTTGGCGTGCGAAGACATCAATGTGATTTGAATACAGTATTAACGACTTGATCTGATGCATTGATGAGCAGATGCCCTTGGAGTGTTTGAGACGGAGCATTGGACGATGAGAGACGACTCATGAAAGGGATCATTGTTGTGGGTTAGGTTCAATAGTGTATGGTGATGTGTGTTGTCGTTGTGATAGTGTGCTTTTCCCAAGATGGCAGCCAATGGAACGCAACGATTGATTTCCAATGACGTCTAAGAGTGATCTGCACTGACCCATCCTGCGTCGATCCTGCCACAATCCTGACGCTCACAAGCCACTCTTTTGTTTTGGTTTTGCCCAATCAGTCTCCGTTCAATCCGTTACTGGCTGGTACAACTGATGCTTTCGGAGCTATCAACCCTAATAATTCTTTCTTTCTTCTTTCAAGCTATCCTTTCACCTCACCCCTCCTTTTCCTTTCTTCTTCCCAATTGCATCCTATCCGCTGACGCCGACCACATCTTGTCCTCAATCAACTGAAGCCACAACCCTTGCTTCTTCTGCATCATCGCGTCACTCCTCCACATCTATCCTAGCCGCCATGGCGACACAAGGTCAGGCGGCAGATTATTACAATAACTACAACAGCAACAATGGCGCGCAGCAGAGCAATGGCTATTATCAGATGCAAGAGCCCAAGTATGGCCAACAAGCTCCTCCGCCCCCTCAATACGGCCAGAACTATGCACCACCGCCTGGCCCTCCACCGCAACAAAACGGCTACAATGAACAGCCGTATGCGCCTCCGATGAATGCCGGAGAGAAGCAAAACTTCGACCAGGCCTTCAAGATCCAAAAGCCAAAATTCAATGACTGGTGGGCGGGATTGCTGGTACGTTGTCCTCGACCATTGCCATCATCATCCGTAGCATTCATTGACCATTGCGTGTACAGTTCATCGCTGTATTCCTAGGTTTCGCAGCTGTTTCTGGCATCGCAATCCAAGGATACGGTACGTGGGCCCGAGTACACAGCTCTTTTTGTGGATTACTGACAATCCCAGTGCATACCTTTTCGTTCAATGGCGGAGGTATCTATAATAGTCGCAATGACTTCGGACTGTCCACGAATACCATTGTGCTCTTCGCTTTTGTCCTGGCTGTCGCAATCGTCTTCAGTTACGCCTATATGTGGGCTGCGCGAGCCTTTACCAAACAATTCATTTGGATCACTGTACGATACTTACCAATCCGCATGGTTACAGTGTGGCTAATCTGCGACAGGGTATCCTGAATATTATATTCGGATTCGCGACGGCAATCTATATGTTGTCCCGCAAGTACTGGTCCGGTGGTATTGTATTCCTTCTATTCTCGATCTTCTACGTGATCTGTTTCATCTCCTGGATCCCGCGCATTCCGTTCTCGGTCCTGATGCTGCAGACGAGCATTGACGTTGCCAAGAAGTATGGCCATGTTTACGTCGTCTCCCTCATTGGTGGTCTTCTGGCAGCGGCATTCGGTGCCTGGTACTCGGTCACTCTGGTTGCGGTATATGTGAAATACGAACCGGGGAATAATCCGGCATGCAGCGAGGGCGCCGGTGGTTGCAGCAAAGGAAAGGTGATTGGACTGATAGTCTTCATCACATTCGCCATGTACTGGATATCGGAATGGTTGAAAAATACCATCCACACAACAATTTCCGGAGTGTACGGATCGTGGTACTTCTGCTCGAACAATTTCCCCAAGGGAGCTACACGAGGCGCCTTGAAGCGATCATTGACCTACAGCTTTGGCAGTATCAGCCTGGGCAGTCTCATTGTGGCCATCATCAATTTCCTGCGCCAGATCTGCTCGGTCGCGCGACAGACGTCGTCTCAGGAAGGTAACATTATCGGGACGATTGTATTCTGCTGCCTGGAATGCCTGATTTCCTTGCTCAGCTGGGCGGTACAGTTCCTGAACCGCTATGCCTTCTCGCACATTGCGCTTTATGGCAAGTCGTACATACAGGCGGCAAAGGACACTTGGACGTACGTATACACAAGATTCAGTCACCCTAGGTTAGTTATACAAATTCAGCTAACATTACGATCAGCATGATCAAGGACCGCGGCATCGATGCCCTCGTCAACGAATGCCTCATCGGACCCGTCCTCTCGATGGGCGCTACATTCATTGCGTACGCGTGCGCCCTTCTCGCATACCTCTACCTCATCTTCACGTCGCCCGCATACAACCAGGACGGAGCGTACACACCCGTGGTCGTCGCATTCGCGTTCCTCATCGGGCTGCAGGTGTGCAACATCTTCACGACGCCGCTGAGCTCGGGAATAGACACCATCTTCGTGGCGATGGCGTGGGATCCGCAGGTCATGATTCGGGACCATCCGGATCTGTATCACCAGATGGTGCAGGTGTATCCGCATGTGCAGCAGGCTATACATGCATAAAGGACGAGGTATGGAGTACTGTGTGAATAATTGTAATGGACGGAGGAGAGGAGAGAAAAATTGTGTCGATACAAGGTACGAAGTGTAAAGGGAAGAGAAGGAGAGAAGGACGTTTCATCGTAATGAGAGATTGGTTAGCGGGCGACTGATTATTAGTCCAGCGATCTCAGATGGAACCACGACGACTTTGGCAGCGCCAGAAAATCCAATTATGCCTCCACAAAAAGGAATAAGCTTCTAAGAATAGTAATAATAAACTCATGGTTATTTTCTAAAACATAAGAAACGTAACTACCGTGTAGATCACACACATCACCGCATGTAACACAAAGTATCCAAATTACTCACCTAACCCACCCTCATATCCTTACACTGTGCCTTTTCACCCTTTCTAGTACCGCAGTCGTGCGTTAAGGTAAGTACCTCACATACTCGTAACATCTTGCCCTTCCTCGAGCGATTCCCGACGGATTGGCTAAACTAAAGTGATTACCTTGGGTAGTCTTGGACGAAAGCGACGAGGGTGAATCTCGGATACTCTTATTTTCTTTTCCGATTTGGGGTGAGGTGAGGTGAGGATGTGTCTGCGTGACATAATCACACTCGTAGGGTGTATCGTGGGTCTTTGGTCCACATGGGCGGCGGCAACGGCGAACGGCCTACGATGATCCGACGAGGGTAGCTTGCTTGTGATTGCTATTGCCATTGCGATTGAGAGGGATTTTCGCGAAATAGGGACATTGGAAAGTCGAGATTCAAAGTACGATGTCATAAATCAATTATTTCCCACAAATACTGGGAATGGAGAGGTTCACGATTACGTGTGTTCTATTGTTGTTGGAACAGGTTTTCCGGGGGCATTGAAAACGGATTGAAGCCAAATTTGCGAATGATGATTTCACGAGAGATTTCGATCCAATCCAATCCGTCTTTCCTTGGATCGTGAACTTGCGAAAAAAAAACCAAGGACCGACCAGCCAGCAGGTTACGACTCACCCTCATTCTCGCGAGTTAGCCGCGGGAGCTAACTAGCCATCGTGTAGCCATCGTGAGTGTGTGCGGTGGTGTGGTGTCTACGGTCCACCGGTAATTGAATGGGAAAACCGGCGGCGTATGACGTAGGAATCGGAACATTTTCCCCCCCTCCTACTGCCTACCTGCTCCTCCCTGCTCCTCCTCTTCCCCCCCTCTCCGCTCCGCTCTATTGTATTGAGGAGTGTCCCGCGCGCTCGCGCTATTTATTGTGTGCGTCGTGCGTTTGCGCTTTTCCGAGGGTGGGAAAGGGAGGGGAGGGAGGGGGGAAGGTAGGCGGTTTGCGGAATGGTTTGAAGGAACTAATTAGAGGTAATTATGTATGCATGGACTGTACATGTATCAGTATGTACACAGTACAGTAGGAATGAATCTATCTATAGCCGTTGCAGCAATTGACAGGCTCGTCGGCCGTCAATCCGTTCGTCCGCCCGTCCGGTGGGGTGGTAGAAGGTTCGGATGTTTGATAAGAGGGAGCGTGTGTTCAGAGTGCTATAGACGGTGCGGTGCGTCGGCGAGTGGTGGCTCGGTGAAGCAATTGAAAGGTACCCGTCGATTCCGAGGGAGATAACCTAGGGAATACAGAGATACGGATGGACGGTAGACGGTGGAGAGAGCGTGAGGGTTAGCCTCTTGGTTAGTTTCAGGCGCGGGCGCGGCGCACTGCGTTGGTGAGGAGGAGGGGTACGTTCAGTAGGCATGAAATGACCTTGTGGGTTAGGTTAGGTTATTGGCTGGGTAGAATTATTGCATCATCGTGAGGTTATTGTTTCCTGTGGGAATTGCGATGCGGCGACCAGGACGACGACGACTATGTTGAGACCATTGATCTCACGGGAGCCGGACCGAGAAGTTTGGATTTGTTTGACACGACACCCTTGAATTGTGAGCGAGTGCATGGACGATTCCTTGGTTGTGGTGGCAGTGGTAGGTTAGGTTGTAGTTAGTAGTTAGGTTGTAGTTAGTGGAAACGTTGAATTTAGTTGTGTGTGAGGTTGTTCCACGGCCGAAAGGGCAAAACAGAAAGACACGATGGTTACTTTGGGTGCAAGTACACGGTAGGTTAAAGGTTGCTAGCGCCGTTATGTCGGGACATGTAACATGTTCGCTCTTTGAGGCATAGAACACAGTTGCGGGATTAATACCGAGATGGGCAGTACCGTAGTGGCAGTGCAGCACTCGTACGTTGGGTTAAGAAGGTTAATTGATGAGTTGGGCAGTGAGGCATTGAAGAATTGAGCGTTGAGAAATTGCATGTGGCATTGAGGCTCGCGCGCGGACGAGGGCGATTGATTGATTGATGAGGGGATTGGAGTTGTTTTTGGCTTGTGATTGAGGGACATGTTTGTATGTATTGTATGGGATGGGATGAGATGAGATGAGATCAGGAGGGGCAAGGGAGTGGGAGTGGGAGTGGGAGTGGGGGTCGTTGCTTCCGTAGTATTACCGTCATTAATACAGCAGGCGCCTACATACATACAGACACACTACTTTGGCTATCAACACAGTACTGTGTAGTATCATCACAATTGGCACAAAAAGGATAGAACGGAACTAGCATAATTATGATCATAATTCGTCGGCTCGTCGGTCTTTGATAGGCAATTTGAGGGTTGAATTATCTGGAAGTAGATAAGTATTGAAAGATAACTGAGTGAGGCGGGTGTTAGTTACCTGGTTAGTGAGCATGGTACGGCATGGTATTACGGCCGGCGGACATTTAGTAGACCAACCCTCAACACTTGGCGATAACTCGTAACGCGCAATTCCACCACTTTCTACGAGTACCTGCCAATCATCATCCTGCACAGTGCACAGTGTGTATCCAATTATTAGTTACTACCGCACTACATTTCCATGATGGCAATGTCATGTCATGTCACATTGAGGTTCGTTACGAAGTACTTTGCAGAGTTATCAGGTATCATGTCACAGGGAAAAGAAGTAACTCAGTCGCAATGATTGTGCGGAAGAGTGTACCGGTATACCTAACCGTTAACTACTGGACTAGCCAGTCGTAGAAGTGCTTCCACTAACTACGAGTAACTATCCAGCATGCCACATGCCACATGCCACATCCCATCGCATGCCTCCATTGCCTCCCATGCCCCCTCCCATGTCACATCTCACGATATCCACTCTGCCCACACTTTCCACACTGCCCACTCACCCACTAACCTCATGGGTAATGACCCGTTTCGGAACTGGGTGGCTACTAATCACGACTGTTCCCGTTGGCCCTTTCATAGGCCCATATCATCATCGTGACTGTCAATTGCCATTTGCACTCGCGGTTGTATACGGTGTAGTTAGGGTCGAAACTAATTCTATTAATTATACAAAAGCCTCAGTTCCCCCCGCCAATTCTGTTCCTAATCATCTCAATTCTTTTCTTTTCCAAACAACCTTCAGTGATACCCCATATTCCCCCCAACCAAACCCCCAACCGATATCCCTCGCCATCCTCCATTGCAATAATAATATTGCTTTTACGCGTACCCATCAGCTGCCCAGCGGGAATACAGCATTAGCCCTTCCATTCTCTCGCCATCCTCTTGTCATCTGTCGCCTGGCGCCCAATCGCTGTTCAGTCACAACCCATCCTTGACTGCGTCTGCCTGTACCTGTGCTTCCTGTCCTGGTACTTGCGAATCAATTGTCTCCTTTGCCCGTCACCGCTTCTCTGCGCTCTCGACGTCAATCGGAACTCATCCCTTCCTGCCTGCGGGGTAACAGTACAAGCAACACTACGCGCACATACACATACAGGGTACGTACATTAATTTCCTGGATGTCCTTTGTTTACGGTGATTTGGTCGTATCCATATCCAAGCGGCTACTGGTGGGTGTCAATTGGAATTCCCCAAGCTTACCACAATTACAGGCAACAAAGTAGGAATTAAATCTCACTACTACGACGACCTACTATTACTACTACTACTACTCCGTGCTCATACTCGGTCCCCTCAACAAACGCAAGAAGCCCGATACTCTACGTTCGGAGAGAAATCACGTCTAGAACACCTCTCTACTCGTCTCCCTCGTCATTGTGCCTCAATAGCAGCGACACTACTCCACTAGCTACATTCGCTCCCGCCTTTCCCCTCCACCTCCCCCAGCAGATCCTCCTCAACTTCCCCATCTTCCCAATAACTCCATACACCTCCAATACCAACAACCCACGACTCAACCACCAACCATCCACCACCCACGCTCAACACCTCACCCACGCACTCACCCACGCACCCGCATAACCTAGGTAAGCCTCAAACTTTCAGTTTTCTTTTCCTGCCTTTTCACTATTACGTCCACACCGATATTCTCTGCCCATGCGCACGCGGGTGTCTGATGACCTTTACCTGTTCTTTCTCTCCCTGGCTTCACTTTTACCACACTACACCACTGTTCACTAGGTACCCTACTCGTACCTTGCCGTAACGGTATCTCCTTTCCCCTTCCACCATAATCATCATCATTATTGCCCCACTATACAACATTTCCCGGGGCGTTGGTCGTGGTCGTACCTGCCTACTCCGCCCCCGACACAATACAAAACCGACCCTCACCCAGGCCTCCCGCCTACTCTGTCCTCTTTCTTCTCATCGTCATTCATCGGACATCTCACTCTTCCGCTCTCTGCCCATAAAACCCTCCACTCATCCACTCAATTCCTCTTCCAAACCCATATTTCTTCACTTCCTTCACTTTAATCTTCTACCTACCTACTCCAATACTCATTCCAATCACCAGTCAACCCCACATCCCACACATAACAATGTCTCCCACAAAGAAGGCTGTTCACTTCGGCGGTGGCAACATCGGCCGCGGCTTTGTTGCCGAGTTCCTTCACAACTCCGGATATGAGGTCATCTTCGTCGATGTGATGGATAGTATTATCAATGCTCTCCAGTCCACAAAATCCTACACCGTCACCGAGATTGGCGAGGATGGCGAACGCACCTTTACCATCGACAACTACCGTGCCATCAACAGCAAGCACGAGCTCCCCAAGGTCATCGAGGAGATCGCTTCGGCTGACATCGTCACCTGCGCCGTCGGCCCCAACATCCTCAGGTTCGTCGCCGAGCCCGTCGCCAAGGCCATTGAGGCACGCACACTCGATTACCCTCTCGCTGTCATTGCTTGCGAGAACGCAATCAATGCCACCACAACCTGGAGGGGTCACATCGAGAAGTACATTGAGGAGAAGCTCAACAAGGAGACCCTCCAGTCCCTCGACAAGCGTGCTCGCTTCGCCAACTCTGCCATTGACCGCATCGTCCCCGCCCAGGATGCCGATGCCGGCCTCAATGTCAAGATCGAGAAGTTCTTCGAGTGGTGCGTCGAGCAGAAGCCCTTCGAGAATGGCGGCAAGAAGCCCGCGATCGAGGGCATCCACTACGTCGACGACCTCGAGCCCTACATCGAGCGCAAGCTCTTCACCGTCAACACCTCGCACGCCACGGCCGCCTACTACGGCTACAACCGTGGCAAGCAGTTCGTCCACGAGTCTCTTGCTGACAAGGAGATCCACGACATCATCCGCAAGGTGCTCGGCGAGACGGCAAACCTCATCGTCAAGAAGCACGGCATCGACGCCAAGGAGCAGGACGATTACGTTGAAAGCATCATCTCTCGTATCTCGAACCCCACTCTTCAGGACAGAGTGGAGCGTGTCGGTCGTGCCCCTCTCCGCAAGCTCTCCCGCAAGGAACGCTTCATCTCCCCCGCTGCCGATCTCATCGAGCGCGGCCAGAGCATCGACAACCTCTTGGGTGCCATTGAGGTTGCTCTCCAGTTCCAGAACGTCGAGGGCGATGAGGAGTCGGCAGAGCTTGCCAAGGTGCTCAAGGAGAACAACTCTGAGGATGCCACTGCCAAGATCACCGGTCTTGACAAGTCCCACCCTCTCTTCGCAAAGGTTGCACCCATCGTCCAGAAGGTGCAGAAGACTTCTTCTTTGTAGACAAAGAGGGTGCAACACGTTAGTGCTCGGTCCGAAATACCACACTAGAATGGGCGAAGGTCGATCAGTCGACGGATGTGATTTCCAATTGGCGTTGCTGGTGTCATGATCCAGCGGAAACATGTGCTTTGATAGCGATGGGAATGTTTTATTATACCTAAAATCATGAAGAATGAGATAACGATTCACGCCATACTTTATTTCTGCTGTGATGTGCTGTCTTGATGTGATGTTTAGTCCAGTTGCCTTTGTAATATTCAACATAATGTAACGGACATCTTTACATTTATTGCTCTTAATTTATACCGTGAGGCGTCCCAGTAAGATAAATGATGTTGCGATGCCGTGAATCGAGTCTCCACAATAACGATGCTTCATTGAGGTAGCTTCCGAGATCTACTGCGATTCTCCACAAAATAACGCTCGCATCGCATCGGTTGACCCGCTCTCTCGCTCCCTCTTTTACCAGCCAGGCGGGCTCCGTCTCCTCGCCCACTCCTCAATCGTCGTCAACCTCACCGGCAGCTCCTCCAAAACCGCCCTCATATCCACCCTGAACGGCTCGTCCTCCGCCTCATTATAATACGTATACGCCTTAAACATCTGCGCCACGATCCTCTCACCCTCCAGTCCCCTCCCCCCCATCGTCTCCCCAATCCTCTCACAAAACTCCGCCACGCTCTGGCTCTCCCCCCCCATCTCCCTCCCCCCCCCCCTCCCCAACTTCCCCGCCAATTCCTCCAGCCTCACCGTCTCAGGCCCGCCCACATCGAAGTCCCTGCCCCCGAGCGCCTCCGCTCCCCTTGCAATCGCCGCGCCGACAAGCTGCGCAACGTCGTGGTGGCATATCCAGCTCACCCTCAGCGTCGGCTTATGGCAATACACGACGGTATTCCTGTCCCGTATCGGCGGGAGCGCCCAGCCTTCGAGAAGGTTGTCGAGGTACACGACGGGTTTTATACATATTACGGGTACGGCGTTTGGGGTTGAGCGGAGGATACGCATGATTTCGCGGCGGTCGTCTTGAGCTTTTATGTCCTGGGGTACCGTGGGGACGGGCATGGAAGTGTTGAAGACGATTAGGCTTACGCCGTGCGTGGCGGCGGAGGAGGCGATGTTGGATGCGGCGAGGAGGATTGGGGGGGACGGGTTGAAGGAGGTGGAGGGGAGGTTGAGGGATATTGCTGTTGGTTCTTGGGGGGAGGTGCTGCTGCGGATCACGCGGTCGACGTCGGAGAGGGAGGTGAAGTCTAAGGTTACGGATTCGATGGGTGTGGTGTTGGAGGAGGGAGGGGGCGTGAAGGTCGAGGGTGTGCGGGAGACGGCGACGACGGTGTGGCCGAGGGTGTGGAGGTGGTGGACTTGCGATCGGCCTTGGATGCCTGTGGCGCCGAAGACGATTACGCGCATTTTTGATGTCTTGCGAGGTGCTGTTCTGCTGTCGTGATGTAGGTACTTTTTCTCGCCGTGGGAAGTTGTCGTGTATGTTCGCCTGTAACGTCCGCGACAATGGTGTGTGAGGGAAGACGAAGAAGAAGCTGGAGGGGTTGAGGGGAATTTTCACGTTAAATTCGTATTCTTTTACGACGTTGGACTAACGTCTTCATTCTTCACCTTCTTCATATAGGTAAGGTAGGTTGGTCGTATGGCGGAACCGCTTTTCCGCATCTAGGTTCGGCGGGTGAGCGAACCCGTACTCGTAGCTCTTACATGGCCGGGGGATGTAGATAGAGCGGGTGAGCGAGGAGTCTCATGGGTTTTCGGGACGGAAGAGTCAGTGATACGTTACGTTTCTGTGTGATAATATCGTGATTAGAGGCCGTTGAGCGACGATAAGGTCAAGCAAGATGGAATGAGTTTTGGGTATGAGATCATGGCGGAGATAAGGTGACTAGCCCGGCGTTTGGGTTATCGATAAAGAAGACTTGGACTCAGGGGCGCGCGGGCCGCACGTGGCAGTGCAATAGTCCTCCCGTCAGCCTTATGATATTTTCAACTGTCCAAACGACCTACACTAGATTTAAACAATCAAGAGGAGGATAGGAAAAGGCATAAGGAGTACCTCTAGCAATTCGATTGGATCGTTCTATCAAGAGTAGGATTGGCGCTTCGATGGACCGATGCCACCACTCCGTTCCAATGACGAGGACAGCGACGCGGAGTACATCCACTTGCGAGGGCCGGTAGAGGCCAGGAACGACACCGAGATTGAGGACGAGGAGGCTCAATTGCTTCCACGTTCGGAAGAGCTAGACCATGAGGATCCTCCCAACCCAACAGTGAGGAAACGCCATCACCGTCCCACCGGCTTTTGGGCATGTTTCTACGGCCCGGATCCCCCACGGATACAGTCCATCAAACCATGGTTCCCCAAGATCCAACAATTCCCAGCGAACGCGGTGGATCGCTGGATGCCGTCACGCAAACGAAAGCTCGTCGCGCTGGCAGCCCTCTTCTTCCTCTGGCTCGCCATCCTCGGGACCGTACTCGGCGTCACTCAGCTACCACGCAAGGCCCCCGGCGGCGAGTACATCCTGCAACTCGAGTGTACGGACACGCTCTGGAGAGCTAAGAATGGGTGCGGCCTCGACGGTATCGATTGTCGTCCTTTTGACAAGGACAGCTTTTCTTTTCGATGTCCGGCTAAGTGTGCGGACGTCCAGGTGCTCAATCCGCATCCCGTTGGTCCTGTAGATATCAATTATCGTCCATTCGTCATTGGCGGCGGCGAAGATAGGATCTATCGAGGGGACAGTTTCATCTGCAGCTCTGCGATCCATGCGGGTGTCGTAAGCGATGTCAGAGGTGGTTGTGGAAGACTTTCACGAAAGGGCCAGAGAGACGTGTTTCCGAGCACGAAGAGCAATGGATTGGAATCTATCTCCTTCGATTCGTATTTCCCGCTCACGTTCCAGCTGGATGCTTTGCAAGGGGGCAGCTGTCCAGCCGATCAAAGACAGCTTTTGCTTGTCGTGTCGCTGGTCTTCACGGCGGTGTTGTCTGTATGCACTGCGTCGCCGCGTGCGCTATTCTTCACGGTCTTCATCATGATTTTCGCGCACGTCAGTCTGGTGTCGGATCCCCCGTCTGCGTCTCGTCGCAGCCTGTCGGTCCTACCTGACCATATCTCCATGTTCGCGAAGAGACTCCTCCCAGCGCTCTTCTGCGCCGTCGTGCTCTACCGCACAGTCGTGAGACGAACACTATCAGGCGTCGAAGCGCACGTCGAGAAGACACTGTTATGGCTCGGAGGCTTCTGGTTCGGCGCCCTCTCCAACTACACCTTTGACTGGATCCCCATCTCGCGGCTCACCGCACACGACCTCAACCAACAACCCGGCGCCAAACTCGCCCTCGCCATAATCCTCCTCATTCTCATCTTCATAATCCCCCGGCAAGTCCACGGCTTCTGGGTCGAGGGTCGCCTGCCACGCTACCTCGCCCTCTACGCACTCTTCCTCCTCGCAATCGCCTTCTCCCTCGCCATCCCCGGCCTCCAACTCCGCATCCACCACTACATCCTCGCCCTACTCCTCCTACCAGGCACCAGCATGCAGACCCGCGCCTCGCTCCTCTACCAGGGAATCCTACTCGGACTATTCGTCAACGGCATCGCGAGATGGGACTTCGACTCCGTGCTCCAAACCGCCGACGCCCTCCGCGCAGACGGCGCCTTCGGATCCTCCAAGCCCAACATCACGGCATACATCCCATCACCACTACCACCTGATGCTGCGTCGTGGACCGCGAGCTTCACGTGGGCGGCGTCCACCGCGCACGACGGCATCAGCGCGCTCGTCAACGACGTGGAGAGGTTCCGCGCCTTCTTTGAGGACGGAGATGGACCCCAGGTGTTCAATTGGACGAGGGAGAGTGCGTTGGAGGTTCCCGAGTATGTGCGGTTTGCTTTCTTGAGAGGGGGGAGGACGTTGGATTACGGGGAGGTGGGGACGTTGTGGGGGAATGGGTCGTGGAGTGTGCCTGACCCATCATGAAGGAAATTGGTTTGGATTATATTATTTCATATTTGGATGTGGTCACCTGGGAAGATTTTGGGGTGTATTTGGCGATATTATGGATCTGTTTGTAGATGATTGGTATACATATGCGTAGAGCTCATTGGTAGATCTCTACAAAATATCCAGAATATCTGTGTATGTTTCGTCCACATTTTGCTTTTGTTATCGTGAATGCGAGATATTCAACCAAGCAACAGGTAAATACGAAGGTACCTGGATAGGTCATATATCGGTACCACGGGAGCATACTCGGCAGAGTACATAGCGAGTACCTAGAGGAGGTATTATCGGCGCATTACAATCAACTGCATCTGATTGGCCGCGTAACTTGCCTCGAGTCCAGCGATCTATCTTATCGGTAATTAATTAACATTCTGGCTATCTCTAATTGGTAACTACACCTTTTATATATGCATATACAAGGTACTCGTACCCACGTAACCCCCATTGACTTGTACATATCCAAGTACGCGGGGTAGCGATCATCCTCATCAGCAGGCACACCGCCAGAGCCTCTGTCCTACCTTGGCAGCTCTATCATTGGCGATATTCATAACTACCTGCACTCTCGTCTCCAAATCATGGTTCCCTTGCTTCTGCCGACTCCCATCTCTCGCTCTCCGTAGGTAGGTAGGCAGGTCCCTTCGACCTCGCATGGTTCCGTCCGAACCATGAGGCATACGTCGCTGTCCACAGCAGCCAACGCACCGCGTCGGTGCTTATTACTGCCACTGCTGTTGTTGTTATCGTCACCGTACGCCCATCTGGCATCCGCTGCTTGTGTTCCCGACGTACCGACTTCCCTGCTTTCTGACCCGTTGGTATTGCTGCACCCGGCGGTCGTCGAGGCATTCGGCACATTGCATGCGAATCTGTCTGCGCTTTTTGTGAATACGACACGTGATGGGCTGAGCTTTGCTGTGGTGAGTATACGTTTTTTTCTTTTTCTTGTGTAGTTCTTGTCTGGTCTTTGACGGCAAGTTTTGTAGAGAGTTCATATATCCGTAATCCCCTGGAATATCTATTGTAGGATCTCATTTGTTCATAATCTGGCCATTCTGACCATGTCCAGGTACATGCATCCGGCCCAGAACAGGCCTTCACATTCAACCATGGCAATCTGAAGACGAACGAAACATCCTCAATCCCAGTAGACAATGACTCCATCTTCCGCATAGCATCCGTGTCGAAGAACCTCGCCGTCTTCTCCGCCCTGGTTGTGGAGAATAAAAGCAAACATCACCCCAACTTGACCGAGTTCTCACTCGACGCACCCGTCCGCCACTTTCTCCCCTCCTTCCGTCTCCCGGACGAGGACTGGGAGGATGGCGGGAGGGACATCACGCTGCGGATGCTGGCGAGCCACAGTGCGGGCCTGTCGCGGGAGAGCTACAGTACCGACTTCAATCTCGTGCTCAATACGGGGAAGGCCGATGCGGAGACCATCGGGGCGGCGTGGGCTGCGGCGACGCCTGAGGGCGTGATAGAGAGTGTGAAGAAGACCCGTTTGATGTTCGCTCCTGGCGAGCGGGCGGCTTGTGAGTTTCCCCGGCGAACCTCCCTTTTTCTGTTCTGTCTGTGTCTAAAGATGGTTTGTTTGACGTTTGAGCTCATGGATTGATTTGTGTCTAGATTCGAATGTCGGTATCTCTATTCTTGCGTGTAAGTGTTGAATCTTGATTCCGATGTGAGGTGCAATATTGTTATATTGACATCAATACAGCCGCTGTCGTATCTCACTACAATGAGATCACTGGTTCTGATAGCTCGTGGAGCCAGTTCGCAATGGATGAGATTTTTTCCTCACTGGACATGACGCACAGCTTCTTCGGCGTCATACCGGACGGATTGAGACCTTATATTGGTGTTCCTGGAGGCCCAAATTGGGCTGATCTTGTTGTTGGACTGGGATATGATCCCGCTGCTGGCATGTGGGTACGTACTGAGGCATTTCACCCATCTGACATGATTTCTGTGAAGGTTCCAGGGGGCTAATTATGACAATGAAACAGAGTTCGAGTAACGATTTGTCAAAGTACCTCTACAGCGTCTGGCTCTCTCCATCACCCTCAAAACTGATAACTCGAGCCCAGCGCCGCCGCTCACTGAAACCCAACTTCGCCCTCCCAGACGGCAAACAACTCGTCGGACCCGGCTGGGAGATCGACCTCAAGACCATCGACACCACCTCAAAGAGCTCATCCATACTGTCCGAAAAGACGTACGCATCCTTCGGCAAGGCCGGCGACGGCGGCGGCTGGCACGCCTGGATCGACGTGATTCCGAATCTCGGCTACGGCATCGTCGTCCTGTCACAGCACTCTGGCTTGGAAGACTATGTGCGCATCGTGCCGACCAGTATCAGAGACACAGTGCACGACATCCTGATCCCGGCGTTCGCCAAAGCCCTCGCATCGAGACTCTGCATGCGCTTCTCTGGACGCTACGCCGACGGCAGAGACTCCGGTATCTTCACCGACACCGTCCGCGGCTCAGATATCAACGACACCACCTTCGCCCGCCTCGAAGTCGTCGACCACATCCTCTACCTCCGCGAGCTCGTCGTCAACGGCACGTCTGCGCTGGAAGGCCTAGACAGACTTGGCTGGACCGAAAAGGACCAGTCGCGGTTCTGGTCGACGCCCGAGGGCGTCGTGCTCACGCCCGCGGAGGGAGCCGCCGAGAATGCGCAGTTCGGTCGCGGCGCGCAGGTCTGGAGGATGATGATCCCCGGGCTCGAGGTCTGCGATTGGTTCGACTTCGACGGGTATTCGGACCAGAATGGCTGGCCGTTGAGTAAGGTTGTGCTGGTGGAGAGGGAGGGCGGCCAGGTCGAGTTGCATTATCCGCCGTATGATATCGTGCTCACGAGGTCGAGTGGATGAGATTCCAGCGTGGGAGAGGTGTCGACCGATTGAATTCACCCCTGCTCTTGGTTTCGCATTGGTTTTATCATTTGATGGTCTGGATTTGAGATCATAGTCTTGTTCATTGTTACGAAGCGCTTTACGTAGTATCGATACCCCCCCCAAATTTCGTTAGATTGAACACATTTACAGAAAAAAGAAACCCCCGCCTTCAGCCTCAATGTTCACAGAAACTGTGCGAGTGTTTCCTCCACCAATCCGAAGCGGACTTATTGTTCGCCGTGCGCACCTCCATGAGCTTCAACCTGTGCTCCTCCGCCTCGCGCCGCGACATCGGCAACGCTCCATTCTCCGCACGGAAACGCTCCCTCACTATGTCCATGACTTCGTTCGGCAGCACGCCCTGAGTATCTACGTTTGTCGAACCCGCGCGGTCTTCCTTCTCCGCCAAAAGAGCCCTGATTTCGGCGGGCAGCTTGGCCAAGGAGGCTTCTCGTGCTGCGGAGTCGAGGCCGAACGCCTCGTCGAACCACCAGTCCATCTGTTGTGGGGGCACGTTGGCGGTCGAGATGATGCGCTTGTTGGGATCGACGAGCCAGAGGGCGATGAAGCGTCTGTGGCCGGGCTTTGTCTTGTCCTTCAACTCGAAGGGGGAGACTCTGTGTTGGCTGTCAAGGGAGAAAAATGTTAGTCAATGCTGCCATTGAGTGTAGTGTAGATCCAGAGGAAATGGGTGAACTCACAATACGTTAGGAAACGCAAGCAGTCTCCCCTGCTTCGTAACAACCTCCCCATAGTTCTGCAGGCACGGCGCGCTGCCGCCGCCCAGCGAGGTCCCGTAAATCTGCTCGAGCCAATGATACTCTTCCTGGCCGACGGAAATGTCGTCGTTCAGGTAGGCCGAAACTTGCATGCGAAACGCGAGGCTGCTGTCGGTGATGTTCTCGCTGTCGAGGTAGTACAGCGCCGTCGCGCAGATAGTCTCGTTCATCTGGCCCTCGATGTGCCAGCCGCCAGCTGGGAACTCTGGTTTCTCCGGCGTGAGCTCGATTGAGGCCATCTTGACGATGACTTGTAGTCCGGTGTCCTTGAACTTCTGGGAGAGGAGGTTCTCGGCTAATGGGGCGTAGTCGAGGTCTTCGAAGACGGGCTCTGGGATTTTGGGCTTTTGGATTGGTTTTCGGTAGTCTTCGATGTAGTCGGCGAAGTCGAAGTTTTCATCTGGGTTAGCTATCTCGACGCCCGTGTCCTGTGACTGCTCTATAGGGATGCCCTTGTTGTTTTTAGGGTCATCGAGCCTCGGGGGCGCTGTCCAGTACCAGTTGTCCTGGTTTGAATCGCTGAAACAAGATAAGCATATTGACGTGAATATAATGGAAACCACCGACTTCACTTACGTGGGATTGGTCGGATAAGGAAACCGTGATTTAACCCGTCCTGCGCCGACTTTCTCATTATAATTCTTTGCGAGACCGAGACACTGATCCCACATCGGAAGTGCGGTTTTGATCAGGTCTTCAATAGTGCGGTATATGTCCGGATGGCGGTTAGGATGAAGCCCATTGATGTAGCTTGTGAACTTCACAGAACTATCGTCCTGGAAAGCCACGTTGGAAGGTAGCCACTGGTAGGTATCAGACCAGAAGTCAGGAGGCACGGTGCCGGACCCAACTCCATAGCGAAAGCGGTCGTTCTCGCCAGGCTTCCACGTGTCTTTGGCGATGACTTCGCCCTTGCCCGCCCACTTTCTTATAGCATCACTGACGCCGACAAGCTCCTCGCGGACGATCAGACTCCGATCGTAGACCAAAGGGTACATGGACGGGTGCACTAGATCCTGTACCATCTCCTTGGAGTTTGGATGCCAGTCCTGGCTATTAGCCTGTTCTGCCTGCAGCTTGTTGAACGCTGCACGCAATGCGTTGTGGAGTTCAGGCTTCACAAATCCGTCGGCTTTGGCAACGGATGCGCATGCATCTAGTGTTGGGACTATACCCGTCTTCTCGTAATATCGTGCCTTGCTGCGAAGCTCTTGGATGCACTTCAAGATTTTTGTTAGAATACGGACGCACATATCTTCATTTCACCACCGACGCCCGCATTTACTCACACAATCGAAAGCATTGCCCGACAAGATGCCCTCCAGCTGTTCTAGGTGCTCAAGTCCCCATTCATCCCGAACGATCAGCTCCGTGTCGGACCGATACTGGCTCTTCGCCGCGAACGCCATCTTCCAAAACTCTTCATCCGGGATCTCCAGTGCCTCCTCTCGCCACTTGGCCACGATCTGCTCGTCGAACACCTTGTGGTACCACTCGGGTTTGTCTGTGAGTCGGTCCATGACACTCATCATCGCGAGCTCCCTGACCGGTAGGATGTCGGAGTCCGAGCCATAACAGCTGCCGTGCGCGCCGATGGGGTAGAAGCCATAGGTTTCCTGGGGATTGTGGCGCAATGGCAATCCAAGACCTGGGTACTTTGGAACTTCTGACATCTTCATGGGAAGTGAGGAGAATCTTCTTTGTCTGACAATTGGCTGCAGCCGTCCAAATAAGAAGCTTCCTGCTCGTGATGGCTAGCGACAAGAATCAATTCAAGTGATCGTCAAAAAGATTGGATTGGAAGTGTAATATAGAAGAAGGAAAACAACTGACGAGCGTAGTGGTGAGTGTCAACATCATGGACCTTGACGGCTTTTTATATCTCTAATTGTGTTGATTGAGGAAGGAAGAGATGCTCATAAACACTTATCTTGTCCTGGGTTTTATTTCAAGGCAACAGCATGCTGCCTTGAAAAGGCGGAAGCACAAGAGACAATTGTCTGATGTGTGAAGAGAGAAGGGACCATGTTGCTTAGGGGCACAGCTAGTGTGAGTGCCCAACGCGGTTAGCTCGTCTGTTTAACCCATGTAGCGAGTGGACTGAACCTTCGTGATTGGTATTGCTGCCTTTACATTTCGCCCGAATAGGAAACGGGAGCCTGGGATCAGATCACCACGGACAATTTATGCTCCGGGAACTTGGTTATGCGAGAATCGTTATTTCATATGAGGTTGACAGGACTTGTGCAATGCCAGCGTTGCTTGATACCTCGTACGAGTGGATTGTCAGCTGCAAAACAACCAAAGACCATTTTCAATGCCTGGAGTAATCGTACAATTGCATTATTCATTGTCTAAAGTTGAGAAGAACTAATGTCTAGTATCGTTAACATGTGGATTATCGCCGCCCATAAGTCTAGCAAGCGTAACAGCTTCCCTGAGCGACTTCCCCAGATGCCCACGCACGCCCGCCTCCTCGAGCACCATGAGCCCGCCAATGGTGCAACCCTCCGGTGACGTGCCCTGGTCCTTCAAAACGCCCGGGTGAATACCGCTCTGCAGCATCTCTGCAACGCCCTTCATGCTCTGGTAGATGGTCGACTGCGCGGCTGCCCTGGGCATGCCCACGGCGACGGCAGCGTCGATAAAGGCGTCGCAAATCACGGCGAAGAAGGCGGGCGTGGAACCCCCGACGGCAGTGAAGGCATCCATTAGTCGGGGCTGGATGTTGACAGTTCCCCCGATCTGCTTGAGGATGGCGTCTGCGATTTCCCTGTAATGGTCTGGGAAACCCTTCTCGGGCTCCTCAATTGCTGTGATGGACTGCGAGACCACGGCAGCCATGTTTGGTAGCGTTCGGAGGACCCAAGTCCTCTCAATTTGACTAGCCGAGCTGTCGGTAAAAGGTTTCAAAAGGTCTTCAATCTGTGCCCTCGTCCAGCCGGCAGCAATGCTGATGAGCAGTTTGCCCTTAAGTGCTTCCTTGATACCCTCCGCTCGTAGCGTCTCTTCCACATCGGCAGGGTCAACCCCAAGAACGACAATCGTTGACTCCTCGACGGCTGCTACATTCTCGCCTCTGCGAATTGACAGCTTCCCCGACTTTTTCTCGTCCGCAAACTGCTCTGATAACCTCTTCTCTGATCCCTCGCTGTGTACACAGGCGACGAAACGATCACAGTTTGGAACACCGTCGCCTCGTGACTGGGCTTGGAGGAGACTTTTCAAGATGGCGGTGCCCAAGTTGCCTTTTACAATTTTGTCAGCTTGATGATTTTATCTGTGTGCAGGCGGGGTAGAGATTCCATACCGCATCCGAGAATACAAAGTGTTTGGCTCGCCATTGTGTGGAGTATCTCTTTTCTCTTGTCTACCCTTCTATTTTCTTACTTTAAACTTGAATCCAATACTTAGGCGTTCGATTGTAGGGCCCGTATATGGGAAATTTCTTCCAAAGATGTTTAAATGCGAATAATGTCGTTCCCACGCAATCGTCACGTATGTTGTGCATCTGTATTGTATGGAGGAGGTGCCAAGTAACGGTCCATGTCCCGCAGTTCGGATGGCCAACCCGTACTCTTCGACCCAATTCCAGCTAGGCGTGCTAGGAAATCGTCCATATGATCATGACCACATCCTTTCGGGAGAGATTCCGGTTATCGATCTTCGTTCGAGATTGTCACCAATAACCAATATGTGGGGTATTATTCTTACGAGGGTATGTGTGATACCAATTGTGGGGTTCTGCCTTGTTCCATCATCATTGGGACGTTTCTTTATCTCGACATCCCAGACTGATAAGCAGCAGTACGATAGCATGATGCAATCAATGGGTGAGGGGCAATTGGCTGGACATAGATTTGCCGTTGCAAACCGAAGGATTAGATTATTCACACAGGAAGTGGGCATTCCGAGAAGGCAACACGCGTCTCATGTAGTTACGATGCAATGTATTTGTTCATGAGCATATCGAAAATATGTGTGCAGGACCGCCATCAACCCCCGCCGTGATGCGTTCAACTGCAATGCTAAAATGCGCTAACCCGATGCTGGATGGTCACCTTTAATTTGTCCCTTTTCAACCAATCAACCCTACCGTCCAACCAACCAACACCGTCCAAATATAGAAAAAGATAAACCCCAAGTAGCGAATCTAAGAGAACGAAACGCGTCTCCAGAGCTCCTTCCTCAAGGCTCTAAGCTCGTCCGTAGTCCTAGATACAGCGTCGCGGTTCTCGACGGCTCGCCTGAGAAGGTATCCCAAGCACTCTCCCATGCTTCCCCAGGTCGAGCACTTGTAGACGTCGGGTGGGCCCTGTCCGGCCTCCTTCTCCTGCAAGAGCGAGAAGCTGACCTCGTCGGACATGCCGTGGAGCTGTGCGAACGATACGGGGACTGTTGGCTTGCCCTCCCTTGTCCTCTGGAGGTAGAGTCGCTGTGCCTCGATAACGCTCTCCCTGTTGTGGCTGGCGAGGAAAAGGTTGACGGAGGGGAATTTGCGTGCATTGGGTCCCTGGCCACCGAAGTCGCCAATGTGTTGGCGAAGAGCGCCCTGTGCAATGGTGTTGTATGCGTTATCGGTGTCCTGCTTGGTGTCGTGGATCAAAGCCCGGTCGTCAGAGTAGATGTAAGCGCCACGGACGAGCTTGAGACCCAGAGTGAAGCCATCCTTCTCCGCCTCGGAGAGATGGTGAGCAAGTACGGCGGGGGTACCCTTGAGATAGGCCTGGTAGGTGTTGTAGATGACTGCATAGCCGTCACGGTTGAACTTGCGCATCAGCTCGAGAGTGACCCTAGCGATGCCCTTCTGGAAGTGCTGGGACTCGGCGTCAACGATGATCTTGATGCCGCGTTCCTTGCATCGGGTGCTGATCTCATCGAGTGCGTCAAGCATCTGCTGAGGGGGAAGATCGCCATTGTTGAATGCCTTTCCGACAGTGATTCCAGCGCCAGTAGTCCTTGGAGGTGTGTAAGTTTAGGTTTATTGAAATGAGATGTTTGTAGGATGAACTTACTTAAGAGCGAGCACGTCTCCCTCACTGATAAGATCGATAGTATCCAGTGTTCCCTTGGCCCATGCCGCAATTTCGGCATCGTGCTTAACTTCAGAGCTTGACTGTAGTTCCGACTCAGAGATGGAACTCGCTCCGTGGGATGTGTTTGTGCTATGGTCGAAGACTATCTCTTTTGCGTATGTGAGAATGACGCCCTTGAAGCCAAGGTCTTTGAGTGCTCGACAGGTTTTGCGAGTGCTCTGTTCAGACTCTCCGGCACAGAACTGGTTGTATAGAGTCCTCTTCAGCAATGCATGGAGCACTGGGTTCCGGTCGACATCAAAGAGATATGACCTTCCCGGCTTTGAGAAAAATGCCAGGAGGGAAAGAGATGGCGAGAGTAGAAATCGGTTGGATGAAATTGTGGCGATGAGGAGTGATCTCAGGAGCATGCCTGTGGGCATGACTGACAGGGGGAATTGAGCAAGATGCTGAGCGCTTGGAGCACTCTTGGTCGAAGACTCAGACTGCATTCTCTCCACCTTGATGCTTGTTGCCGCAGTTGAGTTCAACCGTATGCCGCCAATCATCACACAAGTCTCTGTGGACATTCCCTTCTTCAACGTCCTCCGTAGCATAACATTTTTCATGGGCGAGGCCATGGCCATATTGATGTGTGGTAACCTCTTTACAGTCTAGGACAAAGGTTCAGATAGACAATGCTGTCAAGATTGGAAAAGGACACACCGGTATCGATAGAGAACAAGTAATTGGAGTTGGGAAAGATAAGTGCAGGATGATTGAACACTGAGAGAGATATCAAATAGAACTTAAATGTCTAAACATCATCCCATCGCATTGTTCCTTTTTCCTGGCCCCTTCCCCGCTTCCCATAATGGACGTGGGGATGTCTGTCCCCCGTGACCTCGTGAGCGTAACCGTTCATCGGGCTGGTTGCCGATTCGGTCAGCCAGAGCAATCGTGAAGGAACAAGTGGAGGGGGAAATGCTCTATTGATCGATGTTACGGTTTCGGTAATAATATCCATTGGCGTGCAACGAATCAGGAGTGAATGGTCAGGTGCGGGGTCTCGTTCTATGCCCGGGTAGCTGCGGGCTAGATGAGACTCGCCTACGCTTCCGTTATCATAGGTGCATTCTGGACCTTCTATGTACGACCGCCGTTATCGCAATGTACCTTAGTACTTGGAGTTTGATTTATGTTTGGTAATAATCCGATGTATCAGCTTCCAATGTTGGACTTGTAGTCTCGTACAGCATGCACACTTATCAGCAATAGTCATGGTGCTACAGAACGTTGTATCACTTCCATGCGATAACAAATTTATCAAACCTACCAGTCAGACAAATGCCGAATGGGACATGTGGCCCCTTTATAGCAGAGAATCCTTCGGCATGTTTTGTTGGCAGGTGTTTGTTGTAATGAATGACTGTCCTACAGTTGCTTTGGTAATTGACGATATCAAAGTGCGATAGATTGGTAGGTCGTAAATAGTTCAAATCAAAATACTTTTCATTCTTTTCCGCTTGAAATCAATGCCTTCCTATTAGAAATGACCCTGTGAGCCCGCTCTATCTATGTAAATTCGCCAGACGCCATACAATGCTTTACTCAGAACCAAATTTCTCATGAAGTGCAGCTCGAAGGTTAATATTGACAATACACCCCACCCCAAACGCTGGAATGATCCGACAGCATCGTAGAAGCGTGACGGGTCCTAGATTACTCCTGATCCTTGATATTCGATCACTGAGCTGGCTTTGCGAGCAACGGTAGAGATCTAAACCAAGCAAATGGAATGGCGTTGCGACAAGCTGAGTCAATACTGGTACTCCAAGTTGCGATATTGCCTCCTTGATCCTCGGATCACTGGCGACGGAGGTAGGGACAGACTCGGAGAGAATTGGTGCCAAAGTGAAGGATCCAAAGATGGTGAGTGCGTCGCGAAAGAGGAATGTCGCACCGACTATCTTGGGAACTCGTCCAGGCTTAACCACTGGGGGCTTTATGGAAGATGTTGCCGCAGCAGCTTTCACGGTGGCTGTCGCAGCTTTTGCTGCTATGGAAGGACTGGCTGGCTTCGTAGGGGCTGAACCGCCATAGATCTGTACGAAGCGAACATCCTTCCACACACCTAAGGGAACATTGACTACACATGTCGAAACGAAGATTATGGAACGATTAACCATATCATCGACATGTTTCATCAATGTTGAGGTAGTAGTCTCAGCGACATTGGCGGTGACATATGTCGCAGCATAGAGCGTCCAAACGATGAAGAATGGCTTTGCTTGAAAGAATGCTTTTGGATGACGGAAGGTGCATGCTAAATGCCTTTTCAAGGTCGGAAGCAAAGGGTTCTTGCTTGATGCAGCATTTTCGACCACAGCCCTATGTCGAGAAATCAACGCGTGCTTCCTGACGAATAAAAGACACACAATAGAATGGTCGTAATCAGAAACGCAGGAATATATTGTTCGACTAACCTGTCAATAGCTGTCACCACAGGTGCAATGAGTGTCGCTGATAAACCAGCAGAGATCAGATCTGCCCCTATCAACGCAGGAAGTTTTATATTCTTCCAACCAGCAAAGGGCTCTTGAATTACTTCTTGTTGCATATTGAGTGGAACGATAGATCAGGAGAGAGACTCTTCGCAACGCGCAACTTGCAACTCATGTGAGTATAATTGTTGCCTCATCGGAATATCAAACGTGCAATATCTCTATTCCGTCTCCACCTTAGTCGGGTCGTAGTTGCAAGATCTCGGAGTCTGGGGAGCCCGTATCAAGGCTTGTATCTTGTGACCACTGGAGCTAAACACCCGGTATGGAATGGAATTCTATTTTTTTTTGTCTTTGCTTTTTAGTGGAGTGCATGCGTATTAAGCACTCCGTTCTCGGATTCATGTTTGGTTGTGGGAATAATGGATGGTTCTTGGGAACGGCAGTGCTTCCGATGTGTGTTACAATCACGATAGCAGGCGTCAAACCCATCACAAGACACCACGGACGTGGCATGACGCGGGTTAGCGAAGTGATACCAGACTAGGGTCTCCACTGATTCGCCGTTCGCGATTTCTCGAGATGTGGAGTATTATGACCCAATGGTGCCAATCTAGATCCACCTTGCCATGATTGCTGCGGTTACGCTAACTGTGGTTCTTTCGTTCCAAAGGCTTCCCTAAGCGCATGCTGGGATGCCACCGATTCACCGCCGGGACCCCTCCCGTGTCATGCCACGACCCCACCAATGTAGCTCTCTCGATTTGGAGCATCGTAATATGTTGAAGAGCTTCTAATCATAACTCCGAGAAACTATTTTACACTGGGGTTGCTGCAGCTGTTTCCTCATCACCGATTTCGTTTTCCTCTCAAGCACATTTAGACTTTTCTTTCATCTGCACATCTGTAGTGACAATCACAATGGGAATTCCTTCTTTTGAGCCCATTGCCATTATTGGCGGAGGAGCTTTCGGCCTTTCCACAGCTCTTGAGCTCATCCAGCAAGGATACACAAATGTTACTGTTTTCGAGAAGGATGAAGAGATTCCTTCGCGCTGGTCAGCTGCGAACGATCTGAACAAGATCGCCCGTGCCGAATATGAGGATGATTTCTACACAGATCTGGCAGTGGTAAGTTCCCATTAGAATGTACAACCTTTTTTTCAAGGGAATCCTTAACTTACAATTGTCGATTCGCAGCAAGCCCAAAATGCCTGGCAAACACCTTTGTTCGCTCCCCATTTCCACCGTGTCGGTTTCCTCAACTGCTGCTCTGGGGCTGCTTCTGCGAAGGCCGTTGACACCTGCAAGAGGTTCCAGGCCTCTGCGGAGCGACACCCCGAGATGAAGAAGTACGTAAAGACGATCAACAGCGCCGACGACATCAGAGCCACGACCTGGCAATTCACCGGCGAGCTTCCTGGCTGGAAAGGCTATCTCAACCTCTTTGACGGTTATGTGCACTCCGCCAATGCATTGCGATCAGTCTACAAGAAGGTGCGCGCCGAAGGCGTAAGATTCTTCCTTGGTGCCGATGCAGGTGCCATCAGCGAGATTGTCTACAAAGATACCCCCCAGGGCAGGAGAAGCACCGGTGTGAGGACGAAGAATGGCCGATTCCACCCAGCTGCGCTCGTCATTGTCGCAGCGGGCGCCGCAGCCACCACCCTCGTGCCTGAAGCCGGCTCAACCATTGTTGCAAAGTCCTGGTCTGTAGCCCACGTTCTGTGCACCGATGAAGAGACATCTGCCCTCCGCGGCATCCCCGTCACATACGCTAGGGATCTTGGTTTCTTCTTTGAGCCCGACCCGAAGACCAACCTGCTCAAGCTCTGCCCCATGGGAGGAGGCTACATCAACACAGACCCTAAGACTGGTCTCTCGCAACCACCCCAATCCCCAGCTGAGAGCTCCTTCTTGCCACCGGGCGACGAGAAGAAGTTGCGTGAGCTTCTTCGACAAACCCTCCCAGCACTTGCAGACCGACCGTTCGTGAGGAAGTCGTTGTGCTGGTTCGCCGACACAAGCGACTCCGACTTCGTCATCGACTATGTTCCCAACACCTCCTCCACAGTCATGTTCTTGTCCGGTGATTCGGGACACGGCTTCAAGCTGTTCCCTATTGTTGGTCACTGGGTGAGGGATCTGTTGAAGGCATCCGACAACAAGCAGAGCATTACTCGATGGCAATGGAGGGATCCCAAGAACCAGAAGGATGCTGGAGATGTCAGCTGGCGCGTGGGAGATGTTACTGAGTTCAAGGACATTCGCCCTGTAGCTGGCCCTGCGAAGTTGTAATTCATAGCATCTGGCGTTATCTTTTTATTACTATTATGATTATCATCATGAGTCTAGAATTGATTTCATTTCTACGTTTAAATCATGTTCCAAGCACCCTCATCATTGCTAACTTGAGGTTAATGACGTCTTTGTGTGGACCTAACGCAAGCAGGCTACTGTGCTCAATGCTAAACAACAATATGTATGGATCACAAAATATAATATAACCTGAAGCACTGAAAAAGTTGGCAGAAATTGTACTTTAATTTAATTCTTTTATTGGTGCTACGTAATTACACCTGGTTCATATCCATAACCGGCATGCTATCCATGGTTGCAAAAGACAACCAGTCAGTACCCTCGATATCCATCGATTCTGCAACTGCAAGAATCTGATCAGCCGTCAAATCATCTCCATACACGTTACTTTCGTCGCTGACACTAGCATAAACAGGCAAGCCATCTTGTAAGTGAACAACAGACCTCGGGCCGGGATCGTCAGACTGGAAAGAAGCCGGGGTGTGTTGCTGCATTGGGGCATTCCTTGGTGGTATGAATGCGCCCCCCGCCAACGATTGCGATAGCATCTCTTCGAGCTTCCGCAACTCGTTCCGTCGGAACTCGGCTATCCTATTTCCGCCAGAGATCATGGTCTCGAGGAAAGTGAAGGCTTGTTCTACCCACGACGGTTGGTTCTCGACCAGGCTATGGTCAACAAACCATGTCACTATCAGTACCATCGTTGATACAGATAGCGAATCAAGGTCCCATGGAAGAAACGTTTCTGTAATCGCTTATTAGTTGAAATTTTGTCTTGATCATAACTGTCTTCTCACCTAAGAGGCCCTGGTCCATCAGACTTCCCAACATGGTCAATATCTTCAGAGCGGATTCTACAGCTAGATGCAGGAGGTGACGGATCTTATTCGACCCGACCAAAGAATCTGCTTCACGAGGAGCCTCGAATCTTTTCTTCAGACAGCAGAAGAGAAGAGGGCGGGTTGCTATGATGATTGACTGTGGCTGTCAGGATGGTAGCACAGAGGCTGGGGAGTAGCGTCAACTAACCTGATAATAAAGAAGATGTAGTTGGGCAGGCATCCTCGAAATCCCTCCAAATCTTTCGTCCGGTTGCAATGGAAATGAGTGACGAAGCTCTTCTGCAGAGGAAGCTATATCATCAAGCACAGCCTTCATACTGACAACGAACTTTCTTCGTAACTTTCCTTCTCTACCATAAATGGCTAAGCCAGACAAGATTAGTCAAGGAAGGCGATGCGGAGAGGGCATAGACTCAACTGGTATATATTGTTGCGAGAATACGCGCAAGCTTGATTTGCATGTTCAGTGCAGCAGTCCTATGTGGGGAACCAGGATATATCGGCAATTGGCATGATATATCCTCATCCTTGATTGCCAAAGGGAGCCCCATCAACGAACTCATCTGTCGATCTAGGACGTAAATTGTCCACCATATCTTCCGACATCGCTGGACGTATTGTTCTCCAAGGTATTGCGTTGGCATATCCGTATGCATGCCGTTGCCTTGTGCTACTCGCATCGCCTGTCCTATCTGGAGGCTAGTCAGTCTCAATATCCCAGGTTGCTTGATTGATACACTCACTGTCATATGGGCAGCATTTCGCGAGTCGAGAGCTTGCAAGTAAAGAGCCTCGCAGCAAAGAATTTCAGCCACCTGTGCCGGTTCTTGACGGCACAGCCGATTGTTATCAGGTAGGAGTTGAAGGGCACGAGCGAAGAAATCGGCGCCAGGTGGTCCACTCCGCCGACTTGCGCTGTTCTTGTTTTGTACAAAGGTCTTACCAAAGGCCATTATTAGAAGGAAATGAATATACCACAAGCTCTGCTTGGCGGTCGAAGTATCAGGATCAGAATAGAAATTGTGTAAATTGGTCATGAATTCATCTTCATCGAATAGATGAACCAGTTGTGCGCAGTGAAACTTCACAGCGTTGATGAGATATATGGCATAGTCGATTCCAGGAATTATAGGGGCTGCGCCTTCTGGTAAAATAATAGGTGCATCGTAAGGTAAATCGTAGGCAAGGCCATCGAAGAGAAGGTCAGCTCCAGATAACGGTGCACTATAGACGTATTCGTGAACCAGACTCAGAACTCGTCCGTGGAATGACCAGTTGGATGAGGTGCCTAGGTAGACTAGAGAAGATTAGAGACCCAGCAAGGACGAGACACGTACAACTGGCCAAACTTACATGGTCGTCCGCTGGAAGATGATAAGAATTTTGATGGCGTTGAGGTCAGGGGGTTGGTCAACTCAGCGGCATCGCCACCGGTTGAATTCCTCCTGCTTGAAGAGTCCTCGTTGGTATCATTGCGAGGCCGTGCATCATCTTCGTTTGGCTCGTCGGTAGACTCAGTCTCGCGATTCGCACCCCCAGAAGTATTGGCTTCAGGGGCTGGATTCTCCACAGGAGGCGGGTTCGCACTCATGGTACGCTCCCATCGTGCCACCTTCTCCTGCAGATCGGAAAGATATCTGCACTCATTGTAAGTTTACAGATGTGCTTATCAGACGGAGACAGGGACTTGAAGAAATTACCCTTGTGTCACCAGGACCTTGTTATCTCGATCATCGAACACACAAGTCATATTGCGTTTGCTGCAACTTGCACACGGCTGTAGGCCTGAGCACTTGATTTTCTGGCGTCGACATCTTGAGCAGCTGTTGATGATGTGTCACAGACATCAGTGATTGTCTCCGGAATGCACGGAACATCGCAAAAAACTTACGCATTTGAAGATCGTTTCGTTACCCGCCGGGTCTCGTTGGAGGTAGCCATTTGGTAGTTGATTTAAAGTGTTTGAAAATTACAACTGTACGGTATGATGGTGATAAGGAAAAGAAGAGAAAAATGAGCAGCGGTGCGTCCGTCTCTCCTGCCTTAGCCGGGCGAGGGGCCCAAAGAAAGTGTCACCAGTAAGTCTACTAACAAGAGAGGATGTCGCAGTAGATGCAAGTTTGCGAAAATGTCCCCAGAATTCGTAGTCGGAGTGAAGTCACATCTCCACAGCAAGTAATCAGTAGACTGAACAGGATGAATACGAGTTCCCACAATGCCAAGGCGTCTATCGCGAAGGCACGAATTGGTCAGTGCCAACCAAGGCGATGACAATCAGTATCGTCAACCGGGTATCAGTAATAGTGTTAATCAGTGGTATGTGCGTGCTGCTTCACTGCGTGCGGGGAACTGCGTGGGCTGGCCTTGTGATACGAAACTGCGAAATCGCTGGTTGTAAAAGGTGGTACCGGTGTAACGCCGTTCACCCTCCAAGCCGAATACGGTTAGTTGCTCGTCAACCACAGATATCGGGTGCGGGGCCGATATCTCTGCCAGGACATCGGCTGCTCGTTCCGGTCCTTTTTGTGGTGAGGCACTCCAATATCCCACTGGATCTAGGACAACTGTAACGGCAAACTTCCTCAATTCTGGGATCATGTTCGTAATAGCTCGAGGTTACTGACACTAGAGCATAAATTCTTTTGCGTGACTGTAGCATTGAGCAGGAAAATCGTATTGCTTAAACGAGTAGCAGTTCGTCTATCTTCCAGGTCATCAGGCCAATCGGTCGGGCCTTGGAGGATTCAATTACCTTATATTTGCTTCCTCATAGATTCGAAGACACGGCCGATCTGACTACTTCGTCGATTGCCGTAGCTATCCGCTCAACATTGCTTGGGTTTATGCCCGAGACATTGATGCGACCACTACCAAGCATGTATACATGGTATTTGTTGCCTAATATTGCCGTCTGTTTTGGGGTCAAGGGCAAGAAACTGGGAGTTGCACTTGTCAGATCGGACTTTAGGGTATGCAAGTAATGCTTAGGACTTACCAAAATAGTCCAGTTGTCGACAAAAGAACCGACCAGTCTCCGGGAGTCTAAAAAACCCTGTCAGTATGACCCAATCGTGCGGCCAGACAATTCAGCTGGCTGGATCAGGTACTCACCTTGCGCTTGTTCACTATAGCTTCGTATAGATCGCGCCTAGCCACAACCAGACGCTCCCTCATAGACGATAGCTCAGAACTCCTGCAATGCGGTCAGTTATATTATCAATAAGTAAAGTTATTTGCTACTTCTCTTACCATGCTTCTGTCAGGCTCGAATCGCGAAGGATCGTGGTTACGATGCGAGCACCGTAGGCTGGAGAAGATGAAAATTCCCATCGGATCAGGGATCGCAGCTGGTCATGGACATTCTGTGCGGCATCTGAGTTTGCGCTTACAACATGTGCAACGCCGCACCTCTCTCCATAGATGCCAAAATTCTTTGAAAACGACTGGCAGGCAACCAACTCAAATCCCTTTTCGGTAAAGAGCCGTAGGGAGAAAGCATCGTCGTCGAGCGACCCTCCGAGACCTTGATATGCCATGTCAAAGAATGGGAATAGCTCCTTCTCTTGCATTGCCTTAGCCAAAGTACGCCATTGGTCTTTTGTCAAGTCCGCTCCCGTAGGATTGTGGCAGCAGCCTTGGAGAATGAATATGCTGCCCTTTGGTGCACTGGAAATTGCGGATAGAAGCGACTGAAAGTCTACAACGCCCTTCTCGGCATCGTAATGACGATACTTCTCAACAGTGAAGCCGACGAGGTTGAAGAGAGGCTCGTAATTGCCCCATGCAGGAGTTCCCACATAGACCTTCTTGTCTTTCAATGTATCAACTCGACTAAGGAATAGGGCAGCAGTGTGGATAGCTCCAGTTCCGGAGATACCTTGTACTGAGGTAAGCTAGATGCAGTTGCGTCAGCCTTGACTTCATTCGTAGGAAGAACAATCATGTACCCTCTTTGATTGTATAACTTCAGCAGAGCTGCCAAACAAAACTGCAGCCGCTTTCTGAACGAACTCGGGGTTTCCTGTTGTTACTTCATACTGTTGCATGTCAATACTTGTCTTTTAGATTACATTATCTGTGTGGGTGGAATATAGCACTGACATCGTGACCAAGGTTCTGTTCGAGAATGGCTTTCTTGGACTAAACAGCAATGGTAAGTGCTTATTCAATTGTGATTTTTAATGTTCTCCCTACGCACTGCTTTAACGGCCTGCAATTCATGACATTCTGCTTTCTCATTTCTGAACACACCAACCCCCAGGTCCACTTTCTCGGGAGATTTATCTGCGTCGACTTTCGTCTTCAGAATATAGACCGGATCAGGAGGGCCCGCTGGAACATTTCGGAACATCGTTGCAGAACGAAAGTAAAATGAAAGATTGTAAAGGGTATCGCGTGCAAGTTCAATGCCTGATTCTAGTTTTGAGAGTTTGACAATTCAATAATCAACTGGATCGCCTTCTTATTATTTCAGGATAAATATATTCTCCACTTGTTGACAAGCTATGTTGCCTCTAAGTCCCATAAGTCGGGGGAGCATTCCGGAGAAGCATGGTTGCGGTACCGGGGACGTACCCGATATTGACATAGTGACGTTCATCCTCTGCGGATAACGCAGGCCAACGCAACCTACGGCTTGAAACCAGTATTTGAAAATTGTTGTATTGCAGGGGCTTTTGTGCCTGCGAATTTGCTCAATTTTTGCTGATGACTACAAGCCAGATATTTCGAGTTGTCACCATTTATTTTCAAAATTCAAGACACAAGCATTGGGACAATGTCAAAGTAAAAGTCTGGTATTTAAGTGCATACGCTGGTATGTACGACCACCACAAAGACTCCCTACCTCCACATCCTCTTACTCCAGAATGAGTTGTTGCCGCCCAATAATAACTATGTATCTATACATGACGAGGTCATCTTGTGTGCAGTTTAGACCACGACTTCGAATCACCCCGATCAAGCCTCCGCCTTCTCGCTGTGCTTCCTTCGCAGTCCAAACATTTGCAGAATCTCTGTCCAGAAGCCCACGGCAGGCTCGTTGTAAGCTTCTTCGTATGCATCAATTGCCGGAGCTTCCCAAACCAAGTCTGCCTCGTTCGCCGGGATGAATTTGGTGCGCTTGACTAGCTTCCAGCCGATGAAGAAGCAGGGCGAAACAAACACCATGAGGTAATGCGTGAAGAAGCCGTCAATGGCCCATCGTCCAGGTAGGAATGTGGCATATCCGTATGTGCAGACAACCATTGTTAGGAAAACAAGACCAATCCATGCGGAGTAGGGCTGGAAGTAACCGAAGTATGGTAGGGTACGGCGGTTGACGCCCTGTGCCTTGCAAGCCTTGTAGAAGAAGAGATATGTGATGCAGATCACGATATAGTCGATGATCTGGGCGGCAGTAATAACGTTCGTGAACCAGGCGAGAACTTTGGCGGTAGAGCTCGAAACGTTCAAGAAGGCGAGGAAAGGAAAGAGGCAGGTAATGCACAAGCAGTATAGTGGCACGCCGGACTTGGTGCACTTGCGGAGGATCGCAGGAGCGTGGCCTTCAAGTGCCAGACTGTACAAAGAACGGGTTCCATAGTAGGTGTAGGCGTTTCCGGCTGAGTAAATGCTGGTGACAAGAAGGGCGTTTGTTAAATGAGGGAGCGAATTGATGCCCAAGTTCTTCATAGCGATAACGTAAGGAGATGCGGCGGCAGTACCCGCTCCTTTGGAATCTCCACTTAGGATGGAGACAAGAGTGGGGTTGTTGTAGGGCAACACGATTCCAACGCAGAGAGCGCTTCCAATAAAGAAGAAAGCAAAGCGCCCGTAGGTTGCTTTGAATGCGTTCTTAAGATATCGACGAGGCAGCTTTGTCTCTCCGGAGATCATCGATACGTATTCAGGTCCAACGACTGTGAAAGCAGCACTCCACAGAGAACCAAGGAATCCTTGGAAACGTCCAAGATCTCCAGTGGTAATGTACTCCGCAAATGCACCAGGGTCGCGCCAGGCGCGGAATCCGTATGCGTCTTTCTTGGGATTTCCACCGCACATTGTAACAAGAGTGAATGAGAAAAGGATCAGGATGAGGAAAACTTTGCCAATGGCAAGCCAAAACTCCGCCTCACCGTAGTATTTTACGACGAATGCATTGATGAGGCTATGAAAAAGTCAGATTCGGTTGCTGGCGACAGATCCACTTGGAAATGGCGAAACTTACAAGTAAGTGACGATGCAAAAGGCTACAACGGCTTCCACTGGTATGTCATCGCGCCAGAAGGTCAAAACGAGATTTAATGCGGTGATTTCGAAGGGAATCAAGATGGCTTCGTAGATGAAGAAATTCCAACCAGCCATAAAGCCAAACGATTCATCAACCCAGTGCCCGGCCATGCGGATGAAGCCTCCAGATACAGGCATGTACGTGGCCATTTCAGCCATGCTGTTATTGACCAAACCGAGAACACACGAGTATATGGCGTACGCGAGGAACAAGCTCCCCGGGCCTCCTTTGACCAGACCACTGGCGATGCTGACGAATGTAGCTGTACCAATGGAGCCGCCAATGGCAATCAACTGCACCTGTCTGTTACCGAGATGGCGTTGAAGCTGATCCGCCTTCTCAACTACACCAACATCTACGGTATCGGTTCGAGCCAAGTCCTGGTCAGAACCGTTGAGAGCGGCCTGCTTTTCGTCGACCACAACCTTCGCGTCCGACATCATGATTGTGACGGCGAGGTGTGTAGGTGGTTTAGGAAGAACAATAACAGGAACAAACAGCACAAGTTAGACGAATGAGAGTTGCAATAGAGTAAGAAGAGTGAGAGAAAGGGGTGGGTATAGTGTGACCCGTAATTGTGGGAATCGACCCCGTGGGGACGGTGGATCCAGGAACGTATTTAATCTGGAACCTCGAACCACACTAACGGCATGAACCCGGTGAATAGGAGCTGGAGCGCGGGGGATTATCTCTGTCGATAAGCTATATCTTGATACGCTTAAACAGATAGAGCAATCTTGGTGTGTTGAAACTCGGGTGATGATCCGTAACGCGGCGGCCACGTTCCCGGTGGACTGGTATCAAGAGGTCGAGGCTTTTGTAAATCACCACTTGTGCGTAGAAGGGAAAGCCAAGTTGAAATAAGTGGAAAGCAGATATCTAAAGATGATATACGACTCGATTATGATATTTGCTATCTCTCAGCGATATCAATGTAGCTATCTGCGTGGAGCAATGCCCACATTTATCGTATCAAACTCGTTGTAGATAAGATACTTACGTAGATAAACAATTACATCTCCTGATACGGAGTCGATTCTCATATCAAACACGAAAGGAGACACAAAGTGGCGACAGGCAAAGATGAAAAGCGGATCGATTGATCGAGTCCGTATCTATGATATTGAAACGCTATCTTAATTTAAATATACAGGTCTGTGTAAAACTGTCGCTCTGCCAAAACATTGTGTTTTGATCTATGTATTCATATCATCGTCACCACCATCGCCAATCATAATGTATCAACCCTAATGTTCGAACAGTCTTGTTATTCTCAGATCTTTGACTGTGGCCGCCTGAAGTTGACAAGAGGAAGAGATTCCTCGATCTTGGCTACCTCTGCGGTGGTGGCTCTAAGCTTTTCCTTAATTTGCGCGGTTGGCTCTACGTATGGCCTACGCGGCTTTAGCTTGTCGGCAGCATCCTTGATGCCCGCGTATGTCGCGCTGTAAATGGCCGCGCCATATTTGGTTGGACCAATGCCTCCCTTGATAGGTTGCTCAGCCAGAGCGGCCTTCTGGTGAAGGGCTAGAGCCTCGGCTGTCTTTCCCTCCTGCCAGAGGTTGTAAATGCGGACAATGGTACGGGGGAAGACGTTGGCGAACGCGGCGATGCAGCCGGCGGAACCAGAGCTGAGGCCGCCAATTATGAAATCGGATTGGCCTCCAAATACAGCAAAACGATCCTGGGGAAGAGCAGCAGCTAGGCGGGTAATCTTAGCGACAGAGCCGCAGGTCAGCTTGACACCAACAACATTGGAATGTCTTTGAGCTAGACCGGTGATGAAGGCTGAGTCAAGGTCAACACCATTGCAGACGCCTGGGAAGTTGTAGATGACGATGGGCAGAGCGCTGTTCTCGGAAACCTCTGCGTAGAAGCGTTCGAGAACTTGAGGAGTTGTAGCAGCTCCAAAATAGGCTGGGGGCAGGACGAGGGTCGAGTCTGCACCAGCTTCGGCGGCGTCTGCGATGAATTCGATGACCTGGCGGGTCGAGTGTCCACCAACGCCCGCCATCAAAGGGAACGAGGGGCCAACCGCCTTGCGCGCCGTCGCCACAAGAGCCTTGCGCTCTTCCCGCGTCAGCAGGAACGTCTCTGCATTGGTGCCCAGTATCACGAGTCCAGCCAGGCCAGTGGATGCTAAGTACGCAAAGTACTTTGCTTGTGCATCAAGATCCAGCCTATCTGTCTTTGGGTCGAAGAATGTGACGGCAGGGCACCATACACCGCGAGGGGGGACTTTTGATGTGGACATGATTGCTCCAATAAGAAATAAAATACGAGAGACTCAGATAGATGATAATTTGGGCGAATGGTCCCCGTTGACCAAGATATTGTAGGTAGAAGGACAACGACAATTCAGCGATAAATGACAACAACCACTCCGGCGACGACAGGTAGTTATGTCTGAATTGAATGTCTTCACGGCTTTCATCATGAATCAATTTTTCTTCAATCTCCGTCGTTATCCTGCTTTGCCTGTTCTTCCGCCTCAACTCTTTTCCCGTTTCATCACATTACCGTGGTCATCATCGCGTTGCCTCCCGTTTCTTCGGAAGGCCTCCCGACTCTCATTGGCACCGTTCACAGCTCCCACATGCTCCACGAACGGCCCTTGGGATGATCTTGTGATGTCGGTTGCATTTCCTTGTAACCATTCATCATCGTTGTGGCCCACAAACCTTCTCCACAGAATGCTTCGTTCATGTGCCATCGTGGAGAAAGTGGATGTTCTCTATCTCTTCCGCCAGTGGCCGTTCCGATCAAACCTCCGACTTGCCTCTTCAACCCCCGGATCTTGACCCGCACTGCAGGCTTTCATTCAATATTTCTATAGAACCCTCCTGCCCCTCCAATACTTTCGTCATTGTCATCGGTTGAGTTGGGATTGTCTTATATTCTTTATCTATCTGTCTACCCATCCATCCATTCTTCTTCCTCAGGCTACATTTACTGCTTCTTATCCAGCAGTCCATTTTCTTGCTCCCTCTGGCCTTTAAGCCTTCTATTCAATCCCCTATCATACCCCGCATACAGTCGTTTGGATTGTCATGTCCACCGTACGAACTCTTGCTTCCCGCCTCCCACAGGCCGGCCGCCGGCCTGTGCTGGGTGCACGATACGGCCAGACCCTGCGCCTCCAGTCTCGCGCCAACGCTACAGTGCCCTTCAGACTTCCCGACGCCAGGAATGAGCCCAACGTGAGTCCTAAACTATGAGCATTTTCAGTGTTTTTGGAAAAAAAAAAAACCTCATCATGGCCATAATTACTGACATTCAATGTTTAGCCCACATACGTTGAGGGCTCACCAGAGCGTACTAAATTGCTTGAAGTTGTCAAGCGAATGAGGTCAGAGCTTCCTCTCAAGAGTGAACTGATCATCGACGGAAAGGCACAGGCTTATTCTCAAGCTTGGGAGCAGCCTCTTCCTTTTGAGCACAAGACGACCTTCACCAGCTACCCTCTCGCATCAAAGGAGCAAGTTTCTGGCGCCATTGATTCTGCCCTCGCGGCCAAGAAGTCTTGGGAGCAAACCCCCTTCGTTGACCGTGCTGCTATCTTCCTCAAGGCAGCTGAGCTTGTCGCTGGAAAGTACCGCCATGAACTTATCGCTGCTACTATGCTCGGTCAGGGCAAGAACATGTGGCAGGGTGAGATCGATGCCGCCGCCGAGCTTGCTGACTTCTTCCGATTGAACTGCAACTGGGCTGCTGAGGTCATGGAGAGGCAGCCAACTCGCGGAAGCGATGGTATGTGGTCTCGTCTCGACTACCGACCTCTTGAGGGTTTCGTTTACGCCATTTCTCCCTTCAACTTCACTGCTATCGGTGGTAACCTCATCGCTGGCCCCGCCATTATGGGTAACGTTGTCCTATGGAAGCCATCTCCTTCCAACATTTACGCCAGCACCATTGTGTACAAGATTCTCCTCGAGGCTGGTCTCCCCGAGGGCGTCATTCAATTCGTCCCCGGAGATGCCGAGCTCATTAATGATGTTGTCTTCAACCACCACGACTTCGCTGGTCTAAACTTCGTTGGCTCCTCCGACGTGTTCAGGTCCCTCTATGCCCGCGTTGGTGAGGGAATTGGCAAGAAGACTTACCGCGAGTTCCCCCGCCTTGTCGGTGAAACCAGCGGAAAGAACTTCACTCTCATCCATCCCACTGGTGACATCGAGTCTGCTGCCTACCACACCATCCGTGGCACTTTTGAGTACCAGGGCCAGAAGTGCTCTGCCACTTCTCGTCTTTACGTGCCAGAGTCTCGTTCCAAGGAGTTTATCGACAAGCTGACCTCCCACATCAAGAAGATCACGATCGGTAACCCAGTTCAGGACGTCTCTGCATTCATGGGACCCGTTATCCACAGCCGTTCTTTCGAGAAGATCAAGGAGGTCATTGACGAGAGCAACAACGATCCATCGCTCAAGCTCATCGCTGGCGGCAAATACGATGGTTCCAAGGGATACTACGTTGAGCCAACTGTCTATCTCGCCGACTCGCCTGACCACAAGCTATTCAACTATGAAATTTTCGGACCTGTTCTCGCCATCCACGTGTACCCTGATGCTGAGTGGAACTCCATCTTGAAGAAGGTTGACCAGGCCGGCGGCGGTTTCGCTCTCACCGGCGCTGTCTTCGCCAACTCTCGTGCTGCCATTCGCGAGGCCGAGGATGCTCTCCGCTACTCCGCTGGTAATTTCTACATCAGTAAGTTTGACCCAGACTGAATTTACTCAAACTATACTAATAATTCAAACTAGACTGCAAGACCACTGCTGCTCTTATCGGCCAGCAGAGCTTCGGTGGAGCCCGTGCCAGTGGTACCAACGACAAGGCAGGAAGCTCCAACCCCATCCTGCGATTCACTTCTCCTCGCTTGATCAAGGAGGAGTTCTTCCCCCAGGAAGGTTTCCTATACCCCAGCAACCAATAGATTGTTGCTTCTTTTGACGACCGACAAATGATGGGACATTTTCGATCCCAAGAGACTATGAATGATTGTGTAAATACGAATATCAAGTCGGAATGTAAGGCATAGACAAAACAGGCGCTAGCATGAGCTGTAATGTATCATCTTCTATTACCACTACCCGGGCGGGAGGGTTTTTCATCGGTAGAGAGTGTCATGAAAATATACTATTCAAACTATAACAAGGATGATTCAAAATCTTTCCCGACGTAATTACTACCAGATCAACGAGATACAATTACAACAAATCCGTGACATTGATAAAATAAAGTGGTACGTAAGTGACAAAATATTCGCAACCGCATCATTGTCTACGCAGAGCTTTCTTGACCAGTTTCGCTAGATATAATATCTAAAGCCCGAGCCTGGAACGTTCGTAATGCCAGCGGCCTCCTCTTCTCGTTCCTTCTGCTCCAATTTCCTATTCTCACGCTTCAGATAGAAGTGAAGAACCGTGCTAGCACATATCGCCATGAGTGCCATACCCGCATTTACGCTGAACGCCAGCACGAATCTCGGACCACCGTCGCTAGGATACAGATAACTCCCATAGATGCTGCAAATGGTCGAAAATGCATTGTTGAACGCAACTGCGGCGGCTCTCTTTGCCGCAGGGCGGTAAATCGTGTTGGCCGTCCAGACCATTGACATATTGAAGCCAGTGTAGATGCCAGGAATCATGATCATGGCTCCGAAATATCTAGCACCAGTCTGTGTGGCTGCAGCCGCGATAATAAAACCGAGAAGTGAGCATGCGAGAGGACATACAGTATGCCAATATCGCTCATTTGTTCGATCGGCATTCCACGATACGGCTGCGCAGACAATGCATGCTAGTAGATATGGCGGGCAGGTTAGCAAGAGAGTCTCCGTTTTGCCGTAGCCAAGGGTGGCGACCACGGTCGGAAAGAACGCGTTGATGGCAATGGCAGATGCAGCTCCATACACTACGACTACCAAGATCCAATTTTTAGGATCCTTCATCAGCATCTTGAAGCCATCGAATATAGGCTGTGAGGAAGAATCCACCCAATCTTCTTCTCCAGCTGCATCAACCTCCAGACGCCACATGGCCAAAGCACGCTCTTGCGGTGTAAGCCATTTGGTGGTTGCCGGATAGTTTGGTAAAATGAAGAAAGCAGCGATAGCAATGGCGACGGTGATGGAGCCCTCAATGATAAAGATCCATCTCCAGGAAAGCAGACCACGAGCACCATTGAGGCCGCTGTTGATGCCTGCGGCGATCAGACCTGAGAAAGCCCCCGAAAGCATGGATCCGCAGTAGAAAAGACCGGTTCTTATTGACAACTCCTTCCGAATGTACCAGGCACTAAGCGTTGCAAGACACCCAGGATAGAAAGCTGCTTCTACGAAGCCCAAGAAGAAGCGAGTCACGAGTAAACCGTGGAAATTATGTACGACGCCACTACAAGCACAGAGAGCACCCTATTTGAAGACAAGTCAGTTAAACATATGCGGCTAGGTGATGATAATGGCATTGACCTACCCAAACAGCCATGCATCCACTCAGGTAAATCGCAGGACGGCCGATCTTGTTGAGGAACATGTTGGAAGGCACTTGCATGAGGATGTAACCACAGAAAAGGACAGAGACGCATGTCTATTGCCATTGTTAGCTTCATTGGGTCTCTGGGATGATTGGGTTTGTCTGAAGCTCACCTGGAATTCGTTGTCCTTCAAGCCTAAATCCTTCTCTAGGCCACCTAAACGCGCCGCACCAATCGCGTTCCTTTATAAACTGTTATTCAACCGATTGCGTTGCAGTGTGCTTATTGACTCACCTATCTAGATAATTCATCACATATATGATGATCAAGGTTGGTAGGAGTCGCATATCAATTTTGCGCTTCAGCTTCTTTTCGCATTCTGAGAGTTCTTCTGGAGAGAGATCACGAAGTATCTCAGGCATTTCTCTTGCTCTCAATTGAATGGTGATGGCGTCGCCCTTCTCGACTGAGGCGCGTTGTTGCTCCATGATGTCGTTCATTTTGGTGTCTGGATCGGCCATCGTGACTCCCGAGTCCCAATATTAGAGGGAAGACAAAATATGGTGAACACCACTGAATATTAATAGGAAATGGAGGAAAGGGATACCGATTGAATCTCGAGGCATTTAAACAGATGTCTGCAGATTATTCCAGGGAATTATATATCCGTCTCACAGCAGCATATCAATGCGATACTGACTGAAGGCCAAGCTATGGCAATTCTGAGAACGAAAGACAAGACGTATCGCAAAGCTCGACAATGATAGGGTCGTTATCATCGGCTGATACTGCTAGCTGCCGATGCGGCAGTACAAAGTTGCGGGGTCACGGGTGTTCAGCACAATCCTGATATACTTCGGCCGCTAAATCGTAGCGGCCGATACTGCGAGGCATACAATCTGCGGGGTGCTGGATTGTCAATCTGAAAATGGCCTGAGTGTACAACCAAAAAGCGCAATTGCCGACACAAGAGACGGCAGAAGTCTTCCGTACTCATAAAAAATGAGGAGTCGATGGTTACATTGTAGGAGGTTCTTGTCAATTGGTTGTTATCGGCATGGGACCAAATATCTAGTTGAATAATGACTCCAATGCTGCTATCAATGGCTAGTTGAGCCCCACAATGGTATCAATAAGGCCTGCGCAACCTCGAAGTATATTATTATGGGTCTACGTATATATATACAAAGGCAAATCCGAACGTAGTTTCGAAAATTTCGAGGTACTTTATCTTTTCAACGTTATTTCAGTCAACTGTGTTCTTTCATCATGACTAAACCTTCAGTACTCATTGTTGGTGGTGGTGTTTTTGGCACATCCACGGCATACCACCTCTCCCTACAAGGCTATAATGAGGTTACAGTCTTGGATCGGTTCGATGTGCCATCAAAAGATTCGGCCGCTACTGACCTGAACAAGGTGGTACGCGCTGACTACCCCAACCCGCTATATACAAAGCTAGGCCTTGAAGCCATGGAGGTCTGGAAAGACCCTAATTCTATCTTCAAAAACATGTATCGTGAGTCAGGATGGATAATGGCGGCCCACGATATGACTCGGAAATGGCTGGAAAGCGCGCGTAATGTGGCAGAAGCAGCCGGCCGAAAGGGCGTGAAATATATGACCGCTCAGGAGATGAAAGAAACATGGCCTGCACTGACTGGAGAATTCCCTTCGTGGACCAACTTGTGGAGCCCGGCTGCTGGTTGGGTTAGTCCAATTGTCCCCAGAACTCTGCAATTATTGATATGCTAACTTCCTCAAAGGTTCCTTCTGGCCAGGCTGTGCTAAGAATGGCCAATGCCGCTCGAGCGAATGGTGTAAAATACACTTGTGGAGACGCAGGATACGTCCGAAAGTTGATATACGAAGGTACTACATGCAAAGGCGTAATTACAACAGATGGCGCAAAGCATTATGCGGACCTGGTATTGCTAGCAAGTGGCGCCAATACTGCCACATTAGTAGAGGCAAAGGAAGAGGCCGAGGCGCAATGTTCAGTCATCTGTGTCATCAAACTGGAGCCCCACGAAGTCGAAAAGTACCGTGATATTCCAATCATTGACGACTTCGAGCAGGGAATCATCTTCCCGCCCGATGAGAATGGCTTCATCAAGCTATGTAGCTGCCGGACATTGACGAACTATCAGAACAAGAAAGTCCCAGGCGCATCTATCTTACATTCTCTCGGTGATTACCCAGAAGACGGTTGTCCTAAAGAGATCGAGGATGAGATGCGAGAATTCATTCGAGAGATGATTCCTGAACTCGCAGACAGGCCATTCATTTCAACCAAACTATGCTGGGACGCTCTGGCCGGCGATCTCAACTTTCGCATATGCCCGTATCCCGAAAGGAAAAATCTCTACGTTGCAACGATAGGCTCAAATCACGGATTCAAGTTCTTACCCGTTATTGGTAAATACGTGGTCAACATGCTCGAGGGAAAGCTGGGGGCGGAATGGCAGGATCTCTGGAAGTGGAAGTACGGAAAAGTTCCAGCTGACTTTCAAGATCCGCATCCCTGGCCACAAAGAGACCTTGCACAGCTTACAGGATGGGAAGGAAGAAACGCGTTAGGCGGTGGAAAGCTGCCTTGGACGTGGAGTCGTTTGTAATGAATACTAGTGTACATGATACTTCCGCTGTCGTCTATCTCATCCACTGTATGTATTTACGTGCACCTTTCAGTGCTTTCGCCATCCATAACTTCCGTCTCTGCATTTCCATGACCACTTGCATCTCTCCTTCGTAACAGCCTGTCATGCTTTATCTTCCCCATTCATCTCATAATGATATCTTTCCATACTCTTCTTAAAGCCTCCTACTCCAGCATCGTTCTGTGAAAATCCCGATCTAGCATTTGCAGCATCAAATTTCTGGTCGTCTGTTGTACGCGAACCGTAGAGAAGGTAGAAGGCGGCGTTGACGCTACGATGATGTTCCTTGATGTTCCGTGATAATGAGGCGCATATTCGCCGGTATAGCGCTTTGGGCGAAGATAAATCATGGTTCAGGGATTGCATGGTGGTCGGGGCTTGCGAAATGCCCTGGAGGGGTGTGAGCCTGTTGTCCCCCAAGCCCGGGGCGTCGAAAGAGTAGCTAGATGGCGTGAAGGTAGACGAACAATCCTTTGTGTCTATTGAACTAGGGCGAACTCCACGGTGAGTTGGTGTTTCGATTTGTGCCGAGGGAAGTGAGCAAGGAGGCTTGTGAGCACGGATGCGTTGGTTTGGGGAAATGATTGTGTGGAATCGTTGCTCTTCTAAAGAGTGGAGTATCGAATTCATTTCATCTACCTCTCCAGTGTGTTTAGCGTTGCTATATATCTTATTTATTATCATGTGTTAGTTCATTACCTTCGGAGGTGGAACATGAGTGCCGAAGCAAGTCCATTACAAGCGTGAGGAAGTTGACGAGGCTGCATCCATTCGGCAATTCTGGTCATCACCGATTGACACCCAGACTTGCTTCACGCTGAGGGCTAGGGTCTGGACTAGACGTCTCTCGGTGAACTTGCCGCCAACCGAGAATTCAAGTCAGGGTAGGAAGTACCTTCCCTATACTTTATGTTGCAGCCAATTTATATACTCTGCAATATCCGAGAATCTAATTTATGTCCATTAACTTCAGAATGGAAGTCGAAAGCGTTCTCAATTCTCACCACAAGGAAATTGTGGAGCTGCCTCTCTGGCGTAGAAGCGTGCTTGTCTTTGCAACCAGCTGGATCACGTTATCGGCCTGCTTTAGTAGCACTGTCTTCTTCAGTGTAGTAGAAGAGGTTTCTGCCGAATTTAATGCTTCTCAAAACACAATCAACCTCGCAAACGCCGGAGTTCTCCTAACTTTGGGCATGTCGACCCTGTTTTGGGGGCCTGTGGAGATAGTATGTTTCCTTGTTGTCCATAGAGGGAGCTTTAATCGATTAAACATGTGTGTTAGATTCTCGGACGGCGTATCGCCTACATTGGGTGCATTTGTGTTCTAATAGCACTCACTGTTGCGGCCGGTGTGGTTCCGAACATTCAAGCATTTATTGTTGTGCGGGTTGTATCTGGGTTCCAAGGCACGTACTTTCATGTTGCTGCCCAGTCTATCATCGCTGAGAACTTCCCGCCCGTAAGCCGCCCTGTGTGTATGTACTAAAAGCACTACTGATTTTGGATCTGAATTCTTCTCATAGGCACAGAGAGGTACCGCGACCGGATTCTTTTTAGCTGGTGTCGTTCTTGGATCACCTTTGGGTTTTTATGTCAGTCCCCAATCCTAGTAACTTACTGATCAATGCAGGTCCCCTTGTAGCGGCAGTCATTGCTACTTATCGGACCTGGAGAGCAATTCTTTGGCTTCAGACTGGGATGCTTCTACTGGGCCTGGCGTTGTCGGTGCTGTTCATCGAGTTTGGCCCCATAAGGAAAGATCCCAAAAAGGATGGTTGTTCTGTGCGAGAGCATCTTTCCCGTTGTAACCCGCTGAGAGTGTTTGAAATGATGCGTTACCCCAATATTCTTGCGACTGTACGTATTAGCGGCCGTCGGTGAATCTTGCTAACCGCTCGACATCCAGAGCATCGCATGTGGTTTCCTAGCTTGGTCACAGTTTACACTTTTGGCGATTCCCCGCCACGTTATCAACGGTCGATTTCAGCTTGATACCCCCATCACAGCTGGTCTTTTCTACATAGCACCAGCTTGTGGATTTCTTGTGGGCTCTATTGCCGGAGGACGCTTGTCAGATAGAACAGTGAAGCGCTGGATCCAGCGTAGAGGCGGTACACGACTCCCGGAGGACAGACTTCGGAGTGGTATAATATCGTCCTTCATTCTGGTCCCTATGGCCTATTTAATCTTTGGTTGGGGAATGGAGTGCAATCCTTGCTCACGTCCACGGCTTGCTGTACCGATCGTTACAGCATTCATTGTAGCCGCTGGGATTTTCGATGCAATGACGGGTCTTAATACTTATTGCGCTGAGGTTATGCCTATTAGAAGGAGGGACGCGATTGCCAGCAAGTACATGATCCAATATTCGTTCTCCTCGGTCGCAAGTGGCGTAGCAGTAATGTTGGTTGATGCCATTGGGCTGGGCCCGGCCTGTACAATCAGTGAGTGGCATTATCCAACAATGTACAGCTTCTAGCGTTACTGACGTTTCCCAAGATGTCGCTTTCGTACTCATTGGTGCAATATTGACGAGTATAACGGCCAGGTATGGCTCAAAAATGCAAAACTGGGTAGATTGTGAAAGTCCCGATAGAGAGGGTAATTCGGGTGGAGCATAGGATTCTTCAAACGCTAGTCGCGCGTACTAGTTGAACTAGACTAATATCACTCGCAGCAGAGCTGTTTACGTATCTGCGCCCACATGTGACGGAACAGCTTCAAAACTCCAAGAGTCATTCGAGAGAAGTCCAGGCTGTGCAGTTTCAGCATTCACATCCGGCCAGTAGAATGACTGAAAATCATCACTGCTGAAAGGGGTTTCCAATCTGTCGAGATCCAGATGTGGAAAGGAGAGAAGATCCTGTAGCGAGGGCTCGGAGAGATTGAAGCCTATAGGGTCCATATCTGTCTCTATTCTCGATCCTGTTGGTTCAGTGGGGTTCATTGCATGTGAAGCTGCTAATGATCTGATTGACGTCTGATCGTGCTCCACTTGGCCTGGGGAAAGTTTATGGGCCTCCATCAACAATCTTGTAGCCCCAACATGCCTCATAAACTCCGATGCCGCTTGGCTTCCGTTTTGACTGAGTTGATCAAGAATATGAACAGCAGCTTCAAAATCTTCGCTTTCGGTGCTGGGCCAGTGAGCCTGCGAGAAGCTGGATATTGCAAGTATAACAGATGTCGAGAATAGGTATTGAGTGAGAGTATAGTCGAAAGTTGGAAATGAGCCATTGATCCAGGCATCAACGAGGAGACGATAGGACTTTTTGGCACAAATGACACAGGCGTCTGCAAGCGCAAGTGTATGCTCATTGGGCTGAATCGGATCGTTATGTGGATCTCCATTTGATTGAGCCTGGCGCAGACGCAGAACGTGGAGAAGAACCGGCCTTGTGACTAAAATCAAGCACTATACTAGTCAGTCAATCGCAATGAGTGCTGCTTCGACGACCTACCTGGTTGTAATAGAGCTGCAACATCATGTCTGCCATGTCTATATTAGCGGAGGCCTGGTCGACTTTGTTGCGAAGACTATCTGGTAGGGCTTTTATCCAGTCATCTAATTTCTTGAGTGCCTGTTGTACTCTGTATGAGAAGGAGTCTTGTTGCATGTTTCGCCCATAAACTGAAGATGTGACCTCTGCAGATAGCCGAGCTATACGAAGTCCTGCAATAGCATCATCGTCATCATGAAAATCATCGGCAAACGCGTCCGGCAGACCTTGTGAAGAAGGAAGAGCTACATCGATATCTTCATCTCGTATAGACACGGGTTGACCGAGCATCGTTGCCCACAATCTATCCAGTATGTAGACGGTCCACCACAGTCTCACCCTATGCTCTACATGCTCACGGTTTGGAAGTCGAGTGTGCGGGACGTTGTGATGGAGTCCCATTAATATGGCGAAGCGCATGGCACAGCCTGCCATGCAGTATGCTGCATGACGTCTGTTCATAGCAATGGAGTACAGGGACTCAAAGTCGTCAGTGGCTTGAATATAATAAACCAAGGAAAATCTTACAAGCATTGCCATGACCTCAACACACTCAATCCTTGGTTTTTCACTAAGCACACGGAGAATATTGGTTGCGTTATTGTAGTAGTCGATACCAGGGAACTTCGCACCAGGAAAAGAAGCTCTTGCAGAGTAAGCTTCGCCCAATGCAAACATTGCGAAAAGTTTGCAGGTGGATATTGCGTCACACTGGGCTGGATTTTGAATTGATTGGTCTAGCATAGCCAGGATTGCGCTCTTTTGCACAAGGTGAAAACGTCGACACACTGTGTCCAGAGTGACTTTCATCAGCACACGAGCCCTTGCTGGGGTGGGCTTAGGAAAGTTGACAAGAGTTAGAGAGGTGGAAACAGGATCAGATGTGTACTGGGTGCGTGGGAAGTGGTCCTGTGCCTTTCCTGATAAAGCCTGACGGAATCTGGTTGCGAAAGCCGCATCTGTAGCCTCTCCTACCAAGACAGGCATCTCTGGAGTTAGAGAAATGAACCAAGGACGATCTTCAAGAAGCGGGTTTCGTGCAGCTTCTTCAACAGCGGATTGCCCTCGATTCGAGCGTTCCCTAGTTGTTTGAAATGCAGTCGTGCTCCTTGACTTTTCAACATTGTGTGTACGGACACTGGTGATAGAACTCTTAGAGGATGCTTGAGCTGATTCTGCCGGCACAGAATCATCTCTTGTACCGTTGGAAATTTGTTCGTGTACTTCTGTGCTGTCTGCCTCTGTGATAGCACTATGATCACGTTTGAGACGAGCGATCTCTGCAAGCAGCTCATTCACGTAGCTTCCTTAATGTTAGCCATATATATGCACTAGAGAGAACGCAGAACAGAGCCTACCTTTTTTTTCACTCTCACATGCCGTACCCGATTAGGATAGGAGCATTCGACATCACTACCGTCTCGTTCACAATTCGAGCATGGCTGGCCGCCCGAGCACTTGACCTTACGGGAGTGGCACTTTCGGCACGCAACTGCTGTGGTCTTCGGTTTCACGATAGAGGCACCGACGACGCGGTGCAGGGTCGCCGACATGAATTGCGAAAGTTTGATATGACCGGTAAGATGCCTGAAATTCTGTCTGGGCTATTGGCCGGGTGATTAATGGTAGTTGGTTCGGCGATGAGGTGTGGCGCCGACTCAGGGTTCCTAAAACGTTTAACGAAGCTCGGCGATAAGGGACCGATGATACCATCTGTTAACCAAGGGTTCGTTCTTCACCATAACGCTAGCTCGGTCGTTTGACATATCGCCGAAAAACCCAATTCGGACTCAATCTCTGAAGTGTTGTCTTTTGGGTCTTGTCCAACCAACAATCAGCGACGGCTTCAACTCACCGGATATCAATGATGTATGAGGGGTTTTGATACCCCACTTGCAAGATTGTTAGCCTGACAAGACTTTTTCAAAAATGTTTAGCAGTTCTATAAGAGACGCCACACAGGCTCAAAGCAAAAATCATATCAGTTATCGCTCGGTCGATGTTACTTAACTATGGGCGGGACCAGCACTTCAAACACAGTTCATGAGCTACAACGCACGGTCGGCCAATGGGATCTCGGCCTTGATACGACTGCGCAGACAGAACCTCCCACAGACGGCGGCCAAGACGCATGGCTGGTTCTTACATCCAGCTTCATTCTCGGAGCAATAGTGTGGGGTGAGTATAGGTACTCGACTTGAAGGATATTTCCAATTTTCTCGACAGGCTTTCCGTACAGCTTTGGTATCTTCCAAGAATACTATCTACGTCAAGAGAAGTTCTCTGGTTCCCACTCCGGCGTTGCTGCCATAGGTACGACGGCAATGGTTCGTTGAATTGTCTGCCTCAATTTGTAATGATTAGGCTGACTCCTATGTTTAGGGAATCATATACCTCACAGCCCCGGCTCTCTACGTCATCATCCACCGCTATTATACATACCGCAAGATGATCAGTCTCGGTGGCTTTGTCATCATGTTGATGAGCCTACTTGGGGCATCATTTGCGAAGACTGTTTCGCAACTACTTGTTAACCAAGGTCTTTTCTATGCCCTTGGGGGCGCAATGCTATACTTCCCGGTATTCAACTACGTTGATGAGTGGTTTATCAAGCGGCGAGGACTCGCGTATGGTGCGCTTATCGCCGGCGACGGCGCTGGAGGTGTAGTCATCCCATTCGTAATGGAGTGGATCCTCAACCGTTGGGGTTTTCAGACTGCTCTGCGCACCTGGGCAATCGTCTGCCTTCTACTGGTGACACCAGCTTTGGTTTTTCTGAAGGACTATCCGGTCAATCAAAATTTCGAGCACACTCCTCGGAAAGTCGATCTGAGATTCCTGAAAACCAAGGCATTCTGGATCCTTCAAACCGGCAATATGCTACAAAGTCTTGGTTACCTCATGCCTAGTTATTACCTACCCTGTAGGCAGATCATCGCACTTTACTAAAGACTTGTCACTGATACAATATTTGTAGCCTTTGCAGTATCCCGTGGATGGTCTCCATTCACTGGCACAATCGCAGTGTCTCTATGCAATGCCGCAATCGTGTTTGGCACAGTCACAATAGGTTGGCTCTGCGATCGCCACCACGTCACCGTCACGCTGATGATCTGTACCATAGGTACTTTGCTCGCAGTGTTTGTATTTTGGGGCTTCTCAGTCTATCAACCGGTGATGTATACTTTCGCCATCGCCTATGGTTTCTTTGCTGGCGGGTTTCCTGCAACTTGGGCGGGCTGTAGCCATCCGGTGCGTCGTACGTATCCAGTTGAGACGGGTATGATAATCGCTCTCTTCACAGCCGGGAAAGGCGTAAGTTCCGTTGTATCTGGTCCTTTGGGTGGGCTTTTGGCGAGTTCTGATGCTTGGAAGGGCCATGTTGGGTATGCTTATGGAAGTGGATTTGGGTATCTGATCGTGTTCTCTGGCGTCACAGCGTCTTTCGGAAGCTTGGGTTGGATCGGGAGGAAATTTGGCTGGATTTTGTGACTAGCACTTACAATTCCAAATTCATGAACAAAATTTACATGGCGAGATGTGAGAGAGAGCAGTCAATGTAAGGGTTCAAAACAGAGTTTAGGGATCTTGAGCGTTCATTCGGTGCTGAAGCAGTTGGAAGTTGGCACTGCCTCGTCCTCAGCATCTTAGGCCTCAATTTGGTCATTGAAGGTATAGGGTCTATTCTGAAGGCCAACTTCTAGGCACCTAGCCCTTTCAAAGTCTGAGATATAAGTCCGACGCGATCTGTCACAATAAGGTCAATACCAGCCTTAACTTGGATCTAATGTATTAAGTTAGCCTGAGTATCTTGTTTTGAACATGACAATAGACGTACCTGCACATTTGCCGGCTCATTATTCAGGCCATTGTAACTCCCACAAATAAGTCCCTGGCTTTTGACAAACTCGATAAGACGCGGACACATCACTAGAGAATCTGCTGCAACCACGATGCCAGCCAGCCCCCATTGTTTCGCAAACCGTGCCGCAACTTGTAGGCTACCAGCACGTTTCTCTTTATCAGACAATGGACGCTTACCGGCGTTTGTGATAAAGAGTACTGGGTATGATTTTTGCTTGATTGCCAGCAGGATACAAATTTCGGGGGTGAAAGACGATAGGATGATTTTGCGACCTCCACCAAAACGAGCAATCCCATCTAAGACGGTGTCAACAAAGATGTTGATTTCAATAGAAACCGGAGCAATCCCGGCTTCAAGAGCCTCATGAATACGCGGATATTCTAATAATTATCAATGCCGAACGCATTCGTAGAAATGGCCAAGACGTACTGATTTCCATATCAAATCCTATGTCGACAGGAACATTGCAAAGCGCATCTTCCAAAGTAGCGAATGTATCTTGAACGAAGTCTCTTCGTGTATTGGGTTTGAAACCTTTTTTCCGGTAGTCTACTGTGTGCTTTATTCTGTCCTTCACGTCTTCTGCACCCCTTTCGTGAACCATCGTGACCGATCTTGAGCGTGGCCTGTGAATGTGGATATCACTGTAGGCTGTCTGGTTTTCCAAACTTCCATCTACAGCTGGAGGATTGCATTGCGGGGATTGGATACGAGCGACATGCATAAACTGAGGCCATCAGCGAAGCACATTTCACACGCCGTATATCCATACCTGATCAAGGGTCACATCGTGAATCGCGACATCTGTACCCGATTCACTTAGCGAGTAGTCGTGAAAGAGTATAGGGATAAGGTCTTTTGTGAGTTGGACATCTGTTCTGAATGAGTAGCTGTAGCATGCGAAGCGGAAGGAGGCCTATTACCGAACTAAGCAGAGTTAGATCACCATAGCTGCTAGCGATTACGCGAAATAAGGACTACAAAGCTTGATTTAACGGTAGCTTTCATACCTCCACAAAGGTTGCTCCTTGATTTCTAGCAGCAAGAAAAGACTGGGGAAGATGTCAGATAGTTAATGCACTCAGTGCGCATGTGTTGCTACCTCAATCGTATTTTCTCCAAGCTGAAGGAATCGATTGCGGGAATTCTGGCCAAGCCCTTGAGCAAAGTTAGCATAGAAACAAGCAGAATAGCTGATATAAGCACCTCGATGTCCTACAAGCTGGACTGAGCTTGGTGCCCCGAGATACATAGCACTAGGCGATGGGTATCCAAGTTGATAGTATGGTCTTACAATCAGGAATGAGAAGGTTATAGTCCCTAGCAGTCTCAGAGAGTCTTTACACAGAATTGGCACGGTTTGTTCTCTCATCAAAGTGCCATGTCGGACACCCAAACATGGAGTTTGGATGTATAAAAATGCAACACCAGTACCAATAAGGGCACCAGAGTCATTTCGTTCAGCACCCTTTTTACGGACATCGAATACGATCGCTGCTTCTGCTGGGTGTTTTACGACGAATACCAATGTATCGTCAACTGGGTCATCGAATAGAGGCATCACACGCTCAATTGATAGGGTAGATTCTGAAGTCGAGATGCTTAGTACGAGGCCATGACCAGAAATGCCAGGAAGGTCTAATGCTGAAGATTTTGCCGGACTCCCCTCTTGCAGGCTACCCAAGTTAAGAACAACGTGCGCCAGCCTTGGGCTAACATCAACCCTCGCTCCGCTACTAAACTGTGGGTCATTCCTAGGTAGATAATATCTAGGTCTCGGTGTTGCATTGAGAGTTGAAAGCATCTCGACGATTGGCATGTGACCCCTGAATGCCGCATTCTCTTGCGCGGTCCATCCAAGGTAATCGAGTCGAGTCGTGTCAGCTCCAGCATCTAAGAGCAGCCTAACAGTTGAGCTGTGTCCTTCTACACAGCCAATGAAGAGAGGCGTCCATTGGCACGCAGATTCGGCAATATCGACGAAGTCAGAATCAACCAAAGGCAATAGTAGGCGAAGGTAATCTTCCCGTCCAAGCTGAGCTGCGATATAAAGACAGCTTTCCCCGGAATTGGACTTGTACTTGAGGCCCACCAATCTAGTAACTAATAGTTTCACCATAGTATCGTCCCCACGGCGAAGTGCTATATGCAGGAGATCGTCCGGTACCAATGTAGGTTGCCTGTCCATAGCAGACAATAACAATTTGGTAACTTCAACATGACCATGAGTGACAGTGACATGCAATGGCGTGAACCCTGCTTCATCTCGGAGCAGGATGGACTCTTCAACCAGGCTGATGTTGGACAATACGTGCTTGCAAAGATTGATTATACCGTACGTAGCGCAGAAGTGAAGGGGGGTTTGGCCATGTCCACTTTTCATAATGTCAGCGACCACCCCATAGTCCTGATCAATGTTACAACGGTAGACCCAACTGGCAGAATAATTGTTTTGGTATGTGGCCACTCTGGCCTGGATTCTGTCAAGTTGATTCACGCATTTGATGTACGCCTGTTCGTGTTCTGCGCAGCGTCCACGAATAATGGATCGATAGTCTTCCAATTCCGGGCTAGAGGCTTGGGCGAATCGAGCGAGCTTGATGGAAATGCGATTCATGGCTTCGTGGTTGACTCTGTAGAACCATGAAAGCTCTATCAAAGCCTCCCGCAGGGTCAACCAGTTTAGGTAGATTAGATGTGAATGGTGCTTGGCGTGTGCACCAATATTCCACTGCTTTTCAAGTTGCTCCTCTTCGTGTTGCAATACAGAGCGGCGGTGCAGAGAAAATGCAGTATTGGCTATAATAGCCTCCACGAAGCTAGTATAGAAATCTACGGGAGTTAAAAAGTTTGGCTACGCGCGGCTAACTGTTACGCACCTGGGGAGGGCTGTTGATTGTTGTATTTTGCCAGTTTCAGTAATGCTTTCAAACGCTGATATGGTATATAGTGCGAATCCCAAGTCGCAACAACATGTCGACAGAGCTTTTTGCGGAATTTCATGGCTCTTATAAGGCAGGAGGTGCTCAGTGCGAAAGTACACTGTACTGGATATTATACACTGAATACAGTCAACCGAAGTAGACTTTGTCAAGACTTTGTCGAAGTATGCTTTGCCAAAGTATGCAAAGAGGTCCTACGCAGATTGGTGACAACAGAGCGGGGATGGGTGCATAGGGTTCAAAGAGTTTCTTACGTACGCTGGTGCCAACAAAGCGAGCATGCGTGAATACAAGAAACACTCATCGAAATGGTCTAGGTGCCAAGGGGTTCCCATTCACCGTTGACGAAGAAGGAAAGCACAGGAACTAGCGAACAAGCGAGTTCCATCAGTATGGTGCACGGGTACAGGGCTGCATCGTCCTTCCGCTATGTACTTGTAGTATTTCATGCCTACAACAGTGCATTCGCGAGGTTTTTGCGCGAGGAGTTACGACTGTTTATTTGCTACAGTACGGAGTACTCTGTACACCAATGAATACATGCTCAACTCTGCACATTCACAATATGGTAATGGAAGCACAGGCATTCACCCCTCAGCGGCAACCCCGAAACCAAAGAAATGGTACGCATGTTATGCAACAATTTGCATCGCACCAAACACAATCTTGAACTGCCTACCTAGTACTCTGTATAAGCGCTGGACATTCATCCAAGGTCCATGAAACCCCCAGGCAAGCCATGGATCCGCTATCCATCACAGCAAGCGTGATCGCCATTGCGACACTCGCCAGTAAGGTCTGTACCATCTTTGGAGAGCTTCGATCGCTATCCAAAAGCCTCCCCGGTCGACTGGCCGCTGTGAACAATGAGGTAGCCGATCTCGAGGTTGTGCTTTATGATGTCGCGTCCCTAGTCGAGAAGCGCGCAGCGCTGCCTGGCAACAAGCAATCGCCACTATGGCACCTGCTCAAGCAAGCCAAACGGAAGCTCGGCGAACTAGAGCTCTTCATGACTCACCTGAGGGTGTCATGTCGCGATGCCCGCCATCCGTTGCTTTCTGCCAACATCCTACGAAAAGATCAGGGATCCCTCAAATCATTGCAGGAAGACATCCGGTCCATCAAATGCAACCTGAACATCCTACTAGGTGAATCAAATCCGTGAGTTCTCCATATATGGTACCTGCTTACATGTAGACAAAGCGGGCCAGTGGCTGATAGGAACCAAGGCGAGATATGATGTAGCTACGAATTGAATGCGAGATGTGATGCAGTTATGAATTGAATGCGAAAGTATCTCCATTGTTGCAACACAGTCCTCGCAGGATCAGCTTGCACTTCATAGCGACCTTCTGAACAGTCTCACAGGCATCGATAACCGCATATCCTGCGTTGAAAATATGTTGCGCCTCCAAGCCGAGCAGGTTCGCGAAACCCAGCTCCATCAGTTCGGGCCTTTGGCCAGTAGGTCATCCCCAAGCCAGTCAAGCCCTACAGCGCGCAAGCAAATATCTTCAGGCACTCAATACTCCGAAGGATTTAGTGTTCGAGTCGCGCCCTTCGCTGCAACATGTCGCACTGGCTGTGCTTGCGTGTGCCACTCGCAACAGAGAGCATTGTCTCCCAAGATGATGAATCATATTCTGGGTTAGTTGTTTGTGGGATATACGGGACTGCCGTATTTATCTCCGAAATGCGATAAGGATATGTGCGTAAAGTCTCGAGCGAGCAAAGTCAGCATAGAACACTGGTTTCCACGGGGCCTGCTTTCCTCCACTATTGTTAGACTCCAGGCAGGCTACCAGACCAACACCGGCACGCTATTCCAGTTGCAGACCTTACGAATCGTTCCCGATGACGCTCAATACGTCAGTTTTGCACTAAAAGGAAATATCGAGGGCCTAAAATACCTCTTCAGCAAGGGCCTGGCATCTCCACAAGATATCAGTCCCACAAGAGGATATTCTTTGCTACGCTGGGCGTTGTACGGTAAACAATATGCAACATGCGAGTTTCTTATTCATGCTGGTGCCGATCCCGACTACAAACCGATTTCTGCGAACGACAATAACCCCCGCATCAAAGCCTGCCACTTCCTTCTTGAGGGTGGTATTGGAGATACTGGAGTTGAGGCCTTACGGCTCATCACGAGGGGTGGCCATTATGACGATTTCATCGATGAGGCAGGGTTCACCCAGATACACCGCATAGTTCTCGGGCTGTCGTTCAAAAGCTTAGAGGAAGAGCTCATACTACATCCCGAGGAAGTCAATGCGCAAGATTGTATGGGTCGAACTCCATTAGCATGGGCAGCAGCCAAAGGAGATAGACACACTGTTGTGACACTACTGAGCCATGGCGCCGATCCAAACATCATTGATACCCAGATATCTGGACCGGTGTCCAATGCCGCCGCTCAGGGCCATACGGCCTGTGTACGCTTGTTACTTGAGGGAGGCGCATATCCTGACGCCCCACTACCTCCAGGAATCAAGAAAGGCAGTCCACTTAATGTTGCTGCACGACTATCAACCGATATTTCCCTCGTTAAAAGTCTTCTTGACTTCGGAGCTGATGTCGAATCCAGTGGCGTGGATGGGATCACGCCCCTGACCCATGCCGCGCGGACCGACAACGCGAGCTTCGCCATGCTTCTACTTGAATGCGGAGCTAACATTAACGCAATCTCAGTAGCCGGATCTACTCCGCTCACGACAGCTATCACTCACAATAGTCACAACGTTCTCCGTCTGATCCTGGATAGATGGCACGAGAACACTGACTGCCCGCGTCTAAAGGGTCCTCATCTCCTTCACATCACGGCTCTCTACGCCGATATTGAAACACTTCATATGCTTGCCAGTGCGGACCATCTCCAAGTCCGTCAAGACAGGAGCTATAGCATTGGCGACTTCAGCCACCAGCTTCGCCAACGAGCCGATTATACCGAGAAACTCTCGTTCGCGTTCGAAGAGTTACTAGAGGTGATCAGCAGTGCACCAGATGCACGAAAGGGCCGAGAGCAACTGTTGGAGGCAGGGTATTCGCATCCAGTTGTCACTTCCATGGATTCTGATCCAGCATTTGTTGAGACCGAGGAGCAAAACAAGTCTCAGTCGCCCCATCTCTTCTCGTGCGCCGGAAGCTCGAAAGTCGAGGAAGGTTCAATTAGTTCTGACGATGACTACTACGAAGCTAGTGAGAAGCTACATTAGGGAAGAGTAGATACAGGGTTTCCGGTCAACTCATGTCGTTTTACTCTGTTAAAAACATCTTAGTTTAGCAAGATAATGATGCGTGGACAGCTGAATATGGTTGGTCGCTCACAATGTTGATTTCTTTACAATGTATCAACAATCATAGCAGCTGTCATGAGTCAATGTCCTAGGCAGTCAAAGTATCGAGGTTGAATTTAAGTGATGAAGCTATTGTGCTCATATAGTATCCTAGGCCACCTATAGGGATCACGAATTGACCTAAGCTAAGAATATCCGCAGAGGTCAGCGCGGCCTTTCCTTTTAGGAGATATTTATCTAATGCACTTAAAGTAACTATACTGACTTCTACCTAACTATATATTTCTCTACTAAAGTAGTAAATAGTAGATACTATTATTAAGAGATATGTTTAATTTATTAAAATAAATAAATCATCTTTCAATTAGTTAGTAAATAAAAAGTTAACGTACTAGACGGGCGAGCTGATCACTCTGCCAAGACCACACCAACTTTTCAGTTACCACAGCAATT